GACGATAATTTGATATTTCGATGTCCAGGCCAGCTCGCGTCATTGGCGGATGTGACAACGTTAAGCAATAGTTTGGGTGTACAGACTAATCCGGCGAAGAATCATGAATTCGCGTCTGAACAACGTTATGTGGGTTTCATTTGGAATGGAAGAGATCATACTGTCAGACTTCCAGAAGAAAAGTTAAGAGAAAGAAAGCAACTCATTGTGGATCTACTTACGATTACAGAACCTTGGGCATTCAACACCATAGAAAGTTTTTTAGGGAAGTTGGTTCACACAGTTTACATCGTTCCGCACATGAAGGCTTATATGAGGTCCTTTTATAAGTGGCTCAAGGAATGGGTGAATAAATCAGCGTTACGCCATACACCAGATTATGTTAAGCCAGACTTAGAGGAATGGAAGAGGTGTCTTTTCTCTTTTAACTCACGCGTTCTAATACCTTCCCCACGAGCAGAAGAAGTGGGGTGGGTAGGGGATGCTTCCTCCTCCTTCGGAATAGGAATCCTGATTGGAGAGAGATGGGCATGTTTCGAGTTTGTAGAAGATTGGCAAATGGTAGGCCTGTCGGAAGGCAGAAGGTCAATCGCTTGGGCTGAGACTCTGGCGATTCGATTAGGTTTGGTGGTGCTAAGCAGGTTGAGACATGTCGGAGGAAAGAAGTTCATTGTCTGGACGGACAATACAACATCCCAATCAACAGTTAGAAAGCGAAAATCGAAAGATGAGAATGTAAATGAAGAATGGAAATACATACAGCGTCTACTTACGTCCTTAGCCTGTGATATCGACGCGAGACGAGTGATATCAAACGATAACGATGCTGATGGGCTGTCAAGGGGCTGGATCGGAGATCTGATGTGGTTCAATGAGGTTATCGTAGAAGTTCCTCAAGACTTAACGTTGCTGCTGAGGCAGGTATTCCCCCCAAAGAAGAAACAAGAGCTCCCACTCGTCTGAATAGATCTTGATGTAAGTGGTACAGTCGTAGAATGTTGCGAATGGATTTGACTGACGTTCTGGCGTGTTAGCAGGATGCAGAGCTTGAAAGTACTGAAGAAGGTGACGAATCTTTTTGGAGCCTTCAAGAAAAACGCGTTAGGAATCGATGACTCAGAGATAGATGAAGTGAAACAACATTACTTACGAGGCGCTTGGGGGAACGGTACTTTGAAGAGCTATAATTCAGGAGTAGTAAAACTTTTTCGTTTCGCCAAGGTGAAAGGGATTCCTAGAGAAAGTCTTCTGCCGATATCTCCGAGTTTGATGAAGAAGTTTGTAGTCTGGGGTTCGAAAAGGAGCATTGAAAAGGCAGAGAGTGATGAATCAGTAAAGTATTCAACGCTAAAGTCTTATATCGCTGGGATCAAAGCATGGCATCTATATCATGATGAGACTTACCCAACGGAGGTTGATGAAGCGGTGAAAGCCTTATTGAAGGCATCGAGGATGGTGGAGGCACAGTTTAACTTGGTCGAGAAGAAACGGCCTCCGGTGCTCTTGGATGATCTGGTAGTCCTGTTAGAGGTACTGCCGAATTCAGGGGAGATAGGAGTTGCTCGATTGACGGTCGCTTTGATGGCTTTCTGGGGAACAGCAAGGTTGGGAGAACTTATCTCAGATGACCCGAAGAAGCGTTTACCGAGATGGGATGATGTGGATTGGTCAGAAGACAGGTCGTTGGTGACGATTGCTTTACATAACGCGAAAACAGCAGGACCAGGAGAGGTACAATCGATTATCCTACATAGACAAAATTCTCTGTTAGATCCGGTATCAATGCTAGAAGATTGGTTTGCCTTGCGTCCTAGGAAACCAAGCGAAGAGATCTTCTCGGTGATGGTTGGAGAGAGAAAGAAACGGCTGGGAAAACAAGATACGATCAAGAGCTTACGTGCGATTTGGAATGGAAGACGTCCAAAATCGAGACAGTTACTTCATGGCCACTCCTTCAGGATAGGAGGAGCGTCGTTGCTTTGGAACTTAGGAGCGTCGAGAGAAGAAGTGATGAAGAGCGGCCGGTGGGCCTCAGATACGTATTTGATTTACCTTAGGAAATTTTCAGAGAGGGAGTTGAAGAAAACTAAACAGTTGCTCCTAGAGCTGAGATGGGAAGAGAAGTATGAAGAAATATGAGTTGGTGAAGTTCGAACGGACATGACACACTTCTTGTGATGTATAACCTGGAAAATTTTTTCAGAGCGCCAAGCTTGGCAGGAGGCTGCATACGTTGCTCTTCTATCGGCGAACTTTATTGATAGATTTGCAATAGAGTCATTGTACAGATCAGTACAAGCAGATCTTCATAGAAATACAGCTTACCATGTATATGAAACTTTAATTATTTCAACTGTTGAACGCGTGGTGTGTGGCTCACAGAGGACCGAGGAATGGGGCTTCTCTGGCTCACGGCTCTTATCCCCTGTGAGTTGAGGGGAAGAGAAGCCTCCTCGGGTTCTTTGTTATCACCCCGGAGGGGCAGGAGATACCCGGAGATAGACATCTATCTCCGGGGCCTGCTCTTCCGGGGCATACCCCCACACCACCACATAGTAAACAAATTATTAAGTAGTGGTTACAAAGAATCAAAGGAAAGTTACTCATTCTTTGGGAACATCTACAAGTCAGGATTAATAATTAACATATTAATCTTGACATAAATGAAATTGAGTTATCATGAACTCATTTACACATTACACCTGAGAGTAGTGGATTGAGAGTTTACCCAAAACCTGAGACGGTAAACTGTAGTCCATTACCAAGGGTGGACGAGTAATCACGTGAGGCGAGAGGCCCGGTAGAGAGCGGGGCCAGAATACTAGAGAAGTGTGGCTTGAAGTTCTCAAGCAGAAAATTTTTTCTCTCCTTCTCTAGCTATTCTGTCCCATCTTTTCCTCTCACCTCATCGTAGAACTCGTCTAGTTTTATTTTCCTTCACTCTCATCGCGTAGCTCTCGAAAATAAAATTTTTGAGTCCCACCCACCGTCCCAGGGGAAGAGAAGCCTCCTCGGGTTCTTTGTTATCACCCCGGAGGGGCAGGAGATACCCGGAGATAGACATCTATCTCCGGGGCCTGCTCTTCCGGGGCATACCCCCACACCACCACATAGTAAACAAATTATTAAGTAGTGGTTACAAAGAATCAAAGGAAAGTTACTCATTCTTTGGGAACATCTACAAGTCAGGATTAATAATTAACATATTAATCTTGACATAAATGAAATTGAGTTATCATGAACTCATTTACACATTACACCTGAGAGTAGTGGACTCCTCTCTTGTCTTCGCCGCATCAATCAGGATGACAAGAAAAGTCATGATGACAAAAAACCCAAACATCACGCCAAGCCTGGCAAAGACAACGACAAGGTAGCCCACCCGAAGAACGGGACAACAATTGATCCGACAGAAAACGTGACATCAACTGATCCGACAGCAAATGGGACATCAGCTGATCCAACAGTCAACGGGACATCAACTGATCCCACGATGAATGGGACATCAAGTGTTCCGGCCATGAACGCGCAATCAACCGTTTCATCCACTGTAGAGGAATGAGTCTTCACTCAACGGATCTGTTTCTTAATCACAATATTACCAGTTCATCACTCGTGTTCTCAATTGCCCTAGCATTTACTCTTCTTTTCAAGTTCATTAGATATGAATGTTTCTCCTAGTTGACTTGCTCAACTCTTCTTTCAACCAACGTTGTAGACTACATTTATCTTTGTTTTTGCAAATTCTCATCATTGTATTTTGCTCACTCAATCCATGCTTCCACCGGACAAAGGTTGATCAGATCAAGATGCTGAGCATTTGTGTGTGATCAGCACTCCATAATCACGTGTCACCTTTTTATTTAGCATCATTGGTCTACTTCCCCATCCTGGCATTGTTTGGGCTTATGTCACTTCACGCTAGTCTACCATGTCTTTGATTCCTCGGTTGATCGGAGGCACAGGGTTCTTCAGGACCTCGACTTTCATCACTTTGTTAGATGTATCTCTGACAATGCAACCTGAGAGTCTTGAGATGTTAGCTAATCACTCATCTATACTAGTTTTCATCTGTTTTGATTTCTTTTCTATATTCTGCATTTTATTGGGTGGTATTTTGGGTTCTCATATATCTTATCCTTGTGCTTTTGATTTATATCACTTCTTGGGAATCAAATGACACTGGTTCCAGATCATCTTGATTCACAACTCACTCATGATATCAATCATGATACCCCAAATTTTTGATGTTCTATTATCTATTCTTTGGCCAATACTCCTCAGGAAGGACCAGAAGGGCAATCATCCCGCCCTTGAATTACCTACTGTCAAGGCTTGATGGGTCGGGGAGGAGATGCAAGAGCCCAAAGGGTCCCCTTCAGTAAGGTTTAGATTGCTACGTGAGGAGCAAAGCATCTCATCGGGCAAGCTATCAAATAAACATTTTACTCACTACAAGCATAAGTCCGACGTAATCTTATAAATAGCTCAGAACATTTATCAGACCCTGTGGCAAAACAAGTGACGAAATAGAGAAGGAATGTGACCTGCAATCTGGCAAGGCAAGCCCACATTCCCCATAGATAACCATGATGAATAAATTCGCCCATCCCTCAAAGCACGGTGAGCTCACAGAAACGATTTGGACCCTCATTCGCTGAGTATGAATTTCATGGAGGTTCAGACGACGAACCTGGGCTAGGCATAGTTTTTTGGGTGTGGTTGCTGTTGGATTGGGTGACTTGGCCAACTTTCCATGCCGATAGTGACGTCCTCGTCATTATTGCCTTTTACGATGGTCTTTGACCTGATATAAAAGACCTCCATCGATTCCTTGGGTGTGCCTCTCATCGAATCATCCATTCATCCTCGCCTGCAATCTCATTCAAGTTTTCCAACTTTGTACATAGTCCAATCAGATTGTATACTTGGCTCATACATAGCTCTACTTCTCTTATTTCGCACGTCTTCACACATACGCCTTCACAAAAACTTTCAAGATGAGATTCACTCTGATCAGCCTCGTCGTCTCGCTCAGCGCCTCCGCCGCTTATGGTTCGACCATTGGTGTCAGTAGAGCCTTGCGAATTTTGTTTTGGCCGTATGACACAGAGAATTGATTCTGACGTGTATTGTTCAATATAGGCACGAAAAGCTTCTGATGTGCAGACAAGTACTCCAGCTCTCAACGGCACCAGTAACAGCAGCTCCATCATTCCAGCGACCAACGCAACCTCCAACGTAAATGGAACCTCTAGTGTAAACGGAACCTCTGGTGCAAATGGCACAGCCACCCCAACCAAAGACACCATTCAAGCGAAGATTACTAAATTGGAGACCAAGATTGCAAAATACAAGAAAGAAATTGCTCATGAAGAAGAGAAACTTGCTGCCCTCAAGGCCAAGAAAGAAACAGAGGGTCACGGAAAAAAGGTATGTTTTCAGATCTTACATCTTTTTTGTTTTTCTTCTTCTTCTCATCTTCAATTTTTTTGACTGATATCGGATTAATTAGGATGACAAGAAATCCCCTGATGACAAGAAAAGTCCTGATGACAAGAAAAGCCACGATGACAAGAAACCTAAAGACAGTAAACCTAAAGACGGTAAACCCACCAAAGACGCCGACAAATCAGCCAAGAACGGCACATCGAGTGATCCTACAACAAATGGAACATCAACTCTTCCAACAACCAATGGGACCTCATCTGTTCCGGCACTGAATGGAACATCAACTCTTCCCCTAACCACTTAAGTAAGCGAGGAACAAGAGAGCCTCCCGGCCTTTTAGCTCATGTTCAGCTAGTTTAAATGCTGCCAACAACACCTGATCGCCTTAAACCACCTGTCATTGAATTTTCTCCTTTCTAGTTCGCATTTCATGTTCCCTACTGCTGTAGCCTTGTATTCTTTTCATCTCATTCGACACGGATATTTCTTTTTCAGTTGACTTGTTCAGCTCCTGTCTTTCACCAAAATTGTAGCCCGCATTTATCTTAGTCTTTGGCTTCTTCGCAATTGAAGTTTGCGTTTTGAATTCGTGCTCTCACCCTAAATATCAGATGGACATCCCGTGCCTCTTGAGCGGCTTTTCTTTCTACTTCTTGATCTGTAACCTTCCCCCCACACTCATACCTGGCAGCCACACCTGGTACATACTCCTCAGTTGAGTTGGAGGTCGGATGTTATTGAAAATAGACTCTAGAGATGGTATTCACTGCTGCGTTGACAGCTGCAAAGACCTGGACCATTTTCAACTAGCCCGATGTCCAATTACCCCTGACTACATTGTCATTGCAAAACTCTACCTTACACCAAAGGCAGATTATTGTGACTTCAATCTATTCATCACCCAGCACTTGTCTTGACGACCATAAGCTCAGAGCACAAGAGTGTGGACGCAACACCCAGGAGCATGTTGTCACTTACGACTTCTTGAGAACTCTATCTACTGAATCTCGGGAGTCTTACAAATCAGTGAGCCAAGCTTTAAATCATGCTCATCATGTAATATTATTTGCATACATCCTCAGGAATTGTGCAAGAGTTGGTCCCTTGCCAAAATGTTTCATTCCAGGTGATCCTGATCCATATCATCATTTCTCTCAAGATTGAATAAACATGAAATCACGAATTAAACAACAACGTCTAATCCTTCTTCTATCGTAGTCTCTGGTTTTACTGCAACCTCTGTTGAACTTTTTGGTAGAAGAATCGCAAAAGTAAGGAAAGAGGTATGACCACGTGACATCAAAGCCGGTTTACAAGTTTCAAGAAAAGTAGTCGTGCCAGATTTAACAGATGTTGATTTATTCGAACTTATTCCATCCTTGGCTATGTCCTGTTGACCATTCAGCGGGGTGGATGCATCCAAAACAGGCGTATCAGGTGAGTCATCATTCCTTGATCGTTTTTTCGTCAAAGGTTCTGTTGATATATTCTCAAGCTCTTCAGTTGATGGTTGTTCATCTTCATTCGTAGTAGTATTAACTGCTTCTCTGCGTTTTTTCGCTTCTGCAATTTGTCGATCACGTCTTAATTCCTTCTTCTTTTCAACTTCCTGGATCCGTGTCACTGCACTAGCGACTGTTGGCATTGGAATGGAAACGGGCTCATGGGTTCGTAATAGGGTTTCAAACATGGTGATCTCCGAGAAACCAAGAGCTTGTAGGGTTTGACAAGTTTTTTGAACTTGTTCCATACAAGGCGAGAAACAGCAGATACGAGACGTGTACACTCTCTGAACAAAGAAGGATGGCAAAGATTAGGACATTGGATGGCCGGGACATCGACAAAGTTTACTTACGTTCATCACTCGTTTCGCGTCCGCTAGAGCATCCCATGGAGCAGGTAAGTCCAAAAAGATCGCGTCAACCTGGTTTCCTTGAAGATCGCCAAATCCATTTTTGATCACATTCCGATGTTCTAGCCGAATTGGACCCCCTTCACTAGATAGTAGTCCATGCGATTTAAACTCGGCTCTATCATAGAAATCTTGGTCAGTGTCTGAAGAGCAGAATGGATCTCAATGAGACATGGTTGACTGACTCGGCTTTCAAAAAACGTTCTTCGTGAAACTCAAATGAGAAAAGTTTTCCTTCATCCCCGATTGTTCGAGCGACCGAATGTGAAAAAGATCCAGATCCAGTACCTAGGTAGAAGAACGCGTGGAAAGAGAAAAAACATGAGGATCTCAGATGAAAAGATAATGTTGAAACTTCAATCTCACCAGCTTCAATAACAATTGAACCGGGTTTAAGATCAAGTTGACCCGTAACATAAGCAATATCAGGTAGATATAAAATTTGAGTCCGATGTGGTAATGCAAGTGTCCTGAAAGAACCCAAGAATAGAGGATCAAGAGTCGAAATCAAAGAATGAGAGAAAAACCAAAGTAAAGTAAAGTGTTTTGTTAGAGCCAAAAGTGATCTCTGGACGAGCAGGTATGAAAACTTAATTCAAAAACCTGCTACCTTCATTAAATGAATCTTACACAAGTATATATATAATTGATATTGAGGTTTACCACAACTCCGGTGTTGGTCTTAAAAGATAAGTAAAACCTTTTTTATTTTTACTGGTGAACTAGAAATTCCAAAAAAAAGATGTACAATTAATCCATCAATTGAAAAAAAGGGTTCGATTTGATCAAAAGGAATGGAAGAGAACTTACTTTAGAACCAAATCGAATTCCTATCATTTCATCATGAGGAAATTCACCAAATTTCGATCTCAAGATTTTACCAGGACATACCACGATGGATGATAGATTATCTCTAGACTAAATAAACATCATCATTAATCGAAGATGTCCTTGTAAGAGTGAGTGAGAATATGAAAAGTTTGATGTTGATGAACTTACATGATAAACGATGAGGATATCACCAGCTTGAATCTTTGATCGATTTGATGAAAAGATTGAATTACTTTCTTTCATTTTTGTCCTTCTTTGTCTTGAGATCCGAGAAAGTGTACAAGAAGTTCAATGAAAGAATGGATTTGCAAACTCGATGGTTCTTTTTTCTCCGATTTGGTTGACAGCGCATTCAGGCTAGTCAGAAACTAAGGGGGTTTTATCCCTAACCTATGTACATAACACTAAGGTCCTCTTTAATCTCCAAGACACAATTTCTCGTTTTGACCACTTCCAGACTGCCAGTCTTCTCAACTTCAACAGCCAACTTCAACCAATTCAAATAGTTAATCTCAATCATGTCACCTTCTATCTCTATCCTAGTCTCTACCTTTCATCCTTTCTCAACTATCTCATTCTCTTTACCTCAATCTACTTCAATCTCAAGCTTACCTCACATCCTTAGTCCAATCTTATCAATCGATCAACAATCATTATCAACTTCGTCTGGACGTTCTATCAATCCTTCTACTACTGGTCAACTTTTCGACTTGAATTTAGGTCAAGATGCTCGATTCATTCAACTTCGTTTGGTCCCTAAAGTTTTGGGTGGAAAGGGGGGTTTCGGTAGTCAATTGCGAGCTGCTGGTGGTCGGATGAGCTCTCAAAAGGTATTTCCAGCCATCAGAGCTTCTTTATGCTCAAAACACTCATAATCCTTTCACATCTTCTTGTGATGCTCGATTAGACTCAAAACAACGACTCATGTCGAGATTTGACAGGTAGAAGGCTTTCAACCATCAAGGAAGCCAAAAAGTAAGACAAAGCTCACTCACCTCAGATTCCTCCCGTCTCCAATGGTCAATTTCAACTCTTCTGATATATTTCCCTTTCTATCTAGACTTGCCGCCGCGATTGCATCTGAACCCGAACGTCTAGCAGCTCAACGACGCGAAAACGAAGCCAAATTAGTCGCTTTGAATGAAGAAATCGCTCGACTAGATTCTCTTGTCAATGGAACTGATGAAGGCAATGTACGCAAACGAAGATTAAACGATAGTAAAGAATTAGAACAATCAAAGGAAGGAATTGAAAAAGTCAAGAGTGCGGTAGCTATGGCGATGTTAAAGAAGAAGAAGAAAGCTAAACTTGCAATTGCTGGTTCAGGGAAGGATCAGAAGAAATCAAATGAGTTATCAGTAGTTGAAGAAGATGAGGAAGTTCAAGCTGGATCTTCTAAAGACCCAGTGGTCGTCTCTGATCCTATCTCTACAACCGAAGAAGTCGCTTCAATCACAATTGTCGAACCAAGTACCATCGTCTCGAATGCTGTGGAAGAACCTACTGTTGTCGCTCCCGAAGTTTCCAACAATTCAACAGAACAAGCCACAAACATACCGTCCGAGGTTGATATCACAAATGACGTCTCGGCTATCGGTGCTGCCACCAAGGATCCTGTTACTACTGAAAATGCCGATGTCAGTACAAGTGATATTAAAGCTAGTAAACCTACACGAGCACCAAGGAAACCTCGTCATAAAGCGTCTCGAAAGGCCTCCAAATGATATCTGGTCATCATCTTATTGTTTTGAAGTTCCATGTAATCTTATCATTCTTCACTTGTCTTTTTGCAGATTTTTCTTTTCTCAACTTCAATCCAAATTCGTGTCATACTCGTGTTGGATACACTAAATAGTACCACTATCAAATGAGCATGGGCGCGTGCAATACATCACTGTGAGTATCTTTGGAGCATGCATAGTGTCACGACATATCAGCAGTAGAGTGTACTTGCCATGGCACTGGAGATGACCACACAAAACCTTGTGGTATTCCGTTCTGCATTTCCCATCAACCTTTAGTATACATGAGCCTTCGAAAAGTTTCCACGTGGCTTGTTGTACCATTCTGAAAGGTGCATTGCCATCATCATCACTATGGATTTGTCAAGAAGTAATCATGTTTGTGTCAGCTGGTTGAGATATAGAGACTCATTTTATATTCTCGAGCTCACAGCTCTCTCATGCCTTGCCTAGAACTCCATCTTCCAGGTAATCCTTTATAAGTTTGTTGCCATGGGGTGGCCCTGGTGGGAGCCTGCATATATTACATGCCTGTATGTTACAATATCAGCTTGAATTTCCAATCCACTTCAGATCCCAGGGGAGTATGGAAGAGCTGTGACTCTGTGTCTTGCCTGTGCCCACATTTTCTCAGCTCATTACTCAATCTCAACATGAATATATCCAATTGCCACAATTTCTCTGGATGTACACTCATTTTGGCTTGTATTGTAAGTTTCAAATCATCCTTGTGACATCATATGCACTTTGCAATCTGATATTGAGATCTACAAGAAGAAACATGCATATGACAGGTACAAGTATAAAAGATCTCCATACCTTATTGCCTCAAATTGAAAATAGACAGTCAACATATGCAGGGCAAGTTGCGCAGAGTACTTCAGTGAGGGCACAAACTGAACAGAATATGATGTGAAATGGTGCAGTACCCAAAATCTCAGTGACCACTGTGATGTAGGCATGTGAAGTACTTATTCCACCTAACAAAAGGTCCCGGCCCTCAGACTCAGTACAGGTGCAGATACACATTGCAGGCTGCTACTCTAGTAGGGACTGAGTGGCAATTAAAATTAGGGTGGTACTTGTATCAATGTGATATATATTGGAAGCATTTACTCCACAAGACTGTGTGTGTCACATCAGTCGCAAACCCAGCCAGGGCTGCGGTATAATAAGGCAACAGCATTCTTTTTGAATGGCAAACACATGGAGCAAGTTGTGGGGAAACATTGTGGTGTTTCACACAGCAATTTTGAGACTATATTTTAGTTGAGTTTGACAGATCAATAACATGTTCCAGTATCTGTGAGTCTATACTCCACCTGCTTTCTGCACATGTTTTGTTGGCCTGGGTGACATATCTTCAGCATGTGTAATAGAAACTTGCCTGAGATGATATTCAAATGATCTAACCCCTTTCTTGATTTTTCCAAATCAAATCCATCCACAGTTTCCATTCAAAATCATACCAAGATTTTCCACTTCAAAACTTTCATTCCATATGAAGTTTATTGTTCTCCTGTCAGTTTTGTTTGTCTCTCTTGAGAAAGTATACTCAGCCCCCAGCTTTGGCAATCATGAAATTGTAGAAGTAGGATCTCAAATCATAGAAGGAGGGCCTGAAATCTTAGAAGAAGGGCCTGAAATCATAGAAGAAGGGCCTGAAATCATAAGAGAATGCCCTACAATCATAGAAGAAGGGCCTGGAATCATAGGAAAATTGCCTCAAATCCCAGAAGAAGGGTCTGAAAGTTTTGATTCATCAAGATGGACTGATGGAGAATTTCAGACAGAACTATCACCCATAGATAGAATTACCAAGGATCCTCTTGGACGTAACTATAAGATGAAAAAATCCAAATTGCTTAGCATTGGCAAGTTTGTGACTTGGTATAAGCAAACTTCTGTCAAAAGATGGACAAGGATCTATGATGTTGCAAAAAAGGTTTCTGGTGAATCAAAGGATTTCACCAATGTTCAAGGGGTGATTGATATAGTCCTTAGCCTTGGAGACCATGGTTCCCCTCCTTCTCCAGAAATGATTTGGAGAAAATTGATCACACCCACTTATGATGCACTTCAAGATGATTCACTCAGTGAAATGGAAAGGATGTGGGCTGTTGGGGTACTTTCATATGGGAAAAGTCGGATTCCAGAGAAAACATTCAAAGAAATTCCACCTGGCTCACAGCTTGGCTTATCAGACATGACGGGCCGGGGGGAATTTGATTTGACTCTACTAAAAGGTCAGGCATTCATCATTTTGGAAATTGGGTTCTTGATCTATGATATCTGAGTCTTTATTTGCTGCATAGATTTTGACTTGGCAACTTTGGTTCACCAGAAATTGGGGCTATCCCATGGGCCAGGTCAATTGTCATATCCAAGTGAGCAATGCTGCATTTTTTACATTGGTGATGGAAGGGTCTGATCATAATCTTTTTAAAATAGCCATACATGAAGCCATTCAACGGGAATCACTAATATACTCTCTCAAACAAAAGATTTCAAGCAAATCTCATGATACTTCACCTGAGTTTGACAACATCTTTGAATGTTTCATCAACTTTCCAGTCACAATAAAAAAGAAGAATCTTGTGTCATTGAAAGAGAAATTCACAAAATACGTGGAAAAATATCCAATTCCCAAGAAAGATCCCAGTGGTATCCTGGAGGAACATTGTATGGATGAGATAATATCTCATTTGACCACACTTCTGCAAGACAGGCCACCTTTGCTTGAGGAAATTCAGGGGATTTTTGGCCTCTGGAAAAAGACAGAGTCCTAGTTGTGTTAAAGATGAGCCCCACACCAAAAACTCTGTGTAGTAGTTGTCCTGTGATACCACAGACAGCTCCATCTTTCATTGGGTGATACATTGCTCCTCTTGAGATCAATTGAACATGGAAATCCCCTTGTTTTATGTTGAAATCTTAACCTATTTGTCCTCCTTGCTACTATTGAGATCAATCAAGAATATTAATTTGAACCCAATTTACCTTTGTTTGATTTAATGTTCAGTTTACATTTGATTTTACTTTGAGTTGATCTTTTTCTCTATACTATCTTTACTGCCATTTTTACATGAATTCCTTTGTTTTTGACCCTCATCATCATAAAATGTCCTGGTTCCCACTCCTTCATCATGAATCTGATGAAGCCACTCTTGGGTCTTCCATATCGGCTCCCCAATGTTACCAGACCAGTTCAACTCACATACTTCACTATTTCTGTGGTCCAGGTGACACCAGGGGTCGGGTTTCAGCTCTTGCCAAGGTGATAATTCAACAATTGAGAGATATTGATGAAATTTGCAAGAACAGACTGAGAATTTGTGTTTTGTATTGAAAGTCATGAAGGGTATTGTCAACACCCCAGATTTGTCTACAAACCAGGGTACAGCAAGTACATAAATTATGATCAGATACACCACAACTGGTCTTCAGCAGTTTGTTTCCAAATCTGTGCCTGTATGGAAAAAACCTTATCAAGCATCAATGAAGAATGGATACTAATGACTCAATGTCAAATTTATCTGGGAGGAGTTCAGTTCAGATTAGACTCTTCTATGTTATTTACTATCAATGTCCTTGGTTTTCCCTTGTCATTCATTCAATATGAATGGCTATTTACAAATTTTTGGATTTTATGGCTCTACAGAGGCTGTTTCTGTAAGGTACAGTAAGTTCTTGCCGTACCATACTGAGTTGTTCACTACATTAATCTTCCCATTACGGTACAAAATTGTCTGCCTCTGAGCATAGACAAGCCGCGCCAAAGGCAAAGAGGCAACAACTATAGAAACATCAAACAAAAATATATTTCTTGATTCTAATACAATTTTTGTCTAGTTTCAAAGACAGCAATGAATATCATCATGATGACAAATGATTGGTCTAGAATCTTCACAGATTTCAAATCCTCAAAAAGGCCAGAGAATTTTTGATAGTGCATTGCAAGGCATACAAGGTCCTTCCTATGATTGAACTTGTTCTACATCATGAATATTTTTGAGACTTTCTGGAGTTCAACTTGAAGTGCCTGGCTGATCATTTTTGCGAGATTATGATTATTGTTGTGTAGTGTGAGGAGGCAAGAGTTTGGAAAAGTGGGATCAAGTAAATACTCAACAAATTGTCCTTTTGGCCCCACTAGCTTAAATTTCAGAATCTTCAATAAAGTAGAAACCTAGTTCTGTTGTCAAGATGGTTCACTGCTTCTTTGACTCAAGCTTGGTTTACTGTCCCAAGCCCATACAAGCTCTTGGGTCTAAACATTGTGCTTCTCCTCAACTTTCTATGTCAAAAATACATGTAGATGTGATAGAATTGGTAAAGGAGATTAAATTTTTCAGAAAAGATCAGAAAATCACTGGTTTTCTCCAAAATGATATGCATGGTTTGCCCTTGAGATTACAGTCCAAGACTTTAAAATAAAATCAAAAAAGTTAAAACGTCTTGGCATGGATCTAATATTTTGAAAAAAAAAAATTGCATGGAAGGCTCTCAATAAAATCATTCCAGAACCTGAATCTGCTGGTCAAAACAACCAATTTTGTGGTCTAGGAATCGTTTTAGGCCTTAGTTTGAGATTGACAACAGTTTGCCACCATACACTATACCATATACCCATATACACAGCTTTCAAATGATCCCAAAAGACATTCAAATCAATTGTATCACACTTTTCCTACATTATTCTTTCCTAATCGCTTTGTGTCAATCAAATTTCACATAGCAACTCAACATGTATCGTCATACCCTTTTACTTTTTTCTGTGTTGGATCTTGGTTGCACTACAGATGTCTGTTCTTATTCTCTACTGTGCTAGATGAAATTGCCTTGAAAATACTTATGTTATGTTCTATTATGATCAGAGTGGTCAGTCATTTAAATAATAGATGATTTAAATGTTTAGCAAGGTGGATCAAGTGAATGAACCATTGAATTTGTGCTCTGTCTTATTAGATGCTCAGTTCTTGCATCCTTATAAAAATCTAGGAGCAAGGTGTTCAGGTGCTCTCACTTTTAGAACCTGTTGCACACCTGGAACAACATATCTAGCATCAAGTTGTCCTCACATATTTTACTGGATGAAACATCCATGAAACTCAGAGGCCAGACTTGACAAACCTTATCAATCAAAAAGATTACCAGAAGATAAAAGACTTTGAACCATACACCTATAAGATGAATATAGGTCCAAATGATCCTTTAAGGGAATTCCATACATATCATCATTGTTGACATAAACTTGGCAAGAACATACATACTTCAACACCTCAAATCAACCATTTCTAGAAAATATATCCCAAGCAGTCACCCCAAGACAAGTGGAATATTTGTCCAACAACTATGTTCCATTCTGGATAAGATGACAAACTGATACAACACCTATATGTAATTGGGCCCGTTCCTAGATCTCGGTGCGCTGGGAACCTTTTTTTTTTTTTGGAAACGTTTCTAAATTTCGACCATGCCCTCGGCAAAAAGAGGCCCGATGAATGATGTAATGGATTGATGATTTATTGCTGTCAGTTAGGTTGATGTGTGGCAGTCAAAGGGTCAGATGTTTTCGAATGTTGCACCTGATCACCTTTCATGAGCCGAGTTGATGTCGTCGGTTGCTCGGTCAAAGGTCAACTTGTCACGGTGCACGACCAAATTTGGCCCTGTCGGCAGGTCTGTTCCCGGGGGCACCTTAAATTAGTCGGACTCGGACCATGGAGTATGTCTTATGACAGGTTTGATTGTATATTCAAGATGCACTCCGCAGTAAAGCACGTGCATACACCGACTCGAATGACAGAACTCTCCATGCAAGTGCACCAGTCGAAAGTCGAGAAATGACAAAGCATTGAAGTAACTGAAGAAGTGTTTTCTCTTTCAACCGTGTCTCTGTCTCTGTGTTATGTATGCTGAGGTCTATTTATAGAGATCTTTGTATGTAGTCCGATATGAATCCGATTTTCTCATTCTAAATCTGTCTATATTGATCAATGCGCTTTTTCTTTTAATTTTCACCAAGCTAGCTTTTTAATTTAGAAGATTAAGTAGTCAAGTTCTACCATTATGGATGTAAGATGTGGATTGAATTGATTTTAAGAAGTGAGTGAATGAGAGTGAGAGTGGTGAGAGTGAGAGTGAGAGTGAGAGTGAGAGTGAGAGTGAGAATGAGAATGAGAGTGAGAGTGAGAGTGAGAGTGAGAGTGAGAATGAGAATGAGAGTGATTGACTGGTTGCTGAGAGAATGATGAATAGTAGAATTGAATGAAATTGAATGAGAAAGAGAAAGAGAGAAGTTGATGAGAAAGAAAATTAAATAAAATTAAATTAAATCCAAATTAAACTAAAGACTCTATCTTCTCTTGAAGTCTTCTTTCTAATCCTCATCAGACTCAAATCGATATCATATCAGACTCAGTCATCTTCATCAGATTTCTCATTTTATCATTAAAGTACATATACTATCAGATTGATATCTCAAGATTTACTTATTATGATGGATAAAACTACTCATCAAGTTAAGACTACAAAGAGAGTTTCATCTTTCTTATCACATTTTACTTTTCATCATCAAATCAACAATAACCAAATTAAGAAATCGAATAACAATCATCATTCACTTTCGATCAACAGTACTGCTACTGCTAACAGTGCTAACCATCTCAATCAATCAAATCAAATCATCAGTCCTAGTCATTCAGATCTATCTTCTATCATCTCAGCTTCACCTATCACTCCTAACCATGATATTCATCTTCTTCAATCGAACACTACCAACAACAACCCCAACAACACCACTTCTTACTTTCAATTCCCAACTCATCATTCTAACAAATCTAACCTAACTTCAATTCCAATCCCAATCCCAACTTCAACTCTCACCACTCAATCTTCTCTATCTAATCTGTCTACATCAACTTCTCTCTTAACCGATGAATCTCAATCTTTATTCTCTTCAGCTTCATCTCGTTCAAACAACAATAAACCGGCTTTCATCAAAGTACTCAAGAAACTCAATGAACAATCTACTCCGACTTCTTCGCTTTCTTCATCTCCTCGTGAACCTAAAATCTTTCAATCAAATCAGATCAGTAAATCTTCTTCACTCACTCCACTCTGGGAATCTGAACTAGAACACTTTCCATGCTCAAAAGCAGCATTAGAAGGTTTTACCAAGTAAGTCGATCAGCTTCATGGCATCATTCATTTTGGAATTTCTCTCTAATGTCCTATTCATCTGAATCGCAGATATAGAGGTACATTACTTAAACATACTCCACCTGCTCAAGTTGGCTTTTGGAATTCGAGATCATCAAAAGTTTGGAAAACTACTCTATGTTGTTTAACCGCCATCTATCCACACAACCATCCCACATTAAATAGTGAAGCGACACTTTACAATCTACATATCTTCAATAGTCCTTCACCGGCTCAAAACGAATTAGAATCAGCTAGACTACGAATCGAAGCGAGTAGTATAGTTTGTGTATTGGAAAACAAGATGGCAGGTGAATCGTTAGTTTTAAAGATCACAGGTAAAGAAGTTAGTAAGAACCTAGATACTTCTCAAATCATTGAAACTCAAACTAGTTGGATGTTTGCTATGGAAGATGTCACTCATCTCAAGACTTGGATGAAAACTTTTAAAGAGATCGTCAATGAATTAAGACAAAACTCGGGCAATGAGACCACTCAAGCTTTCTATTCAGCTTCGTCTACTAGTACGACTACTACCAATAATCGTCCGTATTCAAGTATGAGTCATCCTTCAACTCAACCTGCTGATCCTCATCTAAGAGTTCCATCAAGACATACGAATATCAATCCTAGTTTATTATCTATCAATTCATCCATCAGATCAGTCACTTCAAACTTTTTGGGTCCTACTTCATTTCAATCGGCTACTCCTAAATCTAAATCAGACACTTGGTCATCATCTGTCAAATCTCAATCATTTCATCAACCGATCCGAACCGATCCGGTTCTCGAAACTCTCAGACCTGAAGAATCACCATACCGTACCTCTCCCTTGATCCGATCCCAAACCTCAGTACCAACTAAATCTTCCGACCTCGGTTCCCAACCTTCGAGTTCTACCAGTTCTTTATCGTCTCATCAAACCTCTCTACCTTGTCCTCCTAGAAGATCATCTAGATCAGTTAACCCTGAGTCCTTCAAACCTAGACCGTTACTAAGTCATTTGATCATCAAGAAACCTAGCACAACCGTCGGCTCGTCTAAAACGGATTTCGAACGGAATGGAATGTTAAGTGGTCCTTTGGTGGCTCCTCCTACAGCTGCTTTACCTCCGATTCCAGACGAAGGTACTGAAAAGGGTTCAGAAGAAACCGTTCATGGGTCTTGATCTTGGATTCATACTCTTGGTGTTTTTTTTTGTTGGATTATTACTTTCTCTCTTCATTCATTTAGTTCTCTTTTTATATTTTTTCTTTTTTTTTCTCAATCAAAAACTCTCGCTCTCTTTCTCTCTTCCTTTCCCTCTTATTTGTTCAAGTCTTCTCTTTCGATCATCTTTCTTTGCATGATTTGTTTTTCTTAAATTTCGTTAGGTTTTCATCAACTCATTCTTTCTTGACAACCAAATGTCAATTCTTCTTGACATTCTGTTTGTTTTCTCTTCTTTATCAATCATTTTTATCAATTCTGATCACCTCATTTTTTTTCTTTACAAGTCAAACTCAATTCTTCTTGAAATTACCTGTGTGTGTGTGTGGTTCTCTTTTTTTTATACCTATCATTTTTTCATCAACCTCATTCTTTTTTACAACCGAAAGTCAATTCTTCTTGACATTCTCTATATATGTGTTCCTTCATTCCATTTTTTTTACATCAAGCTCATTCTTTTCACACAACCAAATCCGTTTCTTCTTGACATGATATGCATTTTTTTTTGGTTTCGGTTTCGGTTTCGGTTTGGATGGAACATTTCTCATTTTTTATCTCTATGATCAAGTTGTAAACCTAAAAACTAGTCTAGTGTTTTGATTAAATATTTATTTTTAACCTTTTTTTCTTTTTCCTTTGTTGGATCTCAAAGTGTTGATTATATTTAATTTTTTTTTTTCATATTACTTATTCAATCAATCAATCAATGCTTTATAATTGATGATTCTTTGTTTTTGTTTTTTGTTTGGGTGTGTAGGAATTAAAAAATGAAAATGAACATGAAAATGGGGTTTTGAAGGGATTCGATACATGAGAGGACTGTCATTCTGCTGAAACTTGAGAAAAGATTACAAAGTTTTTTTAATTATATGGTTGGGTTTAAGTTAATATGAGAATCCAAATTAAACCATTCAGACTTTTCATTTGGTTAAATCTGATTATGAAAACTGAAATTTGAAGTTTTATTTTTGTTTTTTCTTCATGAATGTTGAACAATTTGTAGTAGAGGAGTGGTAAGTAATGGAAAAAGTTAATTAAACAGCCAATGTATTTATCAAAATACAAATCTATATTACCAGGGTGTTTTTTATGTAAGTCTTGTTGTGTAAATATCAAGTGTATAGTTACAGAATCACAGACTCTTTTTACAACCAAATTTAAGAATAATTGCACTTTGTTTCAAAAAAAAATGTGCACACTCTAGCCAACAAAACTGGACCAAATCAAGCATTATGGGTTTTGTGAAGCAGTAGATTTGAGCTTGGTTGGGATCCTAGATGATCATCAGGCCTTTATCTCACACAAAAAACCAAGATCCAATCTTTTGGTGAGAAAATCCCATTGATTGTACAAATGTAACACAGTTGATCATGTGAGCCACCATGGATTATTTTGGTATGGTTTCTGTGTTTTTTGGATCAGATAATTTATATCAAGGTGGTTTGTCTTCCTACAGGAAACTCATCACTTGTTTCTTGTGTTATCACTTATTTACACAACTGGATTATGGGGTTCACAATTGTGTGTTAGATATTTGTGGTAGGTTGGTCAAGATTGATAAATGGAAAGATGTAAGGATACAAAATGCTTTGGAAGGGAAAGTTGTCTTTTTGTATGTCATACTGACTTGAAAAAACTTAGTTTGGATTTGGTTTATGAGTTTTGAATGGTTTTGCACATCAAAGGCCCTGAGGACCAGTCAAAATCCCCAAGGATCAGTCAAAAGTTCCAAGGATTGGTCAAAAAGTTCCAAGCATTTGACAATACTCTAGAAGAAACTGGCAGAAGCCCAAGGAACTAAGACAAAGAGCTTACATAAAAACAAACTGTTTTCTATAGGAAAACATGCCTCTACTTTTCTTTTCTGCACAGGAAATTTTACTTTGGGGGTAGTGTGAGCTAATGATGTCACCCGGTATCCTAAGCAAAGGCAGCCTTACGTCAGTTCTTGACAAAAAAACTGATTTTTCATTGACTTATCAATGCTCAATACAGACACATTAAATCAATTTTCTCAACCAGATACTAAACTTGGACATGGATGACTTCCCGTCAAAGTACTCACTATCACTGCAAACATCATTCAACTTCCCCAAGTGGGCAGGAAAGAATGATTGGGATTATGATTTGTCATAAAATGATCAATCACTCCACACCTAAGCCATAACACCCACACTACATATGTGTAGCAGGCTCAGTGAATAGGTGGTTATCATGTACATACAGTTCTGCTCAGTTATCTGATCATCAGGATAAGTTATTCATATGTAAGGACAGCACTATTTGGCAACCACTTTTTTTGACCCGACACCCTGTAGTTTTTTGGTACTTACCTGCGCTTTTCACGCAAACCCGGACCCGACTCTGCCAAATTTGGCCACAGCCGCCGCAATACCAGCTTCTGTATCGGACACAGGACTTCTCACCATGGGAAACAAGGCTATGACCACCTCCAATCACATATCAAACCGGGCTACCACCAATTCTCTACCACTTACATTGACATTGACCTTCAACACCGTTTGATCTGTTCAATACGAAGGAGTTTCTCTCTCAGTTTTGATCAACATCAACAATTGATCTGAGGTTCTCTTGTTTGTGTCTATCATGAATAGATTTTTGTTGTGGAAGTTATCTCTCAATTTGTGATGCTCATTACATTACAATATACACTTGTTTTTCTTATCACTTGTTTGTTTCATCTTTTATCTCTACTTCTTTTTTTGTCGTTTGTTTTTGAAATTGATTGCAAAAAAACAATTTGTGTATTTGATAAGTGATCCGATCTTATGAGTCAGTTGAGGTGCCTGTCAGTCGCGGTTTCAGTCAAGGGTTGAGAAATGAGTCACATTGGTAATTGGCTTCATCATGTGACAAGTAAATGAGCCAAAAGTTGCTGAGCAAGCCGGCGCAATTACAAATTAAACCGGGCAATGTTTTAGTCAAATAGGGCGATGAATAGTAATTACCCAAACTCTGGGCATTGGGTCAAAAAACACGGTTGCCAAATAGTGCTGTCCCATATGTAATACATGCTGTAACTTTTTCAGAGTGACAAAAGCATTCAAAAGATTGACTACATACACTGACTCAACATTTTGGTGTAAAAGTCAAAAAAGTTACATGTGGTATAACATGTGATTTATTTATTCTGATGGGCAAAAAACTGAGCAGACCTGTATGGACATGATAGACAACTATTTACAGTCGTTCGCTAGTTTCTGCTGAGCCATTCTTCATCAAGCTCGATTTTAGGATTCAAATGCGAAGATCATTGCTTGAACGATTGATATTTAATTCAAAAACTCAACTTTGATTTCAAGATCCTGCGCCAGGGGCAACATCATTTGAAGGATCTTTCTATCCTATAGATGATGCTTTGTACATTAGAGAGATACTGACCTAATGGGATTGTTATCAAGATGTACAAGTTGTATAATTCCATCTGAAGCGTCATTTTAGATGACTTTTTTCAAGACCTATTTTGATTCAAATACTCAACCTCAATCTGAAGAAGGGTTTTGTTACAAAGGAATGAAGAAAGATTTGAAGAACCGTTCCAAATCTATTACTTTCTGCATTACTATATCTATCCCAAGGTCAAAATCACTACACAATGGATAGTGGTAGTGTTGTGAAAGTGCTGTGGCACTACACTTTGAAAAGCTAGTTTTTGCGATAGTGGTTGATGCACAGCCCTATACAAAAGTCCAAAGTTTCTGTAGTGGTATGTCCACTACACTCACAAGTTTTGGCAGTGTGTCCACACATATAGTGGTCCACATAGTGTACTGTAGTGTGCACTGAAGGATAATTCATTGAAATTCCATCAGGCTCTGCACCCAAACAATTAAAAGTCCTGTGCTTTGTCAGGACCCTTCTTTATCTTTCCTTTGGGGTGCAAGGTATACACATACTTGAATTCACCTCTGTCCTACTTTGGCCCACTCATCCACCTTGTGACTTTCTATCATTAGCTTTCCCCCACCACATCTACCATACCAGTGCACCTCATCAAAATCATGATCAAAAGTGAGTTTCAAATTAAAAGTATAAAGTAACCTGCCTCAATCCCCTTGTGGACCATTGCTTGTGACTAAAAACCTAGATTTATTATCTAAAACTTTGATTTGAACAGCATCCTCCCAACAAACATACTTAACATAGCACTCAATCTCCCTCCAACAAATGTACTTTTTAATTTCAACCATCATCCAGTTTCTTTATAATCAATTTCTTATCTTTCATCTTGATTTTCTTTCAATTCATCTTATCCTGTCATGCTGAAGGTATTCAATATTCAAGATGCCACTGTTACAGACAACAAGTACAATGTATTTTCTCCAACTCCTTCTGCTGACAATGACGTTAGTTATGAGATGGAGGGATGCATGTCTGGGAAGTTCCCATTGATTGGTGGCTTGCTGTGTTCATGGTGAAAGGTAAGTTTTGCTTTCATTCTCTTTACCACTACTATGATTTCTCACTACTTTGTGTGATGTAGGAAAACTCAGGTGCCTTTTGTGTTATTGCAAAGATGGCTCAGGATTTCCTGTGCTGTTCTGCAACCACCTGTTTGTGTGAGAGGGTATTTTTTGGAGCAGCCAATTTCTGCAGGTCTGATCAAACGGCATTGGAAAGTGCAACCATTGAGCAACTTACTTCAATGTGTGAATTGATGAAGGCATGTCCCAATGGTCCCAGAGAGTTTTCTGAGGCCTTTGTGTTGGTTGTGTATATGGAAAAAATGAAGTAATCCTTCATTGTCAATCTTTCTACATCTTTTTTCTTTGTTATTTCCCTATACACTTGTTCATCATTCAACATATCTTATTGTTCAAGTTCAAAACCTTCTTTAATACAAATCTTGGCTATTTTATCTCACTCCTTTCCCCTTGATTTACAACTCCCTTTAAAACTTGCTTCATGTTCAATCTTTCTTATTTTTCCTGACCGGCTCACATAGTCCATAAACCAAGTTCAATGGTTCTTTGTACATATTGTCTACATAGTGCACTACATGCCTTTTGATAAGTTTCTTTTTTTGTATTCAAACAACATGTGCACTATTATAGTGCTAGTGAGACAATATTACAGTGAGTGTTAGTGACTAACACACAGCACTACATGCAATCCATAGTGGGTGTCTGCAAATAGCGGTGTGTATTGGTTCTTCAAAATAGTGGTACACCACATCACTACCAAGGACCTGTCATATAGCTGTGCATAGTGAAGTGATTTCAACCTTGCTGGTACAGACATTGGTCCAAAAGCAAATCCTTCATGGATTGGCTAGGTTTTGATTCAATCATCTCTTACACTGTAAAATGATTGAGCATCTTTATCACATGGAGAATACCTTGGTCGCTGATGATTAGGGTATTTAGTAGGGTGATGATGCCTAATCTTGATTGCAGCGACACAGAAGAATTGTGAAAATTATATGGCCATTTTTGTCCGCCTCAGTCTCCTGATGAAAAGATACAGGAGGACACAATCAACCAGAAAACTTGATGACTACATATAAAAGAAGTAGACGTTGGTAGTCCCAAGCATTTCCTCAACCAGCTAGTCAAGTTAACCATCCAATGATGCAATACTCCAGCTTCATACTAAATCCTAGTGATTATTTTCTTCTGACTTGTTGATATTTGAGAAAAGATGCCAGGATTCTTCAATTACACGCTATGTGACGGTGCGAGGTTCATGCAGCAGTATGCTGGTGTAAACCCATGATATGTGGGTCAGTGAAAGGTTGTGTTTGGCGCAGGCAATCACGTGGCGGGCGTGGTGTGAGACTCGTGGTTTGAAAAGTGTTTGCATATAAGCATGGGCCTAGGGCTGTATCATGCCTGTAGGTGAATTTATCAGGGGCAGTTTGATAATTATCAGTGAATATACAAAAGTCAGATCTACCCTGGGTCCGTGATGTACTACAACTTCAAGCAATCTCCAATCTCCGTTGGGTGCCTGCACCGTCTCACCTCCATCACTTCACCAAGCACAGACTCAAACCTGACCAACTCCACCTTTGCTCCTCGCTCCTTGCAGCTCATTGAAGTCTGACATAAACCCCGGCTTTGTTTGATTCAATCAACGTGCCCAGTCATCCCGAGCATTAAAAGAGCAAGACTTATCACGCCGAATCTTACTGGAGTTAAAAAATTGAAGGCTGTGGGATTCGAACCCACGCCCGAAGACTGCGGATTACGTTGATCAACAACCTAAACACAGCGCCTTACACCTCGTGCAAGTGGGTGACGTACACAAATTCTGCGTCGCGCCGACGTTTACATAAGCCGTGTGACAGCGACATCCGTGCGAAAGTCTGCTACAGCCTGTGCTGTATGCTGCGACAGCGTGTGCTACAGCGTGGGACTTTTGGCACGGATTGAGAAAGACGAACTAGGAGGAGCTCTTATGAAATTCAGCACTGGATCATCCCTTGCAACCTGCAACTTTGAGCCTTTTGAAATCTATTGCTCAACCTGGAGAGGTTTATAAGTGAGCCATGATAGAAAGGTCGTGTCCAAGACAGTCACAGACCCCGTTCCTAGCCCATACTCCATCACCTTCTTTGAATCCATCGCACTCTTTGAGATGAACGTTTTTTGTACGTGTTCAAAATGCACGCAGCATCCCTGGAAAGACTCTACCGGAGTGACAAGGATAGGAAAATATCAGTCGAAGGCCACCAAGAATAAACATATGAGAGCTGATGCCCAACGACTTGTAGAGGAACCACCAGTAGAGAGTATAAAGAGTCGAAAGAGTCGTGCATCAACCCCATCAGACGACACAAGTTCGTCAGATACCAGCACAGATGCCAGCGCTAGTACTAGCAACAACGTATCACCAGTGGCAGACTATACCCGTACGTAGATTCCTGGTCAAAGTTGTTGAACAGCAGCAGAAACACTAATCACGATGCTTGTTTCAGTCATTGTCGTGGTCTTCATTGCTTGGCTTCACTTGTTTTGCAACGTTAGTCTGCAGAACTGTCGGATTGCGCGAGACCGAATCCTGCAGATCATTGAAGGTCGTCAGAGGATACCAGGCCATATTGATATGGGGTGTTGGGTCCGAAAGGACCCGCGGACTATCATCAGACAGCTCAATCTTTCCCCCACCTTGCGTCGGCAGATCTGCTGTCCTTCGTGCTTCAAGATTTATACGGCTCGATCTGCACCAATCTTCTGTACTTACCAGCGAGCACCAGATGCGGAGGAGTGCGGCGAACCACTTTTCAACTCGAAGACGACATTCGGAGCTATCAAAGACAAAGGAAAGATGCCTTCAGAGTCTTCTGCAACTCGTGTATCTGATTTCCTTGCCTCGACCGATATACCACGGTGTGTTTATGTAACTCAAGATATCTTATCCTGGATCACCTGGTTTCTTGGAAGGCCTGAAGTGGAATCGGAGATTGAAAACTGGAGTAAGATGTTGTCAGCTTCTGAAGGTTCCAGCTTATACGACGTTCAACAATCTCCAGCATGGGAGAGTCTTGACTGGAATGAACACAGTCTCACAAGCTCAGCCCCTCCGATTCGATTGGTATTTAGTGTTTTCATTGATTGGTTCAATCCTTGGGGTAATAAAATCGCCGGAAAGAAAGCTTCGATTGGCCTCGAAGCTCTCAATTGCCTCAATCTTCCAACACAAAGTCGATGGACCTTATCAAACACTTGCATCGCCGGTATAATCCCTGGGCCTCACGAACCGAGCAACATCACCATTAGTCATGTCCTCGACCCCTTCATCGAAGAACTCTTGACACTTGAAGAAGGCACAATGATATGTACGCATCAGTATCCAAAAGGACGAGTAGTTCAAGCCAAGATCCTTCCTTTGATTGCGGATAGAGTGGCTGCTCACAAGGTCGCCGGTTTTGCGTCTCATTCGCATACGTACTTTTGTGCATTGTGTTATTGTACGAGGAAGGAAGTAAGGGATTTGAAAATTGGACGACTTCGAGAGAGATCCGAAACTCTATCGCATGCATCGAAATGGAAGAATTCAACAACATTGGTAGGACAGGAGAAGATTACGAAATGTCGGAACGGTAACCCAACTTCTTGACTATCCAAAAGCTATCGTCTTTGCTGGGCTCGTCATCACTATGAGCTGCAATATCGGACAAGATTTCGATGTACCGGTCGGGGTATTTCATGTCGCGTGCAAAATTCAAGCGATGGTCTCGAAGCTGAAGGAAGAGTCAGCTTGATGACCAGGATGAACAAAGTAAAGTAGATAAAGTTACTTACACGTTTTCGTCCTGTTTGTGCAGATTTCCGTGCCGCTTCTTCCGCAAACGCTCCTGCCTTCTTCTGTTCTCGGTTGAATCGAGTGGCCATGAGGAAATGTACATAGTGATCATAGACTCGAATCAAGCGAGGGACATCATTGATATAGTCCTTATCCAAGTTCATGCTGTCGAAAGCTGCACCAGCAGCGACTTGACGAAAGGCCGAGATCGCACTGATGCGACAGGCACAGTTGAGGAGGGAGTCAGTTGATTCGGTTAAGTCAGGAGACCAGCGCCGTAGACCAAGCTTAGCAAGAGTCGCGTGGATGAACATAATGTGGATTTCTTGCAGCTGAAGTGTTCCTCGAGCAGCCTTCTGTCGAAGTCGAGCGTCCTTCAGAGTGGTGATTTCTTCTTGCGCTATGAGGGCAAGTGCACCCATATTATCGGCGGCGCATTCGATCTCGGCTGCAGAGTTGAACCGAGCATAGAACTCCTTCAAAGTTTTGCGATCTGGCGCCTGCGGAACCGCTCCTCGTTCAGTCATTCCCCAGAGCACTCGGATAGTTAGAAAGAGAGCATCCTAGATATTGCATACAATATCAGTATTCAACCAGTTGACCAAGAAGAAGACATGATGCGCTTACCTTGACACCTTTGAATCCAGGTGGAAGTTCCCTTTCCTGAATCTGGCAGGGATGTCGCTTTGGAGTCGGAGGTTTCACTGTCTTGCTTGATTTCGATTTTGATGCACTTTGTACGGGTGTTGATCTAGATCGAACGGGTGTGGAACGGCTTTGAGATGATGATTTTACCGGTGTTTCAGCTGAATTCTTTGAAGTTCTTGAAGTTGAGGCTTTGGAGCGAAGCACAGTCTCCTCTGAGGTGGTGGTGGTTACCTTTCGAGACGATGACGAAGGTTTCGACTTCTTTTCCACCTTCATCTCAGCGAGTTGACTTCGAAGTTGAGCAAGATCCTCATCCTTTGATTGGACTTGGCCCTTGAGTTCGGAGAGCTGGCTATCAATAAAGGCTCTGATTTCGGGGGGTACACCGTCGGACATTGTTCCAGTATGAAGGATAGAGGAAGATTTAAATCGTGGAGAGATCCAAAAGCAATAGTAGCTGAACAAATTGAAAGAAAGCAAAGAAGGCGTAAAACGTGGAGAGGATTCCAAAAGTAATGAAAATATGAACAATATGACGAACGAAACTGAAGGCAAGGTCGAGGTGCTACTCGGCTTTATAGGGTGGACCAAAGCTCGTGGTAGAGTGGTCACTGTGCATCCTTTAGATGACATCATGACCCGCGCTGAGCTGCTGTGGTAACACATAAGGCTATCCTTCATTGGGATTGATCAAAGAAGTGATTATCGGGTTTCCGATGTCTGTAAATCCGAATCCGATTATATGCGTGGGAAGATGGGAAGATTCAGAAAACGGTGTAGCATACAAGACCCGCTGTGGTAGCAGGTGTCGCACGCTCTGTGGCACACACTGTTTCACACGCGGGTCCACGCAGAGCTTATGTAAACGTCGGCGCGCCGCAGCAGCTGTATACGTCACCCATTTGCACGAGGTGTTAGACCACTCGGCCAAACCTCCATGTTCCCGAAGAGTACTAGGTGCTACTCAACATGCTCAAAAAGACCCTCAAGCATTCATCATAATCACTTTTTTTGGGGGTGCTCATACTTGCTGCCTCACACGTGAAGCAATCCAGTGTTGAATTAATGCACAATTTTGAGAGAGAAGTTTATATCTCAGTCTATAAGTAAGGATTGGGCGTAGAAATAAATAGATTATTGCATGTTTATGTTTATCTGGAAAAAAAGTTGTCCTTTGTCTCACCATCCTTGACAAAGAATGAAGTGATCTTCCATGAATAATGACTGAGTTAAGAACCTGATGATTGAAAACCACATCTGATTCAAATTCAATTCAGTCCGGAATGTTGATTGCTTTCCTGTGTTCACAATTTATCCAAGGCACAATTCTCAAGCCAAACTAAGGAGGGTGAATATCGAGCTGGCAATGGAGAGTCATTGAGATTGCTGATCATGAGGGAATTTGAAGTGGGGTATGATCTATTTAAATGCAGTCTTGGTCCTGAAAATGCAAATGCTCATTATCCAATCTTCCTATCCGTTGTGTGGGCTTGTTGTTTTCTTGTCTTTGATTGATCAGCTTGGTTATTTGCTATTATCTTGGTTACAAAATGCATATACCATGATCAGGTGTGATGCTACCACGCCTAAAGCTTCTCTTCAAAAATATCGGCATCCGTTGGCCTCCATCATCAAAAGTTCTATCTTTCAAAACTACAGAGCTAGGTCTCATTTTTTGGACAAAAATTCATGATTTCACTTTATTTCGCTTCAGCTATGCTGGTCCATACGCTTTTCATGATTGCATCTCATTCGCCATCTTCCTTGGCGTTTCACTCTGACATCACCTCACCATACGATCAAGTCTGTCAAGCCCACTCTACGGTCTTTCAAGACATTCTAGAATACGATAACTCGACCAAGAAGTTGTCTAAAAACTCTTTAAATTTCTCCAATCTAAGCTATAACTCTGATCACGAACTAAAGCCCGATTCGGCATATCCTATACAATCTGAAAGATATGGATTCCATCGAGACTCATGTTATCCACATCCCACTGATCAGAAACAAGAACCAGTTTGTATATATCTTAATCCTAATTTCGATCAAGGTCAGGGTATCGTGTTCATAACTCGAATACCGGTTTTTGAAGAAGGTTTAGAACAGTTTACTTCTTTTCGCTCTACATCTGGATCAAAGCGCCACAATCGACATGAACTACCCTTCAAGGTGATTGATATGGCTCACAAAGGTGGAAAAGGTGCTATATCCAATAGAAAATTACATTTGGGAGATTCAGTGATCACAAGTCATCCAGTCGTAGTCATGGCTGCTGAACCTGAAAGTCTGAATAGATCAGATTGGGTCAAGATAAGAAAGCGTGGAATTAATTTGTTACCGTCGAGAACAAGGGATGAAATCTTCAAGTTACATGGAGTTGGAGAAAATGAGGAAGATTTGGCGGGTTCTATCCTTGAAAGGAATTCATTCGAGACTCGATTTGGGAATCAATCAAACTTACATTTTGCATTAGTCCTTACACCCTCGTCAGTCATTTTCACTTGCTTCCTTACAAGGCGCTGCTTCTCAATTAAAATGAAGAAACTAATTATGATGTCAAACCCTGTTAAACCACTATGATTCCTGGCATACATCTTTTCCTCATCCATCTCAGTCGACTCAATCATGACTGCAGACCTAAGTGAGTGAATTTCACTTTGTGGATATCATTGATCAAAGTTCTCGAGAGCAAATAATTGATATTGTCGATGTTTTTGGTCGGGTTTAGCGTGGCGTTCTACTTCGATGATCATGCACTTCAAGTCTCGATGCATGCAATCCGAGATATTTCTCCAGGTGAAGAATTGACAATATCTTGTGAGTTTTCAATTTCTCTACACGGAATGGGCCATTCAAGATGGAAAGCCATGCTACCTACCCCGAGAATATCGATCTAAAAGTTATTTCCAAAACTTCAGATCGAGATATGAAGCTACCTCGTCTTGAAAGACAACAAGAACTCGAAGATTACGGTTTCAACTGTACTTGTTCACTTTGCTCTTTACCAGATTTGCCAGCTCGACTGTCAGATGATAGAATCTACGAGATGGGTGAACTCGATGGTATTCTTCAGGATTGGTCCATTCATTCTTCTGCTACTCCAGCCACGTCAGAAAGATTAATAACTTTGTTTAAATTGGTCAGTCTTTCCACTCGAAGCTTTTGGTTCAGTACTCTGTATCACTTTGATTCTAACTTTCTTCTTGTTTGGTTTTCTCTTGACAAGGAAAGAATGGATAATGGAATAGAAGAAGGTTACACATTAGCCTCACTGAGTTATAACTCCGTGGGAGATGTCGAAAGAGCTAAGATGTACGCCTCTCTAGCTCTAGCTTATGGCACTGTCTCATCAGGTCCGAAGTGGGAAGACTTTGATTCTGTCTTGCAGTTGGAGCAAGAGCCTGAACAACATTGGTCTTACAAAAAGCGTCTTTAAATTGCCTATGTAAATACTTTTTGATTGAGGGATTTGATAAGTGCTATGGCTCAAAGATGATGTTATTTGGTGATATAACCATTCATCCTAACTCTTCAGTTTATCCACATGACTTTTGAACAGTATCCTATTAAAAAACATCTGCAATGCAATCGGATCAAAACCCCAATTTGAGTCTGCTTTCTATAGTTTCCAGGCTCAAAGCGATACAGACATATATATCAAGAACAAAATGCTACACGTTCCAAAAACACTTGACGTGGATAAATGATGACTGATTTGTACAAGTGGAAATCAATATGAGACTGCGATAATCATCAGAAGTGAATTAAAAGTCTATGTTTCCCGGCGCCTATAAGACCAATGTGTCTCTGGTGATTGCTCCAATTCAAGTACTGCATCGTATTCTTCCCACTTTGGACCGTTGAGGATGATTCCACGAGCTATAGCTAAAGATGCATACATACTTGCCCTCTGTGAGTCACCCACAGCGTTATATGCCAATGAAACCATTGTGTAAGCTTCTTCTAGACCTGTATCTAGCCGTTCCTATCAAACAAACAAAAGGCTTCCGTTGTGTTCAAATATTGAAGAATTAACGATATGATTTAGAACAGACAAACCAGTTTGTAGAGCTCCAAGACATGTTCAGCCATAGTAGGAGTAGCTTTGGATGTAGGTGACCAGTCAATCAAGTGTGCAGTGAGCTCATCAATTTGCCGTATTCGAGAATCTGAGACTTCAACAGCATGTGATGGTAAAGAACAAAGTGAACATTGACATTCAAATCCGTAATGTTTCAATTCTATTCTTCTTTCTTCGCGTGACAGTTTCATATCCCGATCTGACATCCAGAATTCACAAAGAAAGAAATCCACATTGATCGTAAATTTTGCTTGCTGATCTACTTTTTGGGGGTAAACATATCCAAAGCTTACAAGAAATTGTGACTTCTTCACCGGGTGCAATATCTCGGATTGCATACATGTAAACTTGAAGCGTCGATTCATCAAAGTGAAAGGCTGCATTAGCACGACAATCATGATTTAATCTCCTAAATCCAAAACAACAAGGATCAGCGAAGCAGAAACATTTTGAATGATTTGCATTTTTGGATGTAAAATCATCACTCACGCAGGTTCTGGGATCACAGCAAAGAATGGGACTTCATCTTCTCCAATCGAAAATTCAAATCCATTTCTACTGATCGCAGATTCGATCCAAATTTCTTCCGTTTCACCTATCGCGTGCATTGTAGCAAAAGCAGCTCTAGTTTGAATTGGTAAATAGTCTACCATCTTTTTTCTAATCATACCCCAATCTTTTCTATCCCAAACTAATGATTCGACTGATATGGCAATGATTGAATGGTCTGTTATAACCAAATCACCTAAATTATATCTTGATTTTGCAATCATACCTTTTCCACCTTTCTCTGGCATATCTATAACTTCGAATTTTCTTAAATTTCGTTTTTCATCTGTTAATACTTTTGAATTAGGTTTAAAGATTGTAATTGATTTAAGAGCTTCCATGAAAACTGAAGGTCTAGACAAGAAAACTACGCCCCTCCCTTGAGCAAATCTTGAGTTGAGGTAAATGCAAAATGATTCATTGTTAATATCGCTTTCATGAGGATAACATTCTTGTTGAACAAATCCATCTAGGCGAGATGATTCTTCGTGATCCTCACGAATTGATTGATGTTTGATTTTATCAAACTTATATATTAATCCATCTGAGTTCAGGTTTTGATGAAGAGAGATTCCGGTAAATCCATTAGTTCCGTTCATAAGGGGAGTTTTGGGGCCGAGAGACGCAAGAGAATGGTTTGTGAGGTTTGGTGCCATACAAAGGGGTTCGACGAGTGAGAAGCCATTGAGTCGATTAAGTGAATCATCTTTGCTATGAACGAGGTGACAATAGCAAGACCTGATGAAAGCCAGGGCAAGCCAAAATGAAGAGAAGGAACCATCAAGTCGCATGACACGCGGAGTTCAATAGACGAATGCAAAGTGCGTCGAGAGATATGAATAGTGGGCGAGACCTTTGCGATACTTGATGATATGAGTTGGGTTGATGGGAAAACGCAATATTGAGAGACTTGAGATATGTTAGCAGGCTCAAACAAAGGATCAAGTAGGTGAGACTTATGATATCAAGTGGTACCTGATTTGCACACACATTGAACGTTAGACAAGGCAAAGGTTCTCGTCATCCGCTGCAACCGTACAAAGGAAGAATTAAATTCACCTTCATTCTTGTCCATGGTGTATGAGATGGATGGTAGAAAAGTTCCATCAAAGGTAACAAAAGACAAAGCTTTTTGTTGGTCAGTTCTTCTTACTCATTACCACTCCAGCGATCTTCTCAGTTGTAGTACCACGCAAAAACTTCTCCAATTAGGCAACGGTTTTTCCTGTCGACCTGTCTTTTCTTGCAGACTTGATCGGAAAATATCTTGGACGAGAGGCCTGGTAGATATATGCGGTCGATGAATTCCAGCAACCTGCTGCGAAAGCACGCAAACTGCCTGAAGAACTTGTAATAAGATATTTGGACTGATCATCTTAATACCTTTGATCTTGTTACGACCCAGAATCTTATGTTCCATGGACTCGAAACTGTTAGGATCCGGCATTCTTACATACAGGATGTAAGCCTGAATTTGACTTTTCAAACACACTTTGATGACCGTCAGTCGCTTAGAAGTCATTCCAGATGGAGCGATGATCAAAGTAGGATGTATTCAAGAATCTGACGCTGTAGAACCACAAAGCAAAGTCTATGTAGAACGTGCTCTAGAAGGTCTAGGATTGTGAGTCGAATCACAATTCTTTAACTTAATAGCTTTTTTTTCTGAGAGGTGAAATCTTAGATCCATTCCTAGAAAAGGACAGTTAACATAACTTTAGGAATTTCCTCAGAGGTTGTTGTATACATGAATGATCGGCATGGTATCCAGACATACAGAGAAAAGCAGGTTTGTTAGCATACAGTACCATCACGGAGCGAAGATGGGGCTACTGAACACGAGAAATAAAACATTACAATACATTTCCAATAAAATCATCCTAAGTATATGATAACATTTCTTAGAAAGGTCACGTGTGGATCAGCTTCGAAGCTGTATGTATCGGGTACAAATATCCTAACTTTCTCTGATCGCTGTTCCTCTCCTTCCCAACTCTCTACCACCACCACAAGATTATCCTTTCCATAAACCTTTTTCACTACCTCTTGAATCCTTCCCACTTCTCTTCCATTTCTCTTTCATCATGAATCTCCCCAAGTTAACTTTTAAAAAGATCTTCGGTCCTCGTTTTCAAAAAACCCTCTTTGTTTACTTCCCGTTGAACTTCTTCTTTGTTATCTTTTTGATTTTTGGCACTCACAAGATCTCTCGTTTCAAAGTTCCAGAGTCGTTCATCCTTAAACTCATCGCTAAAAACTTGTACATCATTCTTCCTTGGGCTTATTTCTATTCTCATATTCTTTACTCTCGCCACGACACTCTTCCAAAGGAGCGTTCGACTATTCCTGAGAAAGATATCGAACTCGGTCCAGTAGCTCCTCTTCCGAAACCTCTCGATGCTCCAATCCCCCTTCCAGCCGAATTTGTTGAAATTGATCTAGGTATGCCATCTTTCCTACAGTTCTTCCTTCTCATGATTTTATAAACCAGTCTAACAAACTCTTCCTGAATCGACAATTGCTTCTAGGTGAAGGTCCCTCAAACTGCGGTCTTCCTGGTCCTCCTCGACCTTTTTTAACATGTGAAGTTTGAAGAACTCGACTTGATTTCATCTTGGTATGTTATCTCTGCCTTCATTTCCCATCGATTCATCTTTTCTGAGCGCGAATTCATTATGTATTTTGAGTGATCTGATCCTTTTGACTCTTCCCAAATCTCTTGTGACTTGGCAGGCGACGTGTTCCTCAATCTGTTTCCTTATCTCAATGTCTTGTTTGGTGACCATTCCATTCTCTCGTTTGAAATGTGTTCTTGTTGTTTTTGTTTTGCGATGATGAGCAGGAGTTTACTTTTTGAATATTCGTATCGAGTCGTTGCCGATATTTGAATCAATTAGTACTTTAAATACCCTCACTCTGAGCTCCTTTACTTCTATCTGTCAACCTAATTTGTAATCAAAAGATATATATCAACATCTCTTTTCAATGTGTTGAAGTGGCTGAGTGAATAGGAATTCAAAGATACCAAAGCAGCAGCTTGCTTCCCTCATCATATGGCTATCATCGTGGGGATTGGCTTCGGTGAAGTTTGACATCTTCAGGGAGTTTTTTTGTTTCTCTACCTTCACCGAGAAAGATATCAAGCTTGGTCCAGTACACCACAAACCCTGGGACACGGTCAAATAACTGGGATTCGCCCCAGTGGAATTACCACAATTTTTAGCTGGTGAAGAACGCTTTTACAACGTCCGCGTCTCCACCATCTTCCAACTGGTCATGCTAGCGTTGGTTAGGCAACGGGGTTTCAGTCGCTTTTGTACGGGTATAAACAAAACCCACTTTCAATCAATGTGTTTGCCCGTAGGTTACTGGTTGAAAAATTTACTGTGCTTTGGTTGATTTCCTCCGTTGAGAATTGGTTGTTTTCACGGTGGCACTTGGTTCATGTATATAGCAACTAGGTTTTGTGATACATTACGCAAAACAAATGAAGCTGCTAAGGCACCAAACAGAATACAAGACCGACCCACTGAAGGGAGACAAATCTGAGCGAGAGGACTCCAAAGAATAAGTGAAACGAAACAAACACAAAAACAAACACAACCAACAAAGTTTAAAGTTGAGAAGACCTCTGAGCAAAAGTACTACAAAGAATAAGTGAAACAAAAATAAACACGAAAACAAACACAAACAAGAAAGTTGAAAGTTGAAAAGACCCTAGCATATCCCTATACGGTTTCAAGGGGCCTCCACATCTACTGCTTCATGACCGCCCTCATCTGGGGCAAGACCACTCCCAAATGTATCCTCCAACTCTTGGATAGTGTTCTCTATACGCTCCTCAGTTGGCATAGAAAAATCGATACGGTCCTTGAGCTGAGCGAAATTCTTCATGCCATCAATTCGGTCGTAATCGTCTTGCAAGACCAACAAAAAAAACTGATACATATTTAGGTAGGACGAGTCTCAGAAGAGATGTTCCTCTGAACTGGAGCAAGTGAAAGTGAGGCTTTTTACTTTGAGGTCAGGTTCACTTTTCATAAGTTGACATCGTGAGCATCTTCACTTGAATTAGCGAGAAGGAAAAAGAGCCGGAAGAAAAGAAGCAAAAAGAGATCTTTGAACACAAGACGGAGGAAGGCTCGAATCGACAAAAGAAACAAGCTTTGCAGGAACAAACTGTGCGTTGGCGCAACCAAAAGATGTTTTTGTTCGTTCCTCGATCCGACCACTTGCGTCTTGCTGATATCCTATCAATGTACAGGACACCACCCGGAAGCGCGTCAGGAAATTGACTGAGCAAATTGAGAGGGTCAAGATCTCTGAACATGATCTCAAAGATCAAACCGATAGTTTAAAGCAAAAACAGGATCGTTTGACAGAATTGACGAAATGGATGACTCAATCCCAAGCTGACAACCGGATTAAAACCAAAAATGACGAAATAGAAAAACTAGAGGATGAGAAAGATGAATTACATTCAGAATTGAGTGGATTACATCGACAGTTTGATACTCGAGCAAAATTGGCTTTGAAACGTGCCGATGCTAGAAAGAAAAACGATGGAATTCATACAATGTTGGGTTATATTCGAGTGACCAGGGGAATCACTTGAATGATGGACCTCGGACCGTGCAGGGCTCGCAGGGATGATTTCGCGTTTTTGTTGGTCCACGAGCCATCTTGCAAAGCGTCTGATGTGGCTTAAAGTCTTGCGATGCTTCTTGATGGACAACAACTCCATGGTCCGACTATCGCACGCAAGGCAGACATAGATGGAGTTATTATGTCCATTTGACCTTGCGACAAAACCTGGTGTACGTGATTGTCAGTTGGTATGAACAGGCATGCTAGGAATGAAAGATGATCAATACATTTTTCTAATTCCATCAGCGGATGAGTTGATAAGTGTAAGTGATAGGAATGAATGTCAAATGAAGGAATAAAAAGTGATAGTGATGAAAGAAGAGAGCTGAATCAAACACGAGTGACAAATGAATGACAAGTGATTGGACCTCCTTGACCAAAGGGAAAAGGTGAACGGTCGTTTTCCGTTCTTCAAGGGTAAATGAAAGAAATCGGTTCGTTTACTATCTGGCACACGAGCTCCAGCAGTGATCTGCTGGAGCAACATCCGCTGGTCATTGAACCAGCGGGAACGGTGTGTTTGTTTGTGGTTTTACTGACGGGGACAACTGCCTTACAAGTGGTTGACTGACCACTCATATTATAGGGTTCAAAACCGGGGACAAGGCCGGTTGCGCGCCGGCTCGGAGCAAGGGTTAAACCGGGTACCTACAGAACCCCCTGAGAGCGGTTACTCAACAAAAAGGGGGTTCGTGGTGTAGTTGCAGTGTGCCTCCGCAAGAGTCAAATCACGTGCCTGCTGAAAAAAAATATAGGAAAGAACTTTTCGGACAAAAAACATGTTGGACGTTCGGGCCGTTTGAGATTTTTAATTTAAGTTCGGAGAAGTTCAATTCGAATTTTACAACAACCATTCTCACGACCACACAGAAGGACAGAAGGAAATCGAATATGGCTGTTGAACCTCAGTCTCAGGTTATCAAAGATTTACTAGCAGGAACCGCAGGAGGGATCACACAAGTCTTGGTCGGACAACCATTCGACATTGTAAAGGTCTGATATTCTTCAATTCTCTATGTTACCGATTTGACCAGCTGTTGACCAACTCGTGTACTTCGCTTCAACAGGTTCGTCTACAAAGTAGCGATGCATACCGAGGTATGAATGATGCCGCTTTACGTATTTTACGCGAGGAAGGTCCCGCTAGCTTCTATAAAGGTTGTTCAATAGGCTTTTGAATTTGAAGAAGTGAATTGGTTACTGATCAACTATCAAATCGTTACCCTAAGAAAAGTCTAGGCACGACTTTACCCTTGATTGGTATCGGTGCATGCGTGTCTCTACAGTTCGGATTTCTAGAAGCCTTCAAGCGTTCATTCAGGTTTGTAGGCTTGCCTTAACTCACATATCATCACTCTTCAAGCACAAGGCTGAGCAAGGTTGTTACATTTTTCAGGCGTCAAAATCTTGCAAGCGGTCGTTCTGAACAACTCACTCTCGGGCAACTATACCTTTCCGGTGGAGGGGCTGGGGTAGCTAGCTCTATAATATCAGGTACATCTCCTTGATTACACCTAGAAGAAGTTTTGATTTAGAATATCGAAATAACGGCAGTGATCTGAATTGTTCTTAAATCGTCAGGACCGGTTGAGCATATCCGAATTCGTCTACAGACTTCATCTCCAAGTTCCAAGAATCATTTGCAAGGACCGTTAGATGCTTTGAAACAAATTTATAAAACTGATGGGATTAGGGGATGGTATCAGGGGCAAGGCGCAACTGTACTTCGGTGAGTCAAATTTATTTGATGGTCAAGTACAATCAGCTAAGCGTTCTTCACAATCTGTCATTTGATCTAATCAGAGAGTTTCATGGATACGGGATGGTTTGTCTTCCTGGCTAAATGAGATGGGCTCGTCACTTTGTTTATCATTGAGGTATTTTCTCATAGTATTTCCTCGGATATGAGTGGTTAGTCCAACGTCACATAGACCAAAATGGTGGTTCGAGAAAAGATCTTGGTACTGGTTGGGCTATGTTGTACGGGTATGTTGTGTGCCACAGCTTAATTTTCTTCTCATCTTTTGACTATCTATCCAGTCGTGATAGGCTTTATTCCAAGCTGACTATGGCTCTATCCTTGTGGCAGGGCCGGTGCAGGTTATTCCATGTGGCTGTGTAGTTATCCTTTAGGTTAGTATCCCCTTCTTACCAATTATAAAACGCGCGTCTTCAGTTTCCTTTGCCGATTCCACTTCCTCGGTAATCTGGACAATTCACAGATCAGATCAAGACGCGAATCCAGACCGATGGTCTACCTTCTCAGCCCAATGATCGAAAATATCACGGGGTAGTAGATTGCGCCAAGAAGGTTTGGAGGGCAGAGGGTGTCAAAGGTTTCACTAAAGGCCTAGCTCCAACATTATTAAGGTCAACATCATCAATCATTTTGATACCGATGCCTAGTACTGATAGTCGACCAATTTCCCCTTGATAGATCTCCGCTGGTTAATGGAGCAACGTTTGCCGCATTTGAAACTACCATGAAGCTAATTAGCTAAGTGAGAAGAGATATAGAATTCGAGTCGATCGCAGTAAACTCTTGGGTTACGGCTGACGTCTCTCACAATGTGGTATATTGATCTTTGCTGCGTCGGTTCCTTTTTCATGGTATTATATATGGGAAATGAGTCAGTATTAAATTTTATCTTGAGCATTCAATCCCGTTGAATGATTGTAAATGTCACGACTTTCAAAGATGTTCATGAACTAGAGTCTATGTTGACATTATGAAATAACAAACTTGGATGATTTGAACGCTATTCAATGGTGACTGTGACTGTGTGATGTATTATGGACATATGAGGAAAAAATTCTAGGTATCTCACTCTCGACTGTTAGGACGAGGAAGACAAAAAATGATGATAGCCTGACTTAAGCTCAAGTGCAGCTGCATCTTTGTGGGGGTAGTCGATGTCAGCAAGATAAGCCTGAGTATTCTGGCAATGTTGTACGATTTGCAGCCAATCTCGGCCCAAGAAATGGCCTCTTTGCTATTCAAGCCTGATCATTATGCTCACGGACTGCTCTGTTGATCAATAATCTGTCTTCTCTAATATTGAGTGGACTGTTATGAAAATTCAGAGATGAACTTAACTAGATGACCCCGTGACCAGTGAGTATTGAAACACACGTAGGAGCCAGATTTAGCACAAGGAAGCACCGAAAGGATACATTTTTGGATGCCATGGCACTCTGAAACTGTAGCAAACGAGTTTTATTGAGAATTTGACAAGCCTCTTTAATCATGCCCAACCATCAGGAAAAGCGACAAATTTCAATCTTGACATGTTGAATCATTACAAGGGCAGGACAAAGATGCGTATATCGTCATTGTTACACGCAGTTGTTTGCGATACAAGCCCGTGTTTCAAGGGTAAAGTTGCACACCAAATTACTTGGCCAAAAATATGGGAATGTTATAAAATCTTCTTCCCAAGATAGGTCCGACCAGAACCATGAAGATGATACTTCACATGTCTGAATAAGTTCTTGACCAAATTTATGACCGAATAAATATGTGAGATTCGAAATTTTGCCCCTGGACGTATACACGGGGTCACAAGGATGACATCAAAAGCCATTTTTGAGTTAGCCCAACATCTTTCTAAAATCGTCTTGACTCTTCCCTATTGGACCAGATGTCGCACTATTTCCAGGCTTTTGTGATACCTGAGGCGCCACGTGTGACGAAGTCTCTTTCAAAGGCTTGTCGCCCGGTAGAGGCTTTGACCCTGACGATGCTCCAGAAAAGCCCAATCCCAAACGCGCTTTCTTCCCTCTCGTCGTCGTGCGCGGCAGTAATGGCAGATTAGAATTGACGGTACTAGAGCCTGCTTTAACCGAGCTTGAGGGTACAGATAGCTCGACTTGTTGACCATTGATGAGGATTGCCTCGGGATGCAGAAAGACTGCACCGGCATGCTAAAATCACGCAGGAAGAGGAGTACAAAGGTTTGATAAAGGTTATGGTAATGGTCCAGAATCTTAAGATACCTATGGAGCTACTGCAAATGGAGATGTAAGGATTGTCGGGACTCACTTGGGCGTTAGCAAACTCGACCACGGCCTCCTGTTTTTCCGGGTATGTGATCGTCTTCAGTACTTTTCCAAATGACTCGAAGGCTTGCTGGACTATCGCTTCTTGAACTCCTTCCGGTAATTTTGAGACCTTCACACATCGACTACGTTGATCTACGGCTGAGCTGAGTTTAGACTCCGCCTGGAATTTTCCTTTGTTTTTCCCGACCAAAGAAGTTCCCTTAGAATTTGAAATGGTAACACCAATCCTGCGCTTCTTCAACTCAACGTTATTCATACTTAGCGCAGCCTTGGCTGAGGCCTTTGGCATCGTGGAAAGTAAGAGGTCATCAGCAAGTTGATGAATGAGCAACACAAGAAAAATTGATCCGCACCTCGGTCTCGAACTCAACAAATGCAAACCCCTTAGAATGCCCATCTTCATTCAGGATCATGCGAACGCCTTTGATGTCTCCGAACTATATAAAGAGCCGTATCAGCAGGAACGCTTGTTTTGTACCAATAGAAGAGCAGCCAGAACAGGATCATACTGGCTGAAAAAGTTTGCGCAAATCGGCCTCTTGAACAAATTTAGTTAAACAGGTGATATATAGCTCCCGATCGTTTGCACCGACATCCGTTCGCGCTTTTTTCCTGAGCGGGTCTGAGATAAAGACAGACATCTTTTGACTGGGGGCGACTTCGGTATTGTGAAGAGCTAGTGCGGACTGAGCTGAGTCCTAGAAGGCGGGTAAATCATGATGCTGTGTGAGATACTATTCCAGAGACATGAGGCACATTTAATCAGACCTACCGGTGAAGTGAATTGCACATAGCAAAATCTCCGGGTACTCTTGAATCGCTTACTAGGCCATCGTACATCGAAAATCTTGCCAAACTGTCGAACAGTACCACTTTCGATAACCATGACCAACTATCTGAGTACAGAGTCTAGTATGCATACCTCTCCGAATTTTGAACGTATCCATTCATCAGTTGCATCTTCGGGGAAGTTTGTAACATAGAGGGTCGAACGCCAAGCCAACGTCACGGAGACCTCTACATCCAATAACTGCTTTTTATCCTTGGTTTGTGCCGGCAAAACACTTTCCTGAAGACAAAAGAATGGGTTCAATGCACGGGTCGAAGGAAGTAGTCCATGTCGCTGACCTTTTCCATAAACTCCACAGTAGCTACTGTGTTATCGGCATCAATCCTATGAATGACCACCTCGCGAACTTTTCCACACTGTGAAATGCACGGCCAATCAGCCAGAATCGATCAATATGAATCTTACATATGTCGCGAGTTTTTCAAGATCACCCTACATCACGAAATAGCTGCTTGATGTTGGCTTCGGTCACATTCGACGGGAGACACCCGACCAATACTGTAGAGTTTTCTCGATCTCTGAGGCCGAATACGAAAAGTAGGACATCATAAGCCATCAGCCTGTTGTCGACACCCTGGAATAGCAGAGAGTCTACCTTTTCAATTCTTCCCCTTCCACGTTTCGTGCGGGCGCCGAGTCTTATGATCATGCAGAAAGTAAAGATCAGCTTCCAATAATGTTGGTACAACAAGATCATCGTGTCGCATACCAAAACGAGCCCGCTTTTCTTCACCTCCATTGGGTATATCGTCGGCCGCCTCCGCCTTGCGCTTTTTCACTTCAGTATCTACTTCGGCAGATGCTTTAGGCAAATCTTTCGTTTCACTGATTTCAATAGGGCGGGATTGATCACTCGTTTGTTGGAGTAATCCTGACTGCTGCTCCAGTTCCTACAACCCCACATACTTCGCGGTAAGTGGAAAAGCGACGGCGATAGATCAGCAGATTGGCTCAACTTACCCTTTTTCTCCTGGCTGCGATACCTTTCATCAAATTATTAGTTTTTGTCACCGCGTATTCTAAATCTTCTAGACTGCCATAATGATGCTCAAATGTGATCCAAGCTTGGAGTAGATATTCCGGGTAGTCCAACTTGGAATTCGCAGCTTTCTTGTAGTATTCCCGAGCTCGCTTTAGATCACCTCGGCGACTACAGACACGAAAAGAGTATCAGATCCAGACAGGTAGAAGGCCATTCATGCAATGTCAAGACAAACATTTCATAATCGGCGGCCGAAATCCAAATTGAATAACTCTCGCGATATTGTTTTGTAGCTTTCTGCCAGACTTTTGCGGCATCGTCTTCACGGCCATGGTGTTCGAGCTACCATTGCACCGCATGTCAGGTATGTGAAGACGACATTTATTAAATAAAACGCACCAAAGCCGTTAGATACTTTTCCAGTCGACATGCTGGGTCACCAAATTGATTGGGTACTAGAGGATGTTCATATGTCAGCCAGCTCCGCTCTCTTAGTGACATGTCGAAACACACCTTTCTTGACATGGTCGATTCCATAGTTCAAAGCTTTTACAGTGGCTTGCATTAGTGCATCCACCTGTTCCACGTTGTCCACACCACCTGCTGCCACTGAGCATGCGAAAGATAGATAAACAATCTCGACCCGCTCATTAGCGCATGGAGTCGATCTACTCACAGTACGCATCAAGCCTCCTGCGATGAAAGTCAGCCCTACCAATACTAAACGCGACAATAGCTTCTACATCTTGCTCGAGAAACTTGGAGTTGATCGCTTTGTCGCAGAGCTCTTCAACGCTTTCAGCCGTTTGGCCGTTTCGTTCCTGATTCATCTTCAAGTTTACTAGACCGATAGAACCAATAATACTCAAGAATGGACAAGCTTACAAAGGTTCTTATGGCAGCCTCCCAAATCTCTCCAGACCAGGGTGTGGTACGAATCGCTCGGCGCGCTGCACATATAGCCCAGGAAGGATCCTGACTGACTTTATTCTGTTGCATTACATGACTGAGTTCAATATCAAAACTCAATAAGAGGGTATCAGGGTGCGCACCAGATAGCGAAAATATTCTCCCCATATTTCAACTGAATTTGGATGGTCATGGATTGCGCGTTCGAACAGTGTGCTAACCAGGTTGAAGTTGGTATTTTTTGTTGTTGTCTCCCAAGCAAGATATTTGATATAAGCTTCGGCAGAATAGATAGACTTTCTCTGGAAAATTAATCATCCCAAAACATATATATCAGCCATATCTGAGATATTCACAAAGGATTTCAGTCAAAGCTACTGACCAGTTGCGATTCGTGAACTTCTCGATCCTGCTTTTGTTGACGAGCAGGACTATACAACTCATTAACCGCCACCATCTCCTCTTCGTAGCTTTCGTTTTCATGTTTTGTGATAAAGTTTGAATATAGCTGAAAGGTTTGGTCGCTTTCTAAAGAAGCATGATATGTAATGGAAACATTATAGTTATGGAGCTATTAGCACTAAAGATAAGCATGTGTTTCATTACCTAGGTGAGGAACCCGAAGTCTGGATTGGAGAAACAATTTGAATCGCGCGATTGCATCGGACCTTGAAGAATGGTTGTGAGTACAATAACCTGAGTCAAATGTTAGAGATATTCCTTACCCCCAATCTTTTTGAAGAGTGTCAAACTCATAGAGCGCCCATGCGTTCCAGATCTTGGAACTCTGATGATATCCAGAAAGTGACCATATCCCAAACACACATTACTACAAGCTCGCGTATGCAAAAAGTCACAATCAGATCTTAAGGGCTGACCTCGACCAAGTGGTATCCCATTTTGTCCAATACATCAACAGCAACTTCGCGAACTTTATCATCTGTCAACAAGTCTTTCAATGGCGACTGTTCTGCCGTTTTTACACCATTCACTGAATCCTCTTCCATTTTAGTTTCATTGATAGACTCCTCCATCAAAGTGGCAAGATCCCCTGTGGGTTGTTCAAGTCCTCGAGCGTGGTAATAGAGTCCGATGACGTACTGCAGTCGTGCACTTTCAATTGTCGGGACTACAAAAACATAGTCACTGAGTTCATGAAGTATGGGTCGTCTTTGGTCTGGTGGACAAGCGATGTCTTACAAAACGCATACGAGGAAGCCTGTTGATATAATTCCAAGACGGCTTCCACTGAATTTGGATCATAGGGATCCTCTTGGCTGGCCATCAAATCGTTGATCCATTCCAAGAAGAAGTCTGAAACCCATCACCGATCGTCAGTGAGAGCCTGGAAAATGTCAATCATGATGATCATGACTAACCATCTCTCACTGGAAAGTACTCGGACATCAGATTTCTAGCTTGAGACAATTCCTCAATAGTGGCAGCTCCAAGCTTTCGACACACCGCGACGTTTCGTTGGTGGAGTGCGAAATCGAAAGGGTTGGACTGCAAAGCAGACATCACTTCTAACATCTCGTTGAAGATTGCATCCTGGTCATCGGCCGGTGCAGATATTTGATCTGTTTCAAGCTGAGAATTGGAAGTGGCTTCCATCTTGGATATGAAGATGAGTAAACAATCACTGGAATAAGAAATGGATATGACGTTGAAGGTAAAGAACAAAACCACCAAACTGAAATTCACAAACCTCGATCTCTGTCTCCCTCATCTTTAGCATCTCTCAGCCTTGTATGTAGACTCGCCTGTCGCAGTCCGGCCCGACTCGGTGTATGTAGGTTGTCAGTGCCTACCGGATGTGTTGAAGGCTCAGCATGATGAAAGGTTGAAGAGAGTTGGACATTTCCATTAACTTCTTCAAGATATTGATTACTTCAGTATATTCAAGTTTATTCATCTACCAAGCACAAACGAATCCGAATTCCTGTTCAGCAGATGAACCTCTCTCATGAAACTAATAACAAAACAAGCAAGAATAGTACACCAGAATCTGAATACGATGAAGTGATATGGGACGAAGAAGCATTGGCCATCATAGATCAAATACAAGCTGATTTTATCTCGAAACAAGCTCAAGCTACATCAAATCCCGTCAAGAAAGAGCTATCAAATTCACATCCAATCACGCCGCCCACTCATCTGATAATCGAATGTGAACCCGAGACAAGCACAACTGATTTGAACAGTGCTATAGTAGCTCCTTCTATCAATCCGACTATGAAATCAATGAACAACTCTCTCTGGAACTCTAGCACAAGTCTCTATCAAAGATATCGCGCCAGACGTGGTTTTCTATCAGGTTCGCAAAATTGAATACTTGTGCCGTATACAACCATATCTGACGTCCTTTTACAAAAAAATACCAAGCAGTTAGCGATATCGTATCATGCGGTTTGTCCCTCGTGATCATATTTCCAAAAAAGAATGAATGAAAATAACTAGACGCGTAATTTTCTCTTGTTCAAACAAACACGCGTAAACATATGTACAGCCTGGTGTGAGACTCAAGTAGAATATGGGCTACTAGGTAAAAGATACCTGCCACCAAAAAGTAGACCAAAATCGATCATCACTCGTGCAGGGACGGAAATCAAAATCAATTCAGACGCAATGTTCACGCGTCAAAAAGTTTTGGATGGTGGTACAGCTGTGAGTGAAGGAATTTCTCTGATTCTTACTGGAGGGCTTTGGTGATAAATCTGATTCAATCTTTCGATCTATAGGTTCATACTAAGTTGGAAAAAGAAATCGTACCTGACAAAATCCCGATCAGAACTGTTTCAGCTGTTGACATTTGGGGATTGAAGTGGATCTTGATTTTATTTTCATATATGATCTTGAGAGAGTCATGGAACAAGAACTGATGTGAAGTCTGCTTGCATTGTTTAGAATATTGAATACCATCATCAATCTAGATATACTCCGCGATACTGGTATCACGGTACGTGAAAAATGTTCCCGACTCCTCTCCTTACAAACTACTTCAATAGCGTCCGTCTGATACCAGAAAGTCTTCTTGCATTTCCGATATGTCTGCAGCGTGAATTGAGTGTGGTAAATTTGTTTTTCTCCGCACTTCGTTCTTTTGCGGCTCAATCATAACACTAAGATCCGTCGACGCTGTCAATGACTCATTAGTGGGGCTTCGTCGGTGACTTTCTCGTCTTAGGGATAATCGATCAACTTGAACTCGACCCCAAGCCACAATACATTGAACCGCGTGATCCTACTCGAGTAGGTCGCACACTGGATGACTTCTTCTCGCCATCCTCTAATACACAATCTCAACCACAGAAAAGTGTACAGAATGAGCAACCGGGCCCATCATACCCTGTGGTCATGATTAGCGATAACAAGACAAGGTCAAGACATGTTTTACTTAACTCAGTCTGACTCTCATATCTCATTGATGCCAGGTTGGTTTTTTAGGCCAGATACAAGCTTACCGCCGTCTCTGTTCACCGAATCCACTCGTATGTTCCACTCTGCTATTATTTCATAAGATCGTTAGAAGAAACTTCCATTGATGTTTTATCTCATCTTGGTCTTTAGGCTTTCAGTTGATGCTGTATAAATTGCTATATGATCAATTATCAACACGATCACTCGATTTTACTAAACTATGTGATCGACTTCAACTTGATGAGAATGAAACTTTTAGCGCTGAATTCATAGAACAGATCCTACCACTCACACAAGGCAAGGATGAATTACCAATGAACCTGAGACAGATGTATGATTTGCTCTTAAGAGAAATGTCAAAGTTGAGTGGTGGAAATAAGTCCAGTGACACGTTGGAAATCGTATATCGTACAAGAGAGACAAGTCGAAAGAAACCAAAACAATTAGAACTGAGGATGGCACCCAACGAGAAGGCTAAAGTTGTTTTACCTAGAACCCAAGCTGAGGAAGAGGAACAAATAGCTCGAGCGATCTCAAACTCATTAGCCGATTCGAAAATCGCTGTTCCTGATGAAGGCCAAGTGAAAAGCACGAATCAGACTGAAAGCACTCTAGCTACAGATGTTAAACCAACGAGCAAACCTTCGGAATCACTCCAAAAAGAAGATTGTAGAAACACTAACTTGAACCAACCCGAAGTTGAGACCAACTCAATTGAAAAAGAAGAGGTGCTGCCATCATCCGGCTCAAAATCTGAAGTAGCCGAACCGAGAGTGTCATACAAAAGGAAAGAAAAAGGTTTAATTGCGTCTGTCTTATTAGGATATGATCGTCGCCTATTAGACAATTTTCTCGAAAGTGCTCTGTCCTTCTGGAATGGCGAACGAGAACCTGCCGGTGTACCTGTCACTGAGATTGATCGATGTAGGCAAGTGACTTTCTTCATTCTTTTTAACATCTTGTTTGGAGATGCGGAAGAGAGCAGCCATTTGACTCGAAGTGGGCTAATGTCAAATTGCAACGGATATGAATTTTCCTAGACCGTGTGAATTTCGATCAGGATGTGAATGGAGGCAAAAGAAAGCTGATGAAGTTTTAGCCAACGCCAATAAATCAAGTTCATCAAGTCGGAATAAACCTGAAAAGTAATCATGATATTGGATCTCTTGTACAGTATATTGTCTAGACACTGGATCTGGGGATAGGAAATAGAATGACTGGTACTTTTTAGATGGATTGTTAAGATTTTTGAATGTTTATGGTTATTGATACATTTTGCTTTTTTGATTTTCATAAGTGGAACTGATGATTCTTTTGTACTATAGATATTTTTCAATGAGCATGATTTACGTATTTGCATTGATAATCATGTTTGTATGACATTCAAGGACAATGTTGATTTTGGAATGAGCGAAGAAGTATCAGTGATCTCAGAGAAAGAACATTTGGACTTGGATTCCATACAGGAAGTTGTTAATTAGGTAACATGGCAATGATCTCAGAATCAAGATGCTTGCTTGAAGTTTACAGAATGATCGATGAGAGTAATGATGCCTTTGATGGTATGCAAGCCAGCCAAGCACATCTGACTAGCCAGGCTTTTGGGGACCGGGACCTGAACAGTCAACATGCTGGCAATTTACTTGAAGAAAATATATCTTTTGGGGTAGGAGTCAGTGTCTACCCAAGGCAAGCACAGGCAAGAGCTGGAAACATGCAAGACTCGAGTTTGAAGCTACAACCTCAATGTTTTCCAAATACAATGAATCTATATGACAACCCCTCTACACATTTATCCTTACCAGTCCACGGTATTCTGGGCCTGGCAGCCTCACTAGTGAACCACAATGGTTGGGGTCTTCACCAAGGTCTAACCCAGCTATAAGAAATATTCCCGCAGATCATGATTATGTTGGTACTTCCAAATCTCAATTGGAGTTGTCACAAGAAACAAGTTATCCTATCATAAACTTGAGGCACAAAGACACAGCAGAAGAAAGTGTGTTCAAAGCTCCTAGAGCTCCTAGTACTACTGATAAGGGTGCAATTACATCTGATCCTCATCAATCAATGTCCAGTTGGGGTTAGAGTCAGGACTTGGGGAAAACACTTGCGGCTGCTGTACTGAGGCCAGCTTGCCAGGTAATTATGATCATTCACAAGATTTTGATCCTAATGTTGATTCCTGTTTCTTTGTGACGTTCTCAGGCCACCAAGATACAACTGTAGAGCCAATCCCCCTGAAGTATCAAAAGAACTTGTTCAAGATGCCCACAAGAAACTATTCTAATCATAGTTATTTACCCAAAGATGCAGTACATGCTGAGATACAGAGTAAAGAAAATTGCTCTGGGACTGAACTTCAGAGACATAAAACTATCAACTCTACTGAAAGAAGCAATTTGTGTTTCAAAAGGTTTCAAACTTGATGAATTAACATCAAATTTCAAGGATAAACATGACAATATGTATGACATATGTGCTTCAAAGCCCCACAAACAAAGTAGGCTGAAGGGAAAGAATCTTATTGGACAGGTAGAGAAGATTGAGATAATTAGTCCTTCATGATTTCTTTTTTCTTTTTACAATCATGACATCACTTACTATTTTATGACATGTATTGATCTGTTTCTTTCATCAATCCATTCTCAAGTACCAACATATAGAAGAATGAATGTTCTTTCCTACAAATCCAATCTAGTCTCTTTTTCTCATTCATTCTGACCTATTATCTTATGTTCTCTCTTGCCTTTCTGAGACCTCTTCCTTTTGACAAGAAGAGATCAAAGAGATGCACCCACCAAGCCTTCTGCTCTCATGTAGCACCGCAAACCCCCGTGAGCGGTGGACAAACAAAACCATACAAGGAAACAATGGGCAAACATAAATGTGAGCTGAAAGCAATTTCAGCTTACGTTCCTATCTCCACTAAAATGTGGTAGTAAGGTAATTCAGATGACATGAAATGGACGAGCTTTCAAGCAACTGCCCGGAATGTCAAGCCACAAACAAATTACGTGGGATCAAGAGCTATCAAGAGTAGATACAAAGTGAACCGGGGGGTCAGAGTTTCAAGCACCGGGCTGGATTCAGTATTTTCCAACAAAAAATCTACTTCATGGTCCAAAGTGACGTGCAACCCTTCTAAACTCAAAGGTCTCTTTAAAATAATCTTTTGATGATAGGGGCTATGGCACACCGGGTTATTGCGGCGCTTGGGCTTTTGCACCACTGAAGCTGCCATTTCGTCTTGATTATTTCTTGTAGCGTGAGATGTAAAGAAAGACTTTGAAGGTGTTAACATATCCCCGAGTCCAAACGCGTGAAGTTTGGCCGAAGGAATGATCCAGGAATGGAAGATGAGTCGATGAGAATTTAAAGTTTGATATGAGAAAGGAACGAGGGCAAGATTCGATTGAATTTAAATCCGATCGATTCAAAACAGAACCACTTCACTTCACTTCACTTCCTCAGCTTAATGTTCCAGAACAGTTGACCATTCCATCTCATCAACTCACTCAACATCGACTTCAAGATCAAAAACTAATAATCATGAACCACAATCCAGTTCAACAATCTCAATCAAACAATCAAAGATCAACTCCTCCAATCTATCCAAATTGGTATAAAGGTAATCATTCTCTTATCATCCATCCATCTTTTAATCAATCCAACTAAGTTTTCTTTCTTTCGATTGCATTAGTACTTCAATTACCATCAACAGAAGATCTAAACGCCAAAGAAATCCATCAAGCTTACTTTACTCAAGCTGCTTTACATGATCCTAATAATTTTACTATCGGAACTGAGGATCATGCAAGAGCTGTGACTTATTCTAAAATCATTAAACATGCTTATGAGGTTCGAACCAACTTTTGATCCATCATCTTGAAGAGCAAAAAAACAACAAGATTCGATCAAACCAAAAATGGTTTTTAACTCTTTTCATCGTTTGACTCCTTTAATTAGGTTTTAAGCAATAAAGATAGGAAGAACAGGTACGATTCTTTGAGGTATCAAATTCGATCTAAATTCGATAAAGGTAAGTAATTGTCCGTAGTCGGAAGTTAACTCATTTTCTAAACAAACCAATAACTAAGAAGACACTTTCGTTTTTTTCCCCTACAAGATCAATTAATCGAAAGATCAAAAACCTTAGCTGAAGGATGGTTAAAAAGTACCGAATCAAAAACCAGAGCAACAGAAGAAGCCTCCACCTCAGAATTAGCCAAAAAAAGGTTAAATGAGTTTTTTGAAAAGATTCAAAACTTACGAATCAAACATCCAAACTTACCATCACCTAAACGAGAAGAAGTTTCGAAATTCTTTGCCAATGAAACTCTTCGAAGAAAATTAGAAATCGAATCTAATCGATCATCACATCGAAGTGCATTAGAATTAATGATCTTGGCTGAATTCGAACGTAGATCGATTGGAATGGATTCATCTGAAAGAAGATTAAGATGGCAAACGGCAAGAGATGAATTTAAAAAGATTAGTGCTGAACGTCAATTAATCGATCAACAACGTTCTCAACGTCAATGGGAATTCTCTCTTAATCAATTCTTTGCTAATCATCTTCAACAACATTTAAACTCTCAATCTCCTAATAATAAATCATCTTCAATTCAAACTTCTCCAAGATTTGATCAACAAGCAATGAGATCTCCAATCAAACAAAAGAGAAGAGTCTCAATCAATCTTGACCGTCCACACCTCAACAAACCTGGAAGTCCATTGGGGTCTTAAAACCAAAGCTTTATGCAGTAAAATAATCAAAGCCTTCTCTTGTCGGACTTCATCAGCTCTGTCTTGAAAATCCAACCTCGAGCTTAATTTCTTTTTTTTCCTTTTTCGTCAGGTTAGTCTTATGCTCAAGAAGTGATCTTAATATTGTCGTCAGTTTTGTGTTCTTGAAAAAAACATGTTGTATTTGTGCTTAAACTTTTTACCTCGTATGTTGTATGATGTATATACATTAATAAGTTTGAGAGAAACTTTTGATCCTGTCTGAAATAGCCACTTGATTTGAAATCGAGAATTGATCCCAATGATCAAATTCATCCTCGTCTTTATTGAGGGCAATTCCACCCACCTAGAAATCTGGATGAGTTTATTCATATTGCTCATGAGCCATCTCTCATCAAATTCCTCCAATTAAGGTTTATTTTATTAACTGCATATCAATTTACTCATCATAAAGGTACAAAAATGTTATGAAACATTGAAAAAGAGATTTTCGGACCAAACTTTTTTCTAAACTCCTTGATACATAACCAGTTTCAAAAAGACGCCAGGTTTAAAGGGACAAGTCTACGATGATCAAGGTTTTTGATTTCCTTGGTAAATCAGTAAATCATTCCTTTTGGTTCACATCAACCGTTGACGTTCAATGATTGACTTTTGTTGAGTGTTTCGACTGACACGCCTAATGGATTTTGAAGAAAATATTTCGGAATTAGCATTTGAACATAGACTCTACTCTTGTGAACTTGGGTCTAAGGTCCTTCAGAATGTAGAATGAGCTTACCAATATTTATCAAGTACGTCAGATTGACCTAATTGATTGAGAAAGTCTTCGTCGTGCGTCTGCAGTGATCAACAAAGCCATCAGTGAACAAGATATGAATCAGATCTGTATAGATTCTGTCAGGATTAAAAAAATGAAACCCACGATGACGACTAGTTGAAAGTTAGCTTGATCTCTTCTCTCTTTGATGATCCTAGTATAGATAAGCAACCAGCCAACAGGCGTGAGTCATAAGGATTTCCACACAAAGGATTTCAATACTTGACACAGTCCAACTCACTCAGAAAGAGCATTAGCCAAAGCATTAATATTATCTTTATCAAGATTCGTCGTAGGTTCATCCAAGGCAAGAATACCACAATTAGTCCCAAAAGATTCAGCCAAAGCCAATCGAATGATGATCGAAGCTAAAACTTTTTGTCCAGCAGAACATCGACCTCTCATATCCATCTCAACTTGATCCTTCAACATCACCACCTTTACGAGTGGATTTTTAATAGGAAACCGTGAAAGTATCAGCTATCCTGAATGGGAAGAAATTGAATGCCTACTTGCGCTTACCCTATAGTTATAAGATCTATTGCTTTTTGCATTCTCGTTTTCAGATTTGATCAAAATCTTATCGATGTCTGACGAGGAACGAGAGAAGAAACGTTTACAATACATATTTATCGTGTCAAGTAGAGGTAAACCGAACTCACCTGTCCCTTGATAAGTCTTTTGCCATAAGGTCTGAATAGTATCGTTTATCTCGGCCATCTTGTGCGAATGGTACTTCATGATCGCCTGATCTAGCGCTTTTGCATACTTATCCAAGTCTTGATTCGCGATCTCAACAGTCTATATCTCATTTTCGTCATGAAAACATATCAACTTGTGATTTTTGACTGAAGAAGGCTGCAAAACCCAAAACCCACCTTGACTTTGATCAATTGATTACGATGTCGGTTGAAGATATCCTTAAACTCGACGTCCATTTCACTTTTCTTGTCTTTTAGATTTTTTCTATCCATTCCAATCTCACCGCCCAACCTCGCATGCTATTTCGGACGTTCCAAATAATTTATGCAAGAAATCAATATTTGATGTCAAGCAAAAAAACTCAAAAGCCTCCTCACATCTGCCTGGAAATCCGCTTGTAACTTTCGAGCTTTATGATACTCTTCATCATATTTCCTGTTTGCCTCACGAGCTCCTTCGACGTCCAATTCTTGCAAAGCGCTTTCCAACCCAGCTATCTCGTCCCGATGAGCTCGTAATCTGATATTATCACTGATATTCCGTTCAAATTCCTTTGCTTTCGTCGACTCTTGATCCAAATCGATCAACGTCTGTTGCGACTCTGCTAGCATTTGAGTAGCCTGTTTGATCAACTGTTCCAGTCGGTCAATCTCTCCCTGACAGCGTTGCATACTCGTCTCAATACCCGATTCAACAAATCTACCGATTGTGTCCGTGAGATGTGAGTATGAGGGCTGTTCAAGCGTTGACAAAACTAAAATAAGACAGCGAGGATCACGTACTTGGCAATTTCTCGATTAATCGTTTCAATCTGGTTAAGACTTTTATTATACATCTGTACTTTCTTGACAACTTCTAGTTCAGCTCCCGAATTCCTAGCACTGAGCTCTTTAAGCTCATTTTCCAGTCGGCTAATGGGCTCAGCAAACGTTCTGATGTGCTCATCGATTTTCTAAAGTTTGAAAGAATCAAAAATGTGGTGTCAGATCTCAATTTGAACGTACTAGCCATACTATGCTCACCTTGATCATCTCGTCCAATTGCGCAATTTCGGTCCTCGATTCTTCCTTTTGCTTTTCAAATCCTTCTCGTTCTTTGATCTGTTGTCTCTTATTATTCAGGTCAAGCTCGATTTGATGTATCTGGTTCTCGAGCACCTGAATAGATGCTCTTTTGTTGTCTCTTTCAGTGACCAAGCTATTCACTTCTTTCCGCACTTCCGCACTGTTAAAGAAGTAAAGAAGAATCTATTCAACCAATGAAAAGCCCGCTGGGTTGCCCCGAAGGAATAAGTCAAGTAGATATATGAAGGAAAGACACCCACAGTTTTGTAGTTAAAGCTTCAAGTTGAGCTTCCACAACTTCACTCGTCTTGGTGGAGCCCGAGTTTTCTAGTTCAAATTCCAATCGCTGTATCTCGCGCTCTAGGTCGTCAGCTTCGAGGCGCATTCGAGTCATGTCGATCACTGAACGCTTGCATAACATCAGTTCGCTCATCTGATCTTTGAGCCGCTCAACGTCTCTTCGAGCCTGTAAATATGATCACTTAGCATCAAGTCATTCTAAAATGGATAGTAATAAAAACATTCATACATCTTCGGATGTATGACTGGAAGCAGCCCACTTGGACTCGAGCTCTTTCAACTCCTCTTCCAAGCTTGGTAATTCTGTTTCCCGTAACTTGTTCACTGCTAGCTCATCAGGCAATAAATTCTTCATCCGTTCTAATTGTTCCTGCCATTCTTTGAGTTCACTTTGATATATTGCTCTCTTTTTCGGTAGCTGCTCGATCATGTCTTTGCACTGAGAATTTCAAAGTAATGCACATGTGAGTTTTTTGAAAGATTCGTTTTCTAGAATAGAACTGACAAAACGCTCAAACCGCTGCATCTCCTGTGCGTCTCCGAATTCTCTTTGACAAGCTCCGCAATTGTTTCCCTTTTTGGCTTTCGCGAGCAAATTCTGATGAAACCGAACGGAATATTTGATGATATCGAGCTCACTACAAACGTTCGTAACATATAACCGCATCGTAAGCTATCTGGCCACCATCTACGGGATGAACAAGAATCGTATGCCAGGATACAAGTCAGGTCACCTATTCAAAGAAAGAATTTCCGTTTCCGCGATACTGATCGACTGTGAAACAGTCTCCCCATCAGCTGCGTCTTTGATTTTCTTTTCGAGACCTATATAGAAATATGCATCAAAGAATTCATTCAGCCTTCAATGTCGAATTTCGCAATATAAAGGTGAAATTAACCATAGAGTTCGCGTTCTAAAGACTTCGTTTTAGCCTTGTTCATCTGCAACTTGGTATCCACGGTCTGTAAATTCCGAGCAGCAGTGGCGTTGACACTTTCAGTATCTCTTGATTGACGCTCTATATCTCTAAACCAAGATTCGAGGGTTCAGCATCACTCTCGAGTCACTCGAACAGAGAAAATGACATACCGGAGGGCGTTTCCAATATCCGTTTCGGCATTCTCGAGTGTCATTTCAGTTTTGACCAATTCTTTGAATTTTGGACCGTGAGATTCAATTCTAATATAGTCCAAAGAAAGATCATACTAGAACGTCAGCCTAACATCTATCAGGAGAATTTCGTTTAGAAATCATCGATCGAAACTAAGGTCGAATATAACCCAACATTGTATGAATTCCATCGTTTTTCTTTTTAGCATCAGTACGTTTCAAAGCCAATTTCGCTCGAGTATCAAACTGTCGATGTAATCCACTCAATTCTGAATGTAATTCATCTTTCTCATCCTCTAGTTTTTTTATTTCGTCATTTTTGGTTTTGATCCGGTTGTCAGCTTGGGATTGAGTCATCCATTTCGTCAATTCTGTCAAACGATCCTGTTTTTGCTTTAAACTATCGGTTTGATCTTTGAGATCATGTTCAGAGATCTTGACCCTCTCAATTTGCTCAGTCAATTTCCTGACGCGCTTCCGGGTGGTGTCCTGTACATTAATAGGATATTAGCAAGACGCAAGTGGTCGGATCGAGGAATGAACAAAAACATCTTTTGGTTGCGCCAACGCACAGTTTGTTCCTGCAAAGCTTGTTTCTTTTGTCGATTCGAGCCTTCCTCCGTCTTGTGTTCAAAGATCTCTTTTTGCTTCTTTTCTTCGGCTCTTTTTCCTTCTCGCTGATTCAAGTGAAAATGCTTACGATGTCAACTCATGAAAAGTGAACCTGACCTCAAAGTAAAAAGCCTCACTTTCACTTGCTCCAGTTCAGAGGAACATCTCTTCTGAGACTCGGTGAGTGTGTTTAAGAACTCTTCGACTTGCCTTTCATCGATCGGGCCTTCAAAGCCTTTAATTTGATGATGTTCACTTAGATGCCTTACCAAGTCCTGCCTTTCTTCTAATGCAGATACGTGTCGCTGTAGATAAAATTACAATATAATATCATCCATGAAGTGTGGTACTGAGATTGAGGAAGATAAGACAAAATCAAATTACCTGAGTTTGAGCTTTCAACTGACCTAACTCGGTAAACTTATTTTGGTGTCTTCGTCGCAGCTTGGCTATTTCTAATTCAAGACTGGCTAATTGATCTTTGGTATCTTGCAATCTCTCTGCATGGTTTTCCAACTTAGCTCTAGATTCTTCTCGAGAATTCCTCAAGTCTTCATCCGTGGCTAAATCATTAAAGAGTCAGTCAGAAAATGGACGCTACGTTCTGAAAGAAACACAACAGATTTGATCAAGGACGAACCACCTGCAATTTCTTCCATGCCCTCCAACAGATCCTGTACCATCTCTTCGCGATTATCTTTCTGTCGTGACAAAGTTTCGTACTCATTCAAAATTTCCTTATAGTGTACAGCTTGCTCGTAAAATTTCTTGTTATCCTCGGCAAGACCAGCGATTTGAGCATCCAAATCGTCATAACGTTCCTCTTTCTTCTCGATATTTGCCTTGATCTTATCTATACCTGCTTGCAGCTGATACGGTAAGCAGAGACGGAAAGTCAGTCCGACAATCAGATCCTTCCCACAATTATATAAACCTCAATCCCTAAGCCCCCCCCTTGGAAAATTCAGTCAGCATTTCTGCTATGAATTTATGTCTCAAGGTAGAGTGCGCCAAGAATCCAGGCTCCCCACTCCCTTGCTGAGTATCCAAAGGTCTACTGACCAGCACTCTAGGAGTGAGCTTCTTGAATCATTCTCATCCACCTTCTTGCGCTTTGTATTTGATTGTCTTAGTGGGTTACGGTCAAATGAAGAAATACTAACCTTTTCTGCACGAGCCTTATCAGTTGCCAAGGCGGAATATCTCTCCTTGTCGACTTTCAGGTCCGCCGTTGCTTCCTTTTTGATGAGCTTGAGGTTATCAAGCGCTTTGGTATATCTGTTGGATAAACATCATCATAAGATAGTCAGACTTAGAAGCTTGATATACCCGTTTTGATGGGGAGATGAAGTATTTGAGGGTGACGAACTTGGTTGCCTCGAAAATCTCATCAAATCTGTACCAAAAAGAAAAGAATAGCTGAGTACAGTAGAACATACAAAAGCAGACGAGATTTCAGGTGACTTACTTTTTCTTTAGACTGGCGGGTTCAGACAATGGCCAATTACTCTCCTCTTGATGACAAAAGATTACATTTTCCAGGATGGCTTTTGATATTCCAAGTTGTCGAGGAAGTTCTATATCCATCTCGGCACATTTGGTCGATATTGTCCGTCTCTAAAAGTTTGTCAGGTTTGCATTCTACAACAGAAGAGGACTGAGTGATTAAGGATTCAAACCTTTGCACTAGATCCCTCACGGCCATCATCATTGTACGATAGGGTCCCTTCAAGAGTTTTCATGGTGATCCCAGCAGTCTTTTTCTTGCTGACTTGGAGACGTCGACTGGCGACTAACTTTGTACCAGCTGCATTTCGGAAACGTAGCATGACTTCTGCCATCACAGTAGATTCACCAGCCATAGATGGATCATGCACAAAGGCACCTCCTTTGGCGTTGGGCGGTAGATCGCCAGTAGTGATGTATTTCAAGCATTCGATGATAGTCTTGGACGAAAACCAAAGAAGTGGATCAACATAAGCCAGCAACTTAAAGGACAGATGGCGAGACGATCAAAACTGACTGTCTTGCCACTTCCATTGTGACCAACGATGACAGTCAACGGACTGTAGAATTGCATGACTGCCATTTGCTCATGATCAAAACTACGGATGCCACGAATGGCGATCTTGTCGATGGTCGACCTGAGGAAATCAAAAGATTTGGAGTCACCGAGAGGGTAGGCAACCTAGACTGGTAATATTATCCTCAGTCACTTTAACGTACATGATGACTTCGTGATGGAGTCACAAGTAGATTGTCCCAATAAGTCTGTCGAGGTCAAATTCAAAGGAATCAAGACCACAGGTCAGCAGACGCGACTTTTGATATTTAAGAGCGCCGATTGATTGGTTCTTTAGTCCTGTGATGCACAAGGACCCTTTGAAAGTGATGAGCACGCGTATGAGGTTGGTTTGGGCGTCAAGTTGAAGGTTTCTAATTGAAGAGTCAAGAGAAAGACAAAGAAGTTGATCAAAACCAATCCACGACCAAAAAAAGTTAATCCAGATCTTCTCGAGTTTCAAAATAACACATAGACTTAGCTTAGGGTAGGGCTTAAAGTCAGAAACCGTTTAGCTTCGAATCAGCTTGACTGTCAGTTTTCGTCTGCTCGCCTTCAGGTTTCAACTCGTCGTCAACTTTCAATTAACTTCATCAACTACATCAAATCACCACCAACCTCAACTTATTTCAATCAACATGGGGAATGGTAAGTTTCAATCGATTTTCAATTCCCATAGAATGGCATGACTAACGTTTAACTTTCTCAGATGGTGGTTCGATTCCGAAACGTGATGACTTGGTCAAAACTAAACATCGAGGTGAACAAGTGGATCCGCAACAAAAAGAATCTACTCGTTGGCATTGCTGTGCCCTTTCCAAAGTGAGTGGTCAGATAAATTCATCGCTGTTTACACAATCTGATCAGGCTGAACCTTGAAACATGTTATCTTCATGTAACTTTCTAGAGACCTTTGGAAGAACCCATCGTTTCAGATCCATTAGGAAAGCTTTACAATAAATCATCAGTACTAGAATATCTTTTAAATAATGATACTTTTGGAGAAGATGGTCGACAAGTAGCTGGACATCTGACTTCACTTCGGGATATCATTAACCTCAAGATAACCTTCGATTCACAATCAACCAAACGAATCTGTCCGATCAGTTTAAAGGAAATGGGAGCTGGATTAGGAAAGATGGAAATGCGTTGGGTTTATCTGATGGGTTGTGGTTGTGTATTAACTGAAACTGGTTTAAAACAAGTAGAGAAATCAACTGAAAAGGTTGAATGTCCAGTTTGTGGAAAACTTCAAGAAAGTTTAGAGTTTGTGATTATTAACCCAAATGAATTAGAAGAAGAAAAGATGAAGATCAAATTGGTTGAACAGAGAAAAAGAGAAAAAGAAGCAAAGGAAAAACGAAAACTAGAAAAGAAAGAGCAAAAGAAAAGAAAGGTAAACATGAATCAAGATGTCGAAACAGGTCCAGATTTCGGACTAGATTCAAATCCAACAAATAAAGAATTCGATAACAATAAAACTCGATCTAAAACAAAGAAGCCCAAAGTAGAGGTACCTCATTCAAAACTTGACCATGAGCCATCATCTTCTATTGCTTCCTCTTCTTTATCGAAAATCAACAAAGAAGTTCAGAAAGAAACCCAGCAAAGTCTTGTCAACTTATCATCAAGTACTCTCAATAGTATCTACGGTCCAAGAGATGAAAACGGTAAACAGCTACTCGGTCAACAGAAAGAATCATGGATGACGAGGGGTACTTGGACTCGCTACGCTGCTTGAAGGATATTCAAGCTTTTCTATATCTACACTTGTTCTTTCGTTCTCTAACTTGTAACATGAACCCATTCTTCGATCCGATGTACGATTTGTTTAGATACCCTTGCACCCGATCCTATTGTCACATTATCAAATCCTGCCCACTTTGCTCTTGACTTCTCGCAGATATGCAAGCCTAGAAACCTTTGACAGAATGCGTCTATGTTCCAGGCTTTTTGTGTCTCCGTGCTCCTCCTGTGTCCCACTAAAGTTGAGTGGGTTTCGTGTGGTTTCATGAAGCCGAAAACACTAGGGGGGCAAACAGGCGAAAATCAATCGAGATGGTCAACAAATTTAACAAACGTTGCAAGGCAAGTTGGTCGCTCTCTCAAGTCACCAAATGATTTATCGGGATTTATCTATGCCAATTTGATCGTAAACTGCACATCTTCGATATCGCTGTCACTTCAGCAATTGATGCCCCACGTGTCAAGTGGGATTGTGAAGCTGACATGCCAGCAACTCATCTGACCACACTCTGCTGTGAGGCTGCTGCTTATCCCATGCGCTCACGTTCAATCCTAATGATTTGAAAGGCAAGAAACAAATTGGATTGTGGACATAAAGCTCCTCGTGTATATCTTGACCAACAATCTTATCAAGATATTCCGCTCAGCAAATCACTTCTAACAAATATGCGTGCCATTACATCCATTCAAACAGTCAAACCAAGAGAAAGATATTGACCAGAGGAAGAGTTGTTCGATGCTTTCAGAAAGCTGCTGACTAAGTGGTTGCGAAAGAAGGAGAAAAATCAAAACTACGATAAATTTACTGATAAAATTCAAGTTGATTAGTTAAAATGCTCTTCAAATCAATAATCATAAGCCACTCGAGCGCCCGCGAACACGTAAGGATACTACATGGAATGATCGTCAACAAGTCAAAGCTAGGTTCAGTACATTGATGATCACACTATGGCATATCGGCTAGGAGCAAATAAAGAATAAAGGATAAGGAACTGACGTTTGCTTGAAACCAATTTCTAACCTCGTCAAGAAGAAATGAAACAACCGTGCAAAGTTGAGCAAAGAGCACCAAGAAACATAAGGAAGGGCAAATGCACGGAAAGACTCACACAAAGCTACTCCTATGAGCAATCTTCGGTATAGTTGCCCAACTCCCACCGAGAAGGACCCAATGTGCTCCATCGAAAAAGTCACTCGAGTAACCAGGATAGAGTAGGCTTGATTGAAAATTGACATGCCGATCAAAGACGGTCTCCGTCCATTCCCAAATACCACCGTTCATCCCGCCTCTCCAGACCCCATCTGCTTCTTTTTGACCCGCTCGTGCTGGGATCGGATGCCAATGTCGAAAGCCAACCGGACTCAGCGGCCCGTCTGAAGGATTATCTCTGAGGTAAACTCTCAGTTCATTCGCAGCTGGTAGCCGACCACCCCGCCGATGTGCGTAGGCTTTTAACTGACGTCCTGATGCCTGTACTGGCCAATGTTTTCCGACTGAGAATGGCACTAAGCCATAGATTGTACGAATTCGGATATCATGCTCCGGGCTCTCGGAATCAGAGTCGAAAGTGTAATCCCAAGATGCTGGTACAACTGTTACATCAAGTCTCAATCCATGAGGCAAATTCTCGAGTGCGTAGACTAGATAGTCCAGGTTGGAGATAGGCGTGGGGGATAATTTGAAAGGACCGACTACCTCGGTCCGAGCTGGATGTTCGTTATCCCATCCGAACTCATGATTCTCGCAGAAATTTAGTTTTTCATCATCCCGATCTAGGTCATCATGGCCCACCAGCAACGTGGTAGTGTCAGAGTATTCGATCAACTCTGCTGTACCTGAATCAGTGGTAGCTTCCAAGTCCCATTGGCGTGAAAGCGAACTCCAATCCGGTGGACTGAAGGTCGGCAGCATGTTGAGGGAAGGCAGCTGAACAAGCATATATAAGAATGTTTCGAGATGCAAGGCCTCATGCTCGTATATCTGTTCCCATCACGTCATATTGGAAAGGATCAAACTCAGTAACTTTCCATTTCTCGATGATTTACTCTGAAGCAGCAAGCTTGTGGCATCGGCTTCATTCATGCAAGTTCGCGGTGATTGGAGGTCAAGTCTTATCAAATGGACTGTACACTTACCATCCAAAGAACTCTTGCCAGGGACCGCTTCAAAACCAGCGAATGGTTCTCAATAGATTCGTACACTTTTGAAATTCTAGCTCGTACAGAGTTCTTGAAATCGAGGATCTCTGACAAGCTGGGCCATTCATCTTCATATTCTGGTACCTTGGAATGTTCGTTGCAGATGGTGGGATCATCCATGTCGGGATCAATGCCTCTTTCGAAGATTTCTGAGAATCTTTTAGGCTCGCTGTACGGTTCGCTGAAATATCGACTGAGATGGATGTCTGCAAAGACGGGTATGTGTCCAAAATAGACTATGGCAGAAAACGGAGAAATAAGACAAGGGTCTCGTTGTTTAGAGTGGGATAGTGATGATGAGAGGGAAGGTGAAGTCTGCTTTCTCGGATTCAATTCTTGATCACTCACATAAGCAGATATGTCTCAAGTCAATCGGCTTGGTGTATAACAGATCTTGAGGAGTGATACCCATCGTGACCAAATCCCAAGCTGACCAAATTTCATCCCACTCCTTCATGGATGGCACATTTCCTCTAGCATACGTTTTCGCATCAATCAGGCGTGGGAATTCCGGCTGTTCTGACACAGAACTAGGTTCAAGAGCTGAACAAAGGTCCAAGACGAGGAAGCAAAGATTAATATAACCATTTTGGATCAAGGATGCCAATGCCTCATTGTTGAGTTGACAAGGAGACAGGCTTTATGGAAATCGTGCCGAAGATTCAACGCGTATGAAAAAGGGGTTACCTGTTCGGTCCATTGCCTTAAAACGACATTGGAGCTGGTCCCCAAACTTCAGACCTCGCATGTTGTCCACCGACATCGAATTGAAAGCTCTGAAAAGTGTCTCACATGTAGACGATCCAGGTTCGATCATCATTCTGCGGATGGCCATATCCGTCCTCGCCTCTTTTTCAAGAGCCTCAACCTTTGAAAAAGCAAGGTCGTCAAATGAGAATCCAGCACGTTCAACTAAGTAAAGTGAGTGAATTGGACCGGTAGTAGGTCTTGAAGCCAAGGGTAAATGAGATTGATCAGACCAGGTCTGGATGACTCGTAATCCAGCGGAGTGGAAAAGTTGATGAACCTCCTCGTCGGTGAACTTGTACGATTTTTCCATCAATATGAGCTCTCCAGCTTTTATTTGGATCACTGAATCTTTCTTGGAATCTTCATCTTGTGTGACTAGGGCTGTGATGGTGAGCGTTATGGCTTCGCGAGCTCGAAGGTAGGCCTACATGGTCAGTGGTCAGAAGCCGAAATAAACACTCGAGGTTGTGAAATCGATGAAGATAAATGGGAAAAATTGTGCACACTAACCTCATTTCGACTCATACTCGCGTTATACCGTGAGACGTATTCGAATTGCTCTGAATTCAAGATGCTCTTGTCGATTCCCAGCATTCGAGCAAGGACGGTAATACCATTGAGGATGAACTGATGTGTTACCCCTTCTGAGTCGTTGTAAGCTTTTGCAACTTTCTCTGGAATCTTACAGTTATCGATTCCAATCAAGATTCGAGTCTGATGATGTAAAGCCGGCCTGAGTTCATCTCTCAAAAACTCGAGAGCTTCTTGCGGCGAGTAGTTCCCGATTGACGATCCCAGCCAGAGAATCGCTCTTCGATCACCTTGACTCCCGCCCAGTGAATCGTCGGTCCGCGATGAACGCGTTTCTGAGTCGGAGTTGCTAGAGGAAGATGTTGACAGTGAATGAGTGATCCATTCCAGACCTTGGGTATAAGTTCCACATATCCCTCTTGTCTGGACCTCTTCCCCGACCAGCGGCCCTGCTCCGCTGTCTTCCTGTAGCTCTACAGCTGAGAGGGTTGAAACCAGTTGGCTATATTCAAGGTCAAGCTTCGATATACGATGTGGGGAGGGGTCGTCAGTTGTCCATCTCAGTCTCTGATCACGACTTGATGACTGCACATTGTATGTGCCTTTTTAGAATTGATAATAGCTTACAGCATAATATTCAGCCTGTGATAGGAAAGCACCGTGGTCATGTTTGGAGATAGACCCCAGTAGATTCGCTACATTTCGTAAGAGGTGCGTGGTTTTTTTCAATGAGCTACATGAGGATTTGAAAAGATTTAGTAGCCATTTGTACGCTCTCAAGTAATCATGGGCTTGTGTGAAAAGACCACATAAGCATCAGAAGGGAGTAGGAATTTGGGAAGACAAACCCGGCGCCCAATTCGACAATCGACATTGAGATTCCATTCGCAAACGGAGGCATGGCTGGCAAATCCACCCCAGACCTACACCAAGCATTATATTTGAGGAAAAAGTATATCAACAGCGTCAGCTAAAGTCAAGAAAGGTTGTCGTAGGGTATTTCCATGACTTTTGACTTTGTAAGAGACGAATCACCCTTTATTCTCATCGTCTCCCGAACAACCTTTGGGTTCCTGTCAAAGAAGCGCATCTTTGAGTCTTCGAAGGGATTGACATAGATGTTGACCGATATCGGGATGACTTACGACTTCAGCTGCTGTTAGTCCACACAGCCTGCGAGCCTAAGAAGAACACAATACATTGTTAGGCGAATGTGGTAAGTTGACATTCTACATGATATTGCAGGCTTTCAGGCGATAGATCCAGCACCATTGGGTCAGATCCTGACAGCTAAGTGCCATATTAGATAAAGACTTGTAGGAAGTCGGGCGTGGATAGCTGATGACCAAGGCCATCTTTTGGTCGTGAGAATATGCGCATATATCCTCTTGTGCTGCCATTTGACTAGATCAAGATGTGCAGCTCAAAGAAGTGATACATTTGATAGACGGGAAAAGTGGAAAATGAGAAGACCCCGAAACTCACAATCTCGGCTCCATGTCGTTTGAAGATTTGCAATTCGGTACCGTAAGGCTACAAGACACATACACACAGGTGCAAAATAAGTATGTCTCTACTTTCCAGAAATCTGATAAGTGACGAAAAATATTGCATGACTGACGTAGTAATCATGAGTAGCGGTGATCTGGTCGTACAGCTCAAGTCCGAGATGATCATCTATGAGTGGAAGTTAAGCAGGGGATCAGCGAATATGCAATCTGGAATTGATTGCGTATGGAAAGTCTCACATAACACCACTGATCCGGGATCACAAACAAAGAAAATTAAAATTCAAGTCAGTTACGCGTGTCGGCCCCTCACACAGAAAAATTGGTACATGAACTGAGAGAGATGTTGTTAGAGTTGGAATGGGGGTCTTTGTAAGGCGCGTTTGAAATGTATGAATATAGCTAAATCCTGTATTCTGGTGATTGGGTTGATTTGTGAGAGGATATAGATGATGTAAAGGAAATGAAACGCACCAGTAGGAATAGATTTTTCGTAACTGTAAAGGCGATCTTGAGGAAGTGGCCCAGGTATGATAATTTGAGTGGATGAAAGCTTAGTGACAATATCTTGTAAAAGTGGATCAGAGGGAACTTCTGAAGGCACTGAAGAATCGGATGTTGAAGCTGAAGAGGATGAAGAGCAAGAGGAATTGCGTAAATCAATGATCGAAGTTTGAACTCTCATGGCTATTTCTTCTTCAGGCGTCAACGGTCTGGTGGTAGAGATTGTTGGATGGTGCGCTGTAGGGATCATCTTTGATTGTTTTGAGGACTAACTGTGATGTGGCAAAGGACCGTGATCAATTTGATAACAAAAAAAGATGAGAAAAAGATCAGCCTATAATCTGATGTTGTAGCCATAACACCAAGGGGGAAAACTGCTCTGATTATGATAAGCTTCCGGGCTGAAGTGAGAAGTGTAGAGATATATATTATCTGAAATTTATATGAGTCTCTAGCTTGAAGCAAGTCAGAGTTTGCTTGATCAAAAAGCAGGTGATAAAACTTGTGATAAAGTGGAAGTGGATTTTGTTAGGAGATGATGAATGGATTATGATGATTAGAGTTTGACATGAGATGCTCTCTTCTGGTTTGAAGTCCAGAAGGTGAAAAAGTGATGGTCCACTTTCAAGATGAGATTGAAGGAATGAAAGTATTCGTGTTGTAAAAAGATAATCAAGCTACTCAAGACGGGATGAATGAAGTGATGATTATGATTATGATTAATTATATTGTGACTACGTACATATAGTATGAATTATGATATCAGTTGAATTGAAACATGGGATTTTGGATTCGAGTAGACAGGTAAGATTTGTTTGAATCAAAACACTAACAAGATTTGACCGGGGAAATCAGACAGAAGCTGATTAGTGATAGCGGGTGAAAGTTTAAAGACTTGACATTTGTTCTGATGAGATGAAAGTGAAATGTGAGTCAGGGGATGAGAACGAACCAGACTGGATGGAGTGGATTGGAACGTTGCAATCTGCAATCTTGAAGATGAAAATCAAGAACCAGGGAAATGAACTGATGAAGGTGATGATGAAGAAGAGAAAGAGAAAGATAGAAATGGAATGAAGAGGTTGAGGTAGGTAAAGACAGAAGATCAAGAGAAATATGAGACTGACTCAACTTGACTATGTGCCAGATGTTATTGATCAGTGAATGAGCTGTTGACCGGAAATCGATTGAAATCAAACCAAAAGAACTGAAATCGATTTGAAAGATGATTCAGAATGGTAAATGGAAATCAGTTTTCAAGTCTTAAGGACTGGATGGATTGTAGAGGTGAGAAAGTTGATTGATGATGAAGATCAGCAGTAAATCTGACAAGCTTGATCATGAACTTTTTTCAAGAGGAAATCTCAGGTGTAAACTCTCTATCCTGTGATTCGATCAAGTTACCCTCAAGTTGAAGAAATATAAGATATGACTTTCAAAAAGATCTGAGCTTGAAGGACGTGAGATTAGTGATGATCTCTAGACTCTCAATGCGAAACTCGAGGAAATTGATAAGGAATTGGTGCCAAGCTTTACCAAATCTGCTGTTAAAAAATACGGATCCACTTGGTTTTTCCAAAAGTTGACTCCAGGGAAAGTACGCGATTAGATAATCGGAGTGGACAGGAGAGATAGATTGGACGGTGCGATAAACCTGGGGAAAAATCAAACCAGATGAAAAGTGTCCAGATAAGGATTCTCGAATGCAAGAGCTATTACGTCACAAATCATTTATGGTGTCTATAAATCTTTCACCACGGGAACCCAAACAGAAACACTCAAATTGTCTCGAGAAACGGAATTAAGCAAAAGGATTCAGACATCCAAGCAACCGCTGGACTGTATCAATGACGTCTTTTTGCCGAGCGGGTCTGAACGAAAAAAAAGAGAAAGGACATACCGAAAAAATAGATAGGATGATATGTATGAAGTGTCATGGAATTAGGATGCTATCATTATGACTCGAGTTCCAAGCACATATCAAACTCACCAAAACTTGATTGTAACCAATCAGCGATACAAGTCAGCAAGTTCATCACATGGCAAATGCTAAGGGCAAAAAAGCCCTTATGTAGATCTAAGATTCATTTTCAGCACCTCTCAGTTGATATCGAATTGATGCAATCATTGATAACCAATGCCCGAATCGCAATGTTAGTTTCAGTAAGCTCATACGCCATTCCACGTGGCACCACAAAACCATCATGATGTGTGCTTTGATTCGTTGTTAAGTTTACAAAGAGCTGGCTGTACACACGTTTGCACGTTTACGGTTTGCCTCTCCTGACAATACTGAAACGTCGTACTTGACACTACGTGCTCATGATACGCATCTGTCGATCAGCGTGTTCTCTTGCAGGGATGACGGCATTTATTTTGATAGACCGGCCACAGGATAAGGTTTCGAAAAGAAAGTGAAAATTTGCAGCGCAGTACTACATAGCAAGTCGGATATATGCGATGAATAGAAGATCTACCAAAGGATTATTGGTGTGATGTGTACATACAAAATCATCGCAGTCCTTTGCGGTCCCATTCTCAAGCTCTCAGCCTAACATCAGAATTGATCACCTTGGGATTGCCGAGTGGTGGCCGGTAAGCGGGGTTGATGAGAGAACAAGCTGTGTGACCGTCACATATGTAGCATGATCAATTCAGGTATGTTCAACATCGCGTCTGATCAGACAATTTGAACATCTTCTTCATAAAACACTTCAGACATGATTTTTATCTTATTCTACGTTCACCTTGCCACTGCGGAGCTTGAGTATGTACGTACTATCTTTGTAGATCGCGGACCCGTTCCGATTGTACATATTTGAAGACTTGGTCCAATCGTTCAAAATATTTTTCTGTTCAAGCTGTTCAACGTGCGATAAGAAATTCAAATTCACTGTTCCCTTCTTCTTTGATAAAGCAAGTGTAGAACCCAACGGGACTCCATATTCTCAGGTCAGCTCTCCTGTCTCAGTTTGTACACTAAGTCTAAGATGCTCAGTACACAAAACCAAACTTTGCCCCAGTTTGTCTACCAAAGTTGAGCAATTCGGCGCCAGATTGGAGATGAACTCGTATGTGGGTTTGACTGCGTGTTCAATTTTACGTTTGGGATTCATCACTTGTAGAATCTGTTTGTCATATTGATAAGGAAGCATGAAATCAGCTCTTCATCTTACATAAAGCTAAGATTCGTAAGACACATGATTCACCTTCCTCCAGAAGACTTTGACCATCAGATTCCATGTGGACAAGGTGCATCATCTTCTTAATCCGTTGGTCGTACTGCGGGTGATACTGCGACGTTAACTACGATTCGGAATCAAGATCCATCGTGCTTATCGAGTGGAGGTCTCATGTAGGGTGTACGATACCTACAAGAATTATCCTGAGAGTTTAAGCTCTTCTTACGATGTCTCATGTGGTGTCTCATCCGAACCAGCACGATCCGAAGAGTGAGATTTGTAAAAATCATGTACCTTGAGACTCCTTGAGAGCAATTATGGAAGCTATCAAGGTCCTTGTATGCGGCCGCTGGAAATTGCTCAAGCCAATGGTCCGGTAGGGCAGCCGGATCTAAAGAGGAGGAGGTCAAAAAGATAGCAAGAAAAGAGGTCGCACCTGGAACATTGGCACAGCATGAAGATCGGTTGCGTCAACCGGAATTCAGGATACATATGAAATAAGCACCAGTGGAAAGAAGGGTTGGTGACTAGCCTTAGAATAAATTATCAATGTCGTGCTCTTACACAGCCCCTTAAGCTAACTTCGTCTGCCTCGCCTCAGCGGATTCAAATCTGTTGAGAGTGCGGTCTCAGATCGACCAGTTATCACACGCGCGAAAGCGCCTGAGTGTTAAACATACCAGGGTTCCACACGTTCAAGATATTGAGTGCGATGAAGCTATGATACCGGTCTCGCCCGAACGTGGCCATCATGATGAATAGGTATTAAAGGTTCGCGGCTTCAACGTGAATCGCCCATGATGGTAAACCAGAGTGAGATCTGAATTTGTCCTAAGAAGGAATCAGAGGTGGTCATAGGGTCAGCAGTGAGCACAGATTCCGCGAAGCTAGTGACTGGGTTCAGAACGGAAATTGTGACAGGATATACTTACAGCTCGAGGCTCAGCATCAGAGAGTTGCTGGAGAGTCAAATTCGTAATGAGATTATCGCCTGTTCCATGATGCGCTGTCTGCGTGCATCAGGTAGTTCGATATGGCTGAAAAGATCAAAGAGAGAAACAATCTGATGAGAAAAGATTGTAAAGAAGATGTGCATCCTGGATTAAGGGAAGTCGATTTTGCTAAGAATCAATATCTTGTCTTTGGTGTGACTGCAAAGACAACTGGTCAAGAAGATCATGTGATCACAATGAAGTCATCGTAGTCATCTTAACACGGCACGAATTCACATGACACAGCACTTTATCAAGCTGTGATCGATGTGAATCAAATGATGCTTATCCGATGATGTAAGTCAATAAGATTATGAATGATGACAGAACCTGACAGAACCTTTACCAACCGAATGGTGAAATCAGCCTGATAAGATTTATGAACAATCCAAATCGGGGTCTCAATGGTTTTGTTGACTAATGTCAGCCAAGTTACGTTGTAGTGAAGTGTAAATCGAATCTTGAGAGATTTCTGCTGTTGACCGCTCTTGTTGACCATGTCCTTTGGCAATCAAGCTTTTGTAGTCACTGTCAAGAGTCAAACTGATTGAGAATATTAAAATTCCATATTCTTGATTGAGATTCCATCGAAATACAAACCATAGTTCCATACAAATCAATTCACTCATCATAACCTAACAATGCAAGTGGTCAATGAGGTAGAAAGTTTGAAAAAATTGAAACTGTAAGTATGGTCACTGGAAGAGCTTTTGTCTGAAGCATAACTATCAAGTCTCGATTTTTCAACCGGACTTCTTGGTGACAAGCAAATCCAATCTGCAGTCTGCATTTGAAGTCTTTATGTCGTGATAAAAATCTAGCGATCAGTGGAACAAAAGCTGTCTTGATTGGACGCCTCACAGGTCTTCCTCCAGAAAAGGCTAGCTCCACCAAATCGAAAAAGAAAGTCACTTCAACAAAGACTGGCGAAGGTCAGGTGGAGACGGACTGCATAGGACAGGCTTCGGGAGACGCTTTGATAAACGTGCAGTAACGGGCTTGTAACATTTTTCACCCTTCTTCAAATTTATGATAGCTTATTGGAGTCTGATTTACGATTCTCAAGACACCTTCAAATACCAGCCAAGCGCCGGGCGAATCAGTTCTGACCGAGTCCTCGAACCACGAACAGCTTGGGATTTATCACGATTTCGAGCAGCCAGAAAAAAATGTTCAACCTGTTGATGACCAGCGTTCGCCTCCCCGTTCCCACGAAGACAGAGGTGAAGTCTCCCCCGTAACGGAGGAAAGCACTGCGCGTCCATGGTGGTTGGACTTGCAGTTGGTTAGCAACGTGACTTCGTACTATGGCAGAAGTGGAAAGCTAACACATCAATTATCGATTCAGCCGCATGGAACAGGGTACACTCAGGCTGTTGAGCCAAACGCTGTGAACTCGTATACCGCTTCACATAGCTTTTTCGCGCGAGACGAAGATCAAATCACACCAAACTTGTTAGCTCGAGAGTACGAACCTGTAGGGCAGCCGCACAGCTCTCTGATCAAAGCGACGCCAATCCTAGATATGACACTCACAAGAAAACTTGGAGGCAACTGTTTGTCGAGTCCGTATGAACCTGCTCCGTACGACGAAGAAAGACGCGAGGTATCGACCGTGACTGAACAAGGTGAGGCTCGGCCAGAGCGGTCGGGCGGCCAGCTAGTTAGTACATAGGTTTTTATCGTTGTAATAGTGACGAGCTAAGCTTACATTGATCAACGTAGCCGTCTACGGCAAGACACTATCAGAGAGTTGCGCCCACTTCTCCGAACTTATCGCATGCGATTGCTCCAACTATGGTTTTTGCACAAGGTCAAGATCGAGCCTTGGGACATATGCTGGCTCAAGACTACGACCCCAGAGGACTTTTGGAAATTCCTTCACGGGTGGAGCCGACACCGATTCAAGATATCACATGCAAAAGGAAATTTATCGAAAAACCCTTTGTGACTCCTTTCAAAAAAATCAGTAAACCCAATTGCAACACGATTCAAAAACCTTGCCTTGAAAATCTTTTGACTTGCGACTCTATTGATTTACACGTAAATTGGTATAATAGAATCTTTGATAAACTTTTGGACCGATTAGAATCGCCAGAAGAGGATAAGCAAGATCTTAAACGTCTTGGAATGATAACTAAGGCACAATTGATTGAGATCTCAGTTGGTGATGAGAAAATTCAAGCAATCTCATGTCTGAGATTTTTGATCGCAAGATTATATAATAAATTATCCACAATGGAAGAAGAAGGATCTAGCTTGTTTTCTGTCCTTTCATTACCTTCGGTAATCAAGGTTGAAGAAGTGACCAAAGGTATCAGTTGCGGTATGTTAACTTCAAAAGAAACAGTTTATTTCATTTCATATACTGGTGAACTTCTGGGTTCAGACTCTCAACTCGTTTCAGATCCAAAGAGAAATATAAGGAGTGATTGGGAGGAATTCATCAAGAGTCGTTCGATTGATGATATCAATGAATGTAAAGATTTGTTAGAATTGGTTAGAACGTCGGATTTTGATACTTATCCTCATGGGATCAGTCGACATTTCATCTCTGGTTGCAATGACTCTGAATTATTGGAACACGCCAAGACATATGTATTGGCGAATCTAGCCGTGAGTCTGATATATATATATCTGTGTCGATGTTTTCGTGACTGCTAGCTAGCTGATCAAGGTTTGTATTTCTAAGCCCAACTCGACGAGTGGAGAATGGAAATCAATTTTCGATTGTTTTGCTGAATTCAATTCAATTCACAAATCAATGCCTACCACCAAAACTTCTACATCAACATCACTTTCACTCTTTCTTCCTGCTTCACATTATGTTGAGAAGGTCTATCGTAAAACTGAACTTGATAAACTTTTGCATGAAGCAATTTGTTCTATACAAACTTCCAACCGCACCCATCTTTGCTTAAAGTTGACTGGCCAAATCATTGGTAATGATCAAGAGGGTGTAGTGATACTTTGGCAAGAACTTCTAGGTTGCGATGTTGAAGGCGTTAAAAGGCTGATGTGATTGTAATAGCGAAAAGAATTCAAAAGGGCGTACATACCCTGTAAGATAAAGTCCAGTTATGCCACTCTTTTCTATTTTCATGAGATGAGTGAGCTACGGATGCACTAACGTGAGCAATTATTTGAAAGCAGATGCCATCAAGGGTGCTAGTCCGTGCAAACTTTGATTTATCATTATCAAGGAGCATTTGCAGTCTTTTCAATCTGTTACATTGTCACTTCTCAAATCGTTTCCTGATGGTACAATACAAAATTTCAAATCATAGCTACACTTTCTTATCAAGAACATGTATACGATGTAATGAACTTCAAGTGTCAATGTATGCAATATATAAACCAAAAAAAAACATCAAGAACCTCACTCTTTTCTACGTTTAGAATTCAGTTTGGTGTTCCGGACATTGGGTGATTGATTATTAATCTTTGAGGCTGTAGCGTGTCCTGTCTGTTTGATATGCTCAAATAGCTTCGTTTTGGACGCAAAGCTCATCTGACAATGATTACAGCTCTGAACAAAGAATTGAACAATAAGATTAGTTCTAAATCTTCCACAGGATGAATGAAATCATGGAATCAAAAAGATACAAAGACTAACCTCTGATTTCGGACCTGTTTCAGAAGTGATCGCATTCTGTTTTTTGGCTACTTCCTTCGCTCTTCGTTTTTCGCGTTTACTCATTTCTGGTTTAACCTCTGAGTTATCTGCTTGACTTGAAGGTGTTGAAATTGGATCGTCACCAATGATTGAAACGAAACCTTTATCATCTACTACCCCTTCTAACAAAGGGTCTTCAACCATCATATTCCTAGCAAGCGCACGTCTAGCTTTCTTGCCTCTTCGTCGCGCTATGCCCGCCATCTCTGATTCTTCGTCACTGATGGCCATTTCAGGTATAGTTTGTGGATCAGCGTGATCACTTTCTGTCTGGGTATCTTGTGGTGTATCACTCAGTGGTGGTATTAGTGGGAGATCGTGATGCTGTGGGAGTGGAGAGAAAGGTTCATCAGGCGCTTGTGGTATCGGTTTCGCTTCTTCTAGCTCGCTGATTTGTGCAACTGGAGAGGTATCATTTGGTGCTTTGGTGTTCGGCTGAGACTTGTCGGCGTCGTCCAGTGTGAGTTTGTTACTCAACTCTGCACGCAAAGTTTCTGATAAGGACGGAGATGCTTGTGATGTAGGCGAAGCAGTTTTAGAAGCAACAAACTCAGTTTCTTCCTCTAAAAGTTGTTTCCGTAACCTATGTGTGCTTTTTGACTGATCAGAGTCAAGATCCGAATACGAGGGTGCGACGAGATAAGATATAACCTCACCGTGAACAGTTCTGTTTGTGTTTCTTGCTTCGTTCATGATTATCCCAAGCACCCTGACTATTGAAATCTTTACCACAAGCAGCACAATACCAATCATTTACTATTTCTTCCTCTTCTTCCTCTTCCTCTTCATCATCGGAGCCTTCATCACTTTTGTTACGTTCTTGTAGGGTGTCATTATCTGAAGAAAGATCAGTAGAGGCCCCTTGTTGCATCTGCCATTCTTGTTCCCTGAATTGCTTAGCTTCTTCTTCTCTTTCCTTTGCACGTTTCTCTGCCACTTCTCGTAATTCGCGTTTGATTCGTTGGATTTCCTGAGCACGCCACTTTTCTGGGTTACTTGCTGTGCTTCGTGCGAATCGAGGATCGCGCTTCTTAACAAAACCTACTAAACTTCGAATCGTCTCATTGTATTCTCTTCTAGCTGCATCTCTTACACGTTGGTTTTCTTTCTCTACTAGTCTTTTGTATCGACGATCAGCTTGTGATGAAGCATGATGAGGTTCGATCCACTCGAAAGTTTTTTGAGTAGCGAAATTACTCCAGGTAGAATAAAAGTATTTCAAAGCTCGTTCACCGGCAATGTCTTGATCATAAGCTGATTGACTGTTTCCGAAGGATGGATAAACGATTGTAGAATCTTGACGTGCTATCATTTCTTCCGATGAGATTTGATTGAAAAGTGAACGATAGATTGAGAAAAAAGAAGTTTCAGAATCATCAAAGTTTCCTTTCCAAAGAGAAGAATCAAAGAATTTTAGAATATGTTTTGTTGAGAGACCAGGACTTGATGAACGTGATGATGAAGGTTTGGTGAATTTGAAGTTGGTAGGATCGAAATTCTCGAAATCTTTCAGTTACAAAGCATAGAGAAACAAAAGAGAATTTGTCAGTAGGAGTTTCTCTCATGAATTGCGGAATGGATGTGAATATAAACTGACCATCATTCACTCCATTCAGAAGATCTTCTCTATGTCGATCGTAAAATGCTCGTTCATCCTCATCACTCAAAACCTTTTGTAAATGAAGAATTTGAACAAAGTACTTCAGTTTCTTGCGAATTGAATTGAATAAAGATAAAGGGAAGAAGAACATGTGATACCTCATAAGCTTGTTGAATCTTTGCAAATCGTTTGGTTGCTACTTCAACATTATCATGGTTTTTATCTGGATGATGAATTAAAGCTTGTTTCCTAAAAGCTTTTTTGATTTCTTCAGATGTGGCTTCTACTGGAATCTGTAAGACTGAAAAAATCAAATTATAAACAAACAAACAAAATATTTAATCTTTGATATCCATCATACTATATTATGTCGTGTAGAAATCTAATGAATCTTTTTTAAAAAAAAGTCAAATTGATTTGAGCTTCACTTTCATATAAATCTTCTGTAGTTTGATTCGGATTTAAATTTTCAGGTTTTGATTGATTTTGTTGATTTCTTGATCCATTTTCTGCACCTGGTCTTGATTCATTTGCGCCCATTTCTTCTTCTTCTTTTCGTGATCCTTAAGAATAAGAGGTAGAGAGTGATGATTGAAGTAGACAAGATGTGAAGTTGATCAGGTTGCCAGTGTGACAATAAAACAAATTACACACGGTTTGATATATAAGCATATCTTACATGAGTATTCCTATACCCATCAATCAGATTCACAGTCACAATATACATTGTTAAACAATCACTTTCATTCATAATCAACAACAACAAGAGCGTGGTCTTGGGCGAATCCCAGAGAATCAGACCAACGGTGTCACAAGGTCATAGCTTGGTTGATTGGATGAAGAATTTCAGGAAAGAAGGTGGAAGGATGTGATTGTCGGATTTGGAAGCTGTAAAAGTGTAAAGCACATGTAACGTTTTCATGTGTATGTAATTCACATCGATATCACTTTTAGCCGATCGCGTTCAGCTTCTTGATAATCAAATCCACTTCAACTTTACAATCAAGCCAACTTTCACTTCACATTCAACCTTGACCCACCTCAAGCTTAACTAACAGCTCAACCCTCAAACCAAGTTCCCGTTCAAAATGCAAATCAAAGTCAAGGTGAGAGTTATAATTCGATATTCTCAAGAGACAGGATTATGTGAACTGTGCGCTGATCCGAGGAATATTTGGTTATCAATTGAACATTAGACGCTTACAGGCAAAGAGGTGTGTAAATCTTTCCTTTATAAAACCTTTTTTGTTTCTTTTGAGTGTACTATACTGATGAAACTGTGCTAAGGAACCTTTAGATCGAATTGGATATAGAAGCCGATGATCTGGTAAAACTAAGATTTAATATTTTATATATCTTACATTCGATCATCAAGAGATCTGAACTTCAAAGCTTGTGTGTTTTATTCTTGTTTTAGATAGAGAAAGTGAAAGAAAGAGTAGAAGAAAAAGAAGGAATTCCAACTAGTCAACAACGTCTGATTTTTAGTGGTAAACAATTGTTCGTTACTTAATTTCAGATCAACTTGATATCTCTTTTTCTCTTATTTCACTTATCTATATAACTGACCTTTTTTTGTGGATTTTCTTTGTACATTTGTATATTATAGGACAGATTCAAAGACAGTTAAAGAATCGAATATTGAAGGTGGTTCAGTCTTACATTTAGTACTTGCATTGAGAGGTGGTTCAGATTCGATTCGGTCAAACTAAATGTATAGATTTATCAAGTTTTGGTGGTTTTGTGGTGATTTTGTTGAAATGTTTACAATGGGATTTAGGATTCGAAAGACAAAATCAATGGATCAATTTATAAAAAGGTGAAAAATTGATCATAGGAATCCAAATGTGTTTATACTGATAGTCGACGTTTTTTCCTTTACTTACGTGGTTTGAGGAAATCTTATTGTTGGCTTACTGGATAGCTTTATCATTGTATTCTGTCAGAAGAAAATTACTAATCTGCGAGTGTGAAAAGCTGGAGGGAGACACCTGATATGCTTGAGTCTTTAGGCTAAGACTTGAGAGGGAGAGGGAATTTCTCTGTCTTTTCAACTTCATACATTACGTGTTTGTGCTCCAGCTTTGGGTTAGCAACTCTACCTTGGGTTCTGATACAATTTTTTGAAAAATGATTGAATTTCTCAAAAAAGGTAAAGTTGCTTTATATAAAAAACCAAAACAATTCAAAAGTATATGACAAAGATACTAGAAAAGGAAAAGTATGATCATAAGCTTCAGCAAAAACGAGAACGCAGTTATTTGCTTGTTTAGTCATCCGTTTCAATTATCTGTAGGTTAAAAACAAGGTCGAGATGAGGTATTGCCAAAGTTGCCAGTATCAATTAAACACATGCACAACAAGAATGATTCCAAGAAGGAACAATATGATGCTGCAGCCTGATATATATAAGGACAAATTATAGATCAGTATATCAAAAGGTTCTTAGAGGAATAGATGAAAGAAACAGATGATAAATGTCATTTGCATGAATGAAATAAGTTCTTAAAAATTGATTAAAGACAGAGATCAATTCATGATAGTCATGATGCACAAATATTAAAGAACTCATTGGATGAAGCTTGAATTGAATTAGAATGACATCTTTCCTAAAATCTTTTGAAACTTGGGTTTCAATCCTGGATCTTGTGCAGTTATTTCAGAGATCTGTTTAAAGAAATTGGTTAAAATTGAAGATGATAAGATCTTTGATTCATCAATATTAAGATTAAGCATTTGATCATCTTGATTTAATAAATATTTCTTTAAACTTGTTTGTAACCAAGGTGTTATAAATGATTGATGATTACCATTTAAAATTATGTTTTCTACATTCAGTATGAATTCTTTCATAATCTTTTCACTTGATAAGATTTGAAAGATCTTTAATGAAGAATTCTCTTTTTCTGTTTCAATGAGTTTTTCTTGATAATCAACAAAAAGTTTCAAGATTTTTTTATCCTGGAGAAGTTGAGGAGCAAGATTCATACTGATTAATAGATTTGTAAGAGATTCAAATTCTTTGGATATACTATCTTCACCAATCAGTTCACAAATGTGAATGGTAAGACTAAGTTTAGCTTTCATCTGATCAAGAGGCATCTTTTGATCAATTTCTGGTTGTGCTGAAGTCTTTAGTAGGCCTTTGTACAATAGATTTTCAGGTTTGAATTCATATCTTGTGACTGTGACTAACTTTCTCCAAACTTCAGTGTAGTATCCAATGAGCCATTCATCAACTAATGCTGCCCCAAAAGTGTGAGTGTATTCCATCTCCTTTTGTTTCATAGTTTCAAAATTGCTGGATGTATCTTTTAAATAAACTGATAATGAACTTTGTAAGACTTGATTGATTCTTTTGTGTTTCATTTCACATCCAGTCATGAGTGGAATCTCAGATTGATCAACATCAGGATGTAGTAAGATTTTGTTGACCCATTCTAATACATCATCATATACTGCTGGTTTGATATCTCCTTTTGGACCTGGTAGATTGTTTCTGGGTGAAAGATGTAAGAGATACATGGTCACTTGAGTCAAGATGATGAGTGTTTTCCTTTTACGTGTTGTATTCAAAATGGATTTGATTACCATTAGACCATGAGGTAGTATACAATCCTTAACTGAATTTATATCAAGACTCATGTTTGGAATTTGATGAAGAAGATGGATCAAGTATTTGGAAAAATATTCCTTTAAAATCAAAGGATCTAAAGGTCTTTGATCACGTGTAGGTTTTTCTGATCCTAAGACTGCCAAGTTTTTGATGCCTGGGAGTAAGGTTGATTGATGGCTTGGGCCAGCACCAGAAGGGACTATAGAAGATGGATGAATGGAAAATTGAAATGCAGTGTACATGTAAAATGTTCATGATATCAGTACATCTTTTCTGAGCAAAGCTGATCCTTGAAATTTGCATAGAAAACAAGCTACGTTACCTGTACCTGATGGATGCAAAGATTTTGGATATCTTGGAATGCCAGGATATTTATCTAACAATAGTTGTATCAAGATTGGTAAATGATGATTGACTCTGTAGTTGATAGAGCAATACTTGACTTACTTGAACTCAGTTGCTTGTGATTTTGGGGTGTGCCTCTGTGAAGATTATGCTTAATTTTCCATGTTTTCAAGTATTTCCTTTGTCAATTCTCTCATCATAGCAACAGAGGGACAAAATACTCACCTCTGTGAATTTCTCTGTGGACTTTGAGGGGACAATCATTGTAGGTAGTACTGTAGCTCTCAGCAGAGCTTCCATAGAAGGGTCTACATCTGGACCAAATGAGCCTGTTGGTAATTTCCATCGTCCATTTTGATCTCCTGAAACCTCCACAAGGCATTTTGAATTTCATGTCAAGTACCATCACATGTGGAAATGAAATACTGACCTTGAGCCATTGATTTACTGTTTACCAAGTGGAAGGGACTATCAGAGTGCTGCCAAGATACGACCCGAGTAGTCAGCTTTGACAAAGTCAAGAAGCATTTTTGAAGACTGTCTAAGAGAGGTTTCTCTAACTTTTATACCACTTACTTTCCAAGCTTGCCGATCCACCAAAGCACCATCATGATCCCCATGCAATGAGCCTCCTTGATGATTGTGTCAAAATACAATATTTCCCAATCACAGAAGGAAGATCAAGAAGAGCAAAAGTTTGTCAATAAAAGGCCTGGGAAGCTCACACAAAAGAGCCAATTGTTCATAGGTTTTACAGAGTTTTGGAACTATATTTACCCAAGTTAGTTGGATTGGATGAGGTGATGGCCACGTGTTTGTCATTTCCTACACAAGTAGTACTATTTGTAAGAATTTGTAATGGAGATCAATCCACACAATGATGAAACAGACCTTGGTCAGATTCATGCAGCCCTCTAGTAGTTCCAGATGGTAAGAATCCCAGAGTCGGTGAATCCTTCATTTTTCATTTCAGAAATGGGTTTTTTTGTAAACAAAGTTAGTTTGACCTTTAGATTTGTCATATCACCTTTTTAATATTCATCAAGGGACTCTCACAGTCAGATCAAATGGAAATGATCCAAGATCAAAATTCTTCATCTGCTTTGCTTCACGTATATCTTCTCGGGAAACTCCATTCATGAGAGGGCGTTTATGTCCAAGAATACTGATTTCAGGAGTCTGCTGCTGTGGGCTTGAGGTCTGTATAGGTGATATATGCACATGCATTCCTTTTGGATCCTCATGACTTTGAGATGGTGATGCTGAGGGCCTATGATAAACATTTTCCTGACCTGTATTTCAGTTGAAATTTGTAAATCAACTTCAAAGACCTCTCGAGGGTACTACCAGAGGCAGGGCGTATCAGAATCTTAAAATCACGTTGTCATACTCACCAGCGCTTTCCCTGGCATTTCCTACGCAATATCAATGTAAGAATGAGCATTATGCATGTCGTGGATTACGAATTGCGTCGCAATTTGGCAATATCAAAGGGGACCAACACACCTTGATCATGGGTCGGGCTTCTATCCCAACCTGACCAACTAGCTAGTAGAGAATTTGTATCTGAATCCTGCAACATCATGCCGAGTAATGAGTCTATCTCGAGAAAGAAATCTAATCTAGAGTCACTTTATCAGGTATAGAAATAATACTTACTTTTAATGAATCAATATCCAGCAAAGTAGATCCAGCTCTTGTTACACCGTCACGCATCAACTCATGTTCGTAGGACCAAGGTTCTTGCAGGTATTCTGAATTTGACAGAAAGACATTATGTTAAATGTAGATAACTTGGACGACATTGTGCGGGAAAGCAAAAAGGGCCAAGGGTGTTGAGAAACAAGCGCTTCGTTATTCAAAAACACACCCACCCAGATTTGTATCTTTTTGAGATTTGCCATGATTTTCACCATTTCCATCCTCAGAGAGCGCTGCATAATCATCTATACTTGTTCCATGTAAAGATGAGGCTTCTGCACCTGATGAATCGCGATTCTCTTCCGATTGCGAAGACTCATGATTTGTGCTGACTGTCGTTCTTGTTGCACTAGTTTCGGGTGTATTGTCCCCAGCGGTGTGAGGAGTTTCTGCGAAAAGGAGACTCTTGGGGTCAGGTTCTTGCAATCCCTCTACAGGATAATACAAGTGATTAGGCCCGGGGAAAAATTACAACAAGCTATCGTGAGGCTTGCGCGGATTAAACAAGGATAGTTTACAAAGATCTTCATATAGTAAAGAAGATGAGGATATGTGAAATAATAAATGGACATAAATGAGAAACTTATTCACTTGGCCTTACAATATCTCCCCCAATAAGAACTTCTCCCGTTGGCGAGGGTTTTTTACTCCCTTGGTCGGTCTGTGCGATAAAAGATTCTTCAGGCTTCCAAGTCGCATGGTCTGTCCCATCAATATTGGAGTCCATCGAGTAAGCTATCTCAAGTATAAATTCTGCCAAATATAAATCAAGAGCCTCACCTGCTTCTTCTCCGTTCAAAAGGGCAGTGAAACTGATGGCAGTACGTGGATCATCACCTCCATGATGGGGCAAAAACATTCCTTCTGCTGTGATTGCCAATATCAGGATGTGATGGAATTGCAAGAGCATCTTTGATTAATGTGGTTGGTATACTTGTGCGCAGCGTCTATCTGACAGAAATTGGGTGATGATAATTGTTATCAATCTTTCACTAGGAAGAGCAAACACCGAGAGTGGTTGATTGTGCCGACTTTTATATGGAAGCTCTGAACAAATTCTGCAGCCCGCAACCGCTTGATTGCATCCTTCCTGCGCACAAAATGATGCACGCGTCAGCCTTGTATGAAGCGGCCATATTGTAGGACTTGAGCTCTCAGGTTCTGTAGTTTCACAAGGCGCTCATCCCGGCTCCTCATCATGATTCTGAAACACATAAGACGCAGGGCGATATATGTTGATATGCTCATGCTTCAATACGGTGACAAGGTGAGAGGTAAAACTTGCTGGAAAAGTTGCTCGGTCGCGCAGCAGATTCGGATGTGTTACCGCAGAATATGAGAAGCGGCCGGGGTTCAACCAGACTAAGTTGACTATGTGCGTCAACGCAATGAGGACAGGCCGCCCGTGATGGCCTTATCTTTAGTTGCTCCTTATCGGTGAGGTCCTCAACGAGACATTTCTGGACTGCGTAGGGATCTGTATAGATAACCCTTTATCACGGTCGTTTCATCTGATGTTGTGTATATCGCCATTCACAATCCACAGTCTTGTCATTATGATCACGCCGTCGATCCCCCGCACCGCTATGGTACAGTTCCCGACATAGTTTGGGGACATCCCAGGAGTGGAGAATGCATCTGAGATATGGCGACTGCGTGGAGAGCGGACTGAAAGAAATTTGCAATCGTGGTGCGTCACGGATACCATCCAGTTTTTTTGGTTGTCCATATGACTCAAAGTTATGTACACTCGAGCCTTCAGGCAATCGTTAGATATGCTGCGCTCCAGCGAGTGTTTGGGGGGAAGAAAATTTCCAACCCTTCGATAGAGGCTTTTAGGATCCACTGTACAAAACTTGACTTGAAGATGTTTTCATTCAACGGAAAACGATCGGAGTCTTTCTACATAAGTAACCTATCCGGCTTACACACATATACACTCGAGTAACATGCTTCTCGAGAAATTTATAAATCACAATGGTTAGAAAATCCATAAAGAGTATAGTGCCTGATCTTCAGATGTCTGTGACTGTGAGTAGCGAGCCTATAAGGAGGGCTTCCATTGCCTCATAACGATTGTATAGGTAACAGGATGTCTATTTGACCTTTGATGCTCATGATTAAGGAAGTGTGTCTTCCCAATCGTCCGCTACTTCGTCTACCTGTTGTCTTTCTTGTCGCGAGGTAGATGAAATGGGTGCCATCACGGCAGTAGGCGCAACACAATAGTGTCTTTGTCAGGGAAAACGATCACATAGCAAGAAATTTGAAAAAGCCACGCACGTCGATTGAATCCCCCTGCCACGAACCCGCCGGCCATAAATTTTGGGTCACCGCTTGATCAGACTTTGCAAAGAAATTTTGTCGTGTCCAAATACACCCTGTAGCAGAATTGCATTCATCTTTTCGGGTTGGTCTTCTGCCTTGACAGAGACTGCAAATCAGTCTTCGGTGTAGGCACAGAGACTGGTGTGGTCTATTGTGTCAACCGCGCAGACTCAAAGGCCTGCAATAGAAGAGGTCGGGGTACCTTCACATTTGGCTTTTCATTGACCATGACACTTTGCCTAGGTTCTATCCAAACACATCAGGGTCTAAAATTGAAGAAACCAGGAGAAATTTGCAAGACTAACCTTCATCAAGATGTTGGCAAGAAAGACCATAAATTTTTTGGCCAACTCACAGATGAACTTGTGTTTAAAATGATTCTGAGTTTGGAATAGGTGTGAGAGCTTGGGTAGTTGTCAGTTGAGGAATTCTTCAAGAATGGTTTGATTGACTTCACCAACATTTGTGGAAAAAAATGAAGTAGTTCACCACTCCATTCAATTCCTACCTTAAGTTCACCTGAAGTTTGCTCCTTGTTTACAATGTCAAAAGCACTTGCAAAGACCAAATTGCATTGATAGATCACACAATTGTTGTTACATCTCAACGCACGGGCCCGGTGACCTTTAGGACAAAGATTGTGACTTGAACAAGTCAACTTCTGCACTATGTGTCTGCATTGAAATCAAACATCAAATATTTCTTGACAAGCCATTTCACTCAAGCAGACCAATGGAGCATGACACTTGATTTGACAGCAATGGCCACTGTAAATCCAAGAAAGGACTGTAATGGCAACACAGAAAGGATGTCAGTGAGATTCAAAAGACAAAGAGGCCACAAAATTTACCAATTGAAATTTGCTTGTAGACCTTTGTAGACAGGTCAGACAGGGTCCTTTGTGGTTGCACATTTAGCATGTATGTAGACCACAATTCAAGGTTTGATGGCAGATTAGGTTTAAATGATATAAGCCCTGTGTATTTTCTTCTTCAGTTTGATGTCATATCAATTCTTTTCATTTTTACCGGTATTTATCACACCTTCAAGAAAACCTAATGCACAACAAGTTCAATTGCAGGTGTGTTTTCTGCAATATCTAAGGACTCTGCATATCCATTCACACCCAAACTCCACAGCCTCTTGACCCATTGACACCGGATAAAATGCCAAGCCCAGTTTTCTGGTAGCAGCTTCCTTGAACATTTCACATAAGATTTCCACTTCACAACAAGGACAAATAATGAAATCCTTGCCGCAACGGTAAACAGTGTTTTTTTTTTGCAAGGTCCAGAGCAAGGCCCGGCAGAGTTTCTGACAAGCATGGCCACAGGCCAAAAGGCGTTTTCCACAAGAGTTTCTGCAAGTAGTGATATATTGTCACAGGTAAAACACAGTGGTAGATGTTTGGCTCCACAAGGACATGTTTCCAATACAGATGAGGAGAATGGGCAGTTGACAAGTTTTGATGGCCAGTGTAAGTGAGGATGAAAAACTGAAGGGCATGAATGGATACCACACTTAAATATCCACAGACATGGTGCTTTGCACCTAAATTTGCCAGGGAATTCCAATCCTTCAGGAGTATAGGCTTGTTAAGGATTCCTGTGTAAATTTTATGATATAGTCAAAGGTGTGCACTTTTATTCTGTCTTCACAACACTACCACAATAGCATGTATTATCTCTTGCCACTTCACAATCACTACAGTCACCCGGATGACAAGTCAAACTGCAAAAAGGTAGTCCACATGACAATGATTAATTACAGATTTGTTCACATATCAATAGTCTATTTTTAATTTGATTCAAATGGCTTTGGATACTATGAATCTCACTACAACAGATGGTGCAGAAGGTCTTGAGGCAATAACAGGCAGTTTTGATTACCACATGACAAGGCAGACAAGATCCAGGCTGACATTCTAGGGTACATGCATGAGTGCAACCTTTGACAATCAATTTGCCACAGCTCATGCCAAATGTCAGCCATGAGGAGTATTTTGGTAATACTCCCATTGGCAGTCATGAGTATCATCCACAAAGACTCAGGCATAACAAAGATAGCCTATGTACATGTTGATGGTTATGATATCAATACATACGTACATCAGCTTGAAAGAATTCATGATGACATACTCGAACTTCAGGAGACCCTGATCCAAAGAAGGTTTCCTTGAGTCCTTGAGCATATACGGTACTCAAAACAACCAGGTCCGAGCTACCTTTGTCCGAAACCTACTTACATACATTTCATTTTTGCGGGGACAAGAGAAACTAGGATTTTCCCACCTGGTTTCTCGTTTTGAGGAGCCCTTCGCCATCTACCACTCCTCAACAACATGCCTCTTGTAGGCACCCGAGCCCAGCTGATATCCGATCTCGTGAAATCATCGCTTCATCTCTTATCGGTCATCAATCTCACATACCAGTCGCCTTCGTACTTACCTCTACAAGCGTTTCTTCACTTTGAATTGATGAAATCTGGCACCTTATTACTGCTTGAAAACTCTCAAGAATCAGTCACTATCTCAATGATCACCTTAGTCGGAGCACTCGAAACTTACCTGAATGGATGCTTGAACCTTCAAGAGGCCGAATCGAATCAAGTGGCCTTACGTGAACACTGTTTCCGGATTGGTGTGATACTTGGAGAAGCCCTCGAACAGACTGATAGAATACGTTACTTTGAAGATCGACTCTATGAAAACAGGAAGGACCTGCAACAAATACGTTTCACTGCGGTCTTCAATGGAAGCGATAGGAATTTTATGAAATATGTAAGTGTTTGAAGGTTCTTACCAGTTTGATTGATATGTGTCACTCACTGATCATTCAACATCATTGCTACCTACCATAGGCTCAAATGTCGAGAGAAATTTTTTTTCGCCTTGTACCTTTGATTAGTGAAGACCTCGTGTTTCATAACGGCTCATCGCGGCCTCAATTACCGGTTGAGTGGAAACTGCTTGTGACATTATGCCAGCTAGGATTAAGTGGGAATGGTGGTAGTGCTTACATGATCGGACAGATGTTTGGGCTAAGTGGTGAGTAGGTGAATTAAATCGGGTTCTGTTCTGGTACAATATCTGATGTCCTGATGTTTCAGAGGGCAGTGTACATAATTTTACATCAAGATGTTTTGAGGCCCTTTTGAAATTGGAAAGCCAGTACGTCTACTGGCCTGACGCAGAAGAACGAACGATTATCAAGAAAGAAATTGGCGCAAGGTCCTTTTTTAAAGATTGCGTTGGATTCATAGACGGAACACTCATTCCTCTGGCCGTGGCTCCTCTCAAAAATCCAGAGGACTTCTGGACTCGCAAATTCATGTACGCACTCAATTCGATGCTCGTTTGTGATCACAATGCTTGGATCATCTATGCGTTGCACGGTTGGTGTGGCAGTTCACATGACCAGCGTGTTTTTTCATCAACTCAGGTAAGTAAAACAGGTGTTTCGCATATCCAGCAAGAATCTTACTGATTGGTTATTGATTTGTTATGTCAGATTGCTCAACAACCCGATCAATTTTTCTCCGAGGGCGAGTACCTGTTAGCCGATTTGGGTTACACATGTACCCAGAACGTTATTCCAACATTCAAAAGCCCCCGTACCTATGGATTAGATCTATTGAAAAAGGAATTCAACACCGCACTCAGTGAGCAACACGTGGTCAGTGAACACGGCAATGGCATGCTCAAATTGCGATTCCAATCTCTACGGGACATGCGACTCATCTTAAAGGATGCACGAACCGCTACACATGCTGTCAACTGGATTCGTGTCGCGTGTCTCCTGCATAACTTCACGCTGAAGAATAGGGACAGCTGGAAACCGGAACAGCCTGCTGATATTAATGATGATGACCCACCTCAAGATGATCTACCTGTCAATTATGATCATAATGCATCTTATGCAAGAAGAAACGAATTATTGCATGAGTTCAGAAGATGGCAGTCGCGCAATAATTCGCAAGGGTAAAAGCAATCTTATCTTTTTGTAACCAAAGTTTTGATCGATTTTGTGGTTCAGTTATAATCAAATTAAAAAATTTAGTGCAAGCAAGTGTTTCATTGTTATTTAGGTAGCTATTAAAAAAATCAGTAAAAGTTTTTTGATATGAATTTATTTGATGTTGTTTGGTAAATTGAAATAAAAAAAAAGTTGGTGATTTTCTTCAGAGATTTGAATTTGCCGAGTATTCGAAAGATTTTTTTCAGAGATTTGAATTTGCCGAGTTTTCGAAAAAAGAAAGTTGGTGATTCTCTTCTGAGATTTGAACTTGCCGAGACGATCAGATCTCTACCAAGCCTCAAAACTTGATAAAGATCTGATCCAAGTTATTTTGATGACTTGGAAAAACTTTTCAAGTCTAAAATCTTGATAAAGATCTGCTCCGAGTATTTCAATTACTTGGTTGGCACTTGGTGTTCATCAATAGTTCTCAGCAAATTATTTGGAAGCACTCCTTGTATTTCTTACGACCAGCAGACAAACAAAGAATCACACATAAGTTGCGCACAAATTTAGATATCAGGCCTAGAACCAAATTTTGGAAGTCTCGCACAAAAACAACTGGTTTAACACTTGCGCACACAAATTGATATTAGAGTATAATTATATTATAAGATATATTGAAAATTTTAGTAATAGTTGCGCGAACAAATGGCGATTAAAGGCCAGCGGCCATCTCATCTGCAAGCTTCATCGCCTCTTCTTTAGACATTCCTGCCGAGATAAGCTGAGTCACCCATTGAATCTTTTCGCGCGCCATAGTGAGTTTGTCAACCAATGATGGACCCTGTTCGAGTGCTTCAACCGCGGCTCTTTCAGCTTTAAGTTCGCGATCAAGCTTGAGCAGGCTCAACTCAGCCTGCTTGGTTACAAGCTGCTTGTCTAAGGCCCTTTTTTTTGCAACGGCTTCAGGAGAGAGTTCGCCATCATTGCCTCGCTTGTCATTTCTAGCTGGCGAGCCGTCCAATCGAGATCCAAGGAAAGAGATGAAGGCTTGAGTCGAGGTGGCCATTTGGTCTTTCAGATCCTGGTGGTCACTGGCGTCCTTCTTTCGGTCTCCAGTAAGTTCTTTTAAGTCTGACATGGTAGGCAAGGATGATCGGACTGATTTAGTTATATCATTCTTCTTGGAGGTAGATGGTCTTTGAGGAGTCTCGCTAGCAGGTTGTTTAAAGACAGCAGGGGGCATTGGTCGAGTGTGGCTACTACTGGAAATACTGATGCTCGATGGGCGTTTGAGCATGGGTGGCAGAATATCTTCTGGATCAGGTGTTTGCAAGGAAGGATCAGGAGAGGGCGATCGGCTGATGGGGGGGGTCGCGTTCCAAGATTCATCAAAAGCCATGGACTCGGTCAAAGTGAGAGAATAGTCAGTTGACTCGGTTTTGTTTGGGGTAGGCTGGGCACTCGGAGCGTTGGCTGTGGTGGGATTCAATTGGGCAGAGTGAAACACCTCGGCAGTAGCTAGTGGTTCGTTTCCAGGACGGTCACCCATGAGCGGTTCAAGCTCTTCGTAAAACCGACATAACCGTTTCAACATTTCTGACACGGAGTAGGAGAAGACGTTAGTATAGGTGAATCATAAAACACATAAACAAAAACCTTACCGTTGGTTGTACTGGCAGCCTTCGATCTGATGGCATCACCGGTATCATCATCGTACTCTACTTCAGGATCGGCTTGTAAGTCATTGATATCATCCTCGGCCTGCGCCAAGATCCCAGCTCCGGTCTGTTTACGCCACCCTTGAGCAGTTCGAAACTTGGTTTCGAAAAGTTCAATCTAGGTGGGAAGATTTGACTGTCAGAAACGGGAAATTCAAGAAGAAGATTAACAAAAGCCGTACCTGCTGCTTGCAGCCCTTCCAGGTACGAGCAATAAAACCCTTCGCCACGAGATACTTGGCACATCTCTCGGAGCACTCTTTCTTACTTGGAATGCCTGCTCGGTATGCAGAGTAATTGGTCGAGATCATATCAGAAGCATTCATACACATCCAAATCACATCTTCTGGACCGTCTTGATCGCCCCAAGTAAGTCCCAACCATTGAACGATGCCTTCAAGTGAATTTTTACCCTCCTTGTTGAGATCTTTAAGCCACGAAACCTGTCTCTGTCTCATAACTGCTGCGTGGTGAGGTGGATTCGCGCTGGGATCATCCGTAGTTGGTTTGGTCCGACGACTGCCACGTTTGGGAACCGGATCCGAAGGAGACTTGGAAGTCATTTGAACCGTTGGAGCGTGAGGCTGGGTAGATGGTGAGAGAGAAGAGTTACCAGAGGACTGGCGAGAGATTGGAGACCTGAATAGTGGGTAGGGAGAGTGGAGACCCGAAGAGCGGGGTGGGAAATCAAGCTTACAAACTAGGTGCTGGCGTGTATGTTCAAAAAAAACCTATTTCAGCAGAGACATAGAATGATCTAGAAAGTAGGTTTTGGACAAAGGTAGCTCGGACCTGGTTGTTTTGAGTACCGTAAATGTTACATTCCAAGAATGTGACTAAGGGATCAGAAACAAGCAACATCACATTGGTTAAAAAAGGACCATTATGAACGCATGCAACAATCCCTTGTGTGTTAGATCACAACAAGATATGCACAATGATATATAAGTAGTGGTTTTACACATCCCAATAAAGAGGATCATCTGATCACCAACCCACACTTTAAAACATTAGACCGTAAAGCTCTATAACCTTTTTACAACCAACCCCAGCCAAACACTTAAATTAGGAATGCATCTTTGATACCTTTCTTCTTTTCATGTATACCGTGGTTTCTTTTAAAATCCGTTATTGTTTTATTGCTCTGATTCTATAAAGTCTCAATGTTTAATGATCACATCTGAACCTATAACCTTCCATCAAACATCTTCACAGATCTTATTTTGATAAAGTTACGCTTATCAATTCAAGTAGAAGTAGATCTACCCTGAGACAGGTGTACTAACGTACCCGTCTGAAGAAGACCACAAATTATATCACCAAATACAATTGTGAGTAATAGGTTCTTAATCTATTCACACTCCTTGTGCAAATAAGACTAACCTTCACCTTCTAGGCTTGAATCTACTTCAGTAAGATACTGTCACAAAGCCTCAACACCTATCACAAGCACACATTTATTCAGCTATGATTCTCATAAGCCACCTGTTTTGGGTCTCAGGCTGACACCAAATCCATGAGGTAACAATGCTTTTGGACGCCCACCTCCTTCTTGCTTATGATGACCACATTCAGGATATTTCACCTTTACACACCAGCACTTGTAAGTCAACAGTATGCTTTCTTGACAAATGTGAGAGTATTGACATCCTGAACACCTCTAACATTGCCGTGCAGTATCTTTGGAAAATACAACACCCTCTCTATCTTGAGAATTCAAGCTTTGTTGGCAGTATTGATTACAGAGCGGATTTCCCATTCGGAAGAACAAAAGATGTGAAATATGGAAAAACAAGTTTTGCAGCGGTAGATTGTCTAAAAACGGGAGACTATAGAAAAACAAGTGAGACAGCTGTAGGCCGACATAGATAACTCAAGAGTAAGTTGACTTTGGCCAACAACAAAATCTCCTGAGAGGAGAGTGAAGTGCTTTCAGGAATCTGGTTAGTGCATTTTTCCCTGCCTGCATCTTCCTGGAGATCCCCATTGGGACCTGAGGAAGCCATCTCAGTCAATTGAGCACCAAACCCTTGACATCAACCATTGTAATTTGGTTGTGCACCTTGACCCAAAGGACAGGTGGTTTGGGCTTGTTTTAAGCACACAGCACATCAGATGAAGCAGAGATTGGGGAGCTCCCATTAATAGATCTATAGTTTACGCCTTGAAAAGGCTGGGTTTTGTTGCCTTGTGCTTGTGGACTCCAACAGAGCGCCTGCTGATTGATTGGAATTGGGCCTGCTGTGTACAGAAAAATTATTGCTGCTGTTATGCCCATAGAGCTGGACAATTGGATTTGGAAACCCTTGATCTCTTCCTCTACCTCTTCTGTGTCTTGATCCTCTGGCTAGATTGGACACTGTTAATTCTCCTCTTTCATGAGAATGTGGTACCTGTCTTTCAACCGCAGACTGGTTTTCCATCATAGCCCTTGATTGGTGACCATGAGCCTATTCCAAATTGAAATCTTTGATACAATGCTTGAAGAGTTGATAGTTGTTGGCTTGAAGCAAAAGGCTTAGCAAGTATTATATTGGAACATTAGGGGGTTTCAAGTTTGATTTTATTTTGCGTAATTTTTATTCAGACAAGTTGTTTGTAATCTTTTTTTGTAAAACAATGTATTTCTAATTTGGGACACCTAAAAAGGTGTCCTGCTGTAAAACATTTACACATATTTTACAACAACAGGAAAGTTGTTGTAGTGTAAAAATACATAACAAAATCCAACTTGAAACCCCCTAATAATGAATGTAATTCAATCAAAATTGTCAAAAGTACAGCTATTCGAGTATATTAGGGGGTTTCAAGTTGGTTTGTTTTTTGAGTATTTTTTTAAAAGTTGGGCAAGGTTTTTCGTAAAAAAGATATGCGTAAAACCAATGTATTTTTTTGAAAAAATTATATATATTTTACAACAACGGGTAAGTTTTTGTATATTGGGAACCATCAAGAGCCACTTAATTGAATAATTTTTCAAAAAAGATTGCCAAAGTCACAAATATCACTCAATTCAAAAATCAAGATATTTTTGAGGTCCTCTTGTTCAGGGCTATTCAAAAATATCCTCAGACAACCAATTTTTGAAGTTCTTGTTTTTTTTTATTTCTGATGGTCAAGAGTGCATCAGAGGAAAATCAGATTGTCTGTTGTAATTACAAACTACCCGGTCCGGGGCTTCTTGTGTCTTGATGATTCCCACTATCACGTAAAAATATGTAAAAAAAGTCAACTTGAAACCCCCTATTGTGTCATATTGGCATGTTTTGTGCCTTTCCCCCCCAGAATTTAGCTGCTGTGCAGCGCAGCTTGGCTGTATTTGCCCTGCATTATTGGATCCATGGACATCATGTACTGTCACTAAGGCTTGGGCCTGGCCCAGCCCGGCCTTCAGAATCCAGGCTGACTTTAAAGGGATCTGATCAGATCAAAAACAACACGGTAATCAATCAAATGTTCTAGGAGGAGTTAATGGGATCCGGAGAGAAATTTGTGATGAGTTTGTGTTGTATGAGAAAGTTTAATAATGAATAAGGAAAAGAAAACTTTCTCAGATCAGGAATTGATAAGTAAGATTCAGCAATACATTCTGTGGTTAGGTTAATCTAGACAAAAAGGTTGTGAGTAAAATAATGGAACAAATCACATAGTGTTTATCTAATTGCTTATTAAGCGCACAAGACATAAGAGAATAGAAACATAACATGAAGAGATAATTTGAATTGTGTTGTTGGTGATTTGGTTCCAACAGACTTGGCCCCATTTTTTCTGGTGGCCAACCCAACCCGGCCCAAACATACAGCTGTTTCAACAAAGATCAATTTTATTGAAAATCTTGCCAATGTGCAAAAGGCAGGTTTTGTCCCTTACTTGATTTTGTCTCTCCGCTAATTGGAAGAATACAGAAAAGATTAAACCTGTAATCAAGTTTTGTCTCTGGTTTTACCCGCTGCAGAGACAACTTTCTCCAAAAAAAGTTGTCAACCTTTCTTGAAACAGCTATACAACCAAATTCCTGTGCGTCACAGCAACAAGGAAATTGGTGATTTCAGGTACATTACATATATTGGCCATTGTAGCCATTGAAAGGCCTTTGTTTTGCTTTTTGGGTCCCTTTCACACCTTTCTGAGCCTCTCAGATTATCATTCATCACCACTAATCCCTCAAAACCCTTCATTTCAGCCCTTCTGGCTGACCCAAGAGCAAATCTTTGAGGCCAGTAAAACTCAAGACCGGGACCGGCCCGGGCCCGCTTGGTTAGTCCTGGTGCCAGGTCCAAGCCTTAACCGTCACCCGTGTTTGTTTGTCCGTGTTTGTCCAGGCATCCATGGAGCCTTACCTTGGAGTCCACCGCTTTAGAGCCACCATAGCTTGTCGGCCACCGTAATTTGTCCTATCCCTTGTTGATTTATTCAAATTATACGCATGTACAGTGGAATTTCAAACACTAGATATCAAAATCAAAAAGTCTCTGAAAGCATCAAGATTTCTCATAGCAGATCATTCAGGTAGAAGAACTTGAGGCATCTGGGTGGATGATTGCTTGAAGGGTCTGCGCACACAATAAGGTCTCTCTGAAAGTATCGAGATTTCACATAGCAGACTTAAAGGGTCTGCGCACACGGCACACTAGGTCTCATGGTCTCATGGTTTTACAATTCCGACGCCTGCGTGACAAAAAGGGGCACGTAGCAGTGCTGCACAAGCCTTTGAGTAATCTGCTCTGGTGATGATTTTCACGAATAAGCCCCAAAGGGTCTACATCATGAGAAGTGAAAGTGCAAAGCTCAAAGGTCTTGTAGCGATTGAAAGCTCATTTGGGTCCATAGTCATTTCAAATGTGCATTGAATTTGTTAATACTTGGTTGCTGAGCAGCAAGCGGGCTGCTTGAGAAAACGGTCATGAGGTGTTGAGATGGACGATAAAATGGACCTCTCTCTTTGTCTTTTGTCTTTCTTTTCCATCAAACTATAGGCTGTCTCATACAATTTACTCTTCCATTTTTCCTCATGTATCATAGTAGTAAATATATCCCCAATCAATCTATCCCTGAAAGGATCCCCACACCATCACATTTGACACCACATCTTTTTTAGAATGCTTTTGACAATGATTTTTGTGCTTCATCTCTTGTTGTTGTGCTTTGCAGGAAGCAAGGCATTTGACATCACGTCACCTACCGAAACTACAAACTGGGAGTTGAGTTATTTCACATCTTACCTGAGAATTTTGCCACAAATTAATTCAATTTCATTTAGTATATCTGCTCCAATTGAGATCGAATGGTCTGCCGCTTCAACCGACCCGGAAAAATTCAATCTTCAAATCACAAACCGGGATCCAAAGTGAGTTCACCTGGCTCCTCACATGCGTATACCAAATTGATTTGGTCTGTATGCGGGTGTGGTTTTCCTCAAAAGTTCTTATCCTGAAGGCATCACGGAAGTTGTAAAGCAAGATCTAAGTTCTAGCAATGGGAAGGTAAAGCTGGACTTATCGGGCGACGATCATCTTAAATCTGGAACAGGTTATACCATCAATTTCATCAAAAGCCAAGTTGAGTCATTTCTTTCTTCTTCAGCCGTTTCATCCCGCAAACTCACATTATTGAACATTCTACAAGTCCGATGAGATCTTGGCACAGTCACACCCTTTCAGTCTCACTAATGATCAATACAACTCGAAGGGTGTTGTAGTACTTATAGCACAACAAGGGCTATACAGTGCTTTGAAAGAGGATAATCTGAAGATATAATAGATCTAAAGAAGGTGTCTGAGACTGCTCTTTCTGAGAATCTTTAACAAACTGGACTTTGTTGTTAAAGTCTCCTGATAACAGAGAAATATAACCAGGTCTTTGATAATAAGAGAAAAGTATCTTGATAAAAAGCACCAGAGAAATAAGCTCAACACATTTAAAGTGTTATTCCAGTCGAGTCAAAATGTTGAAAAATAAGCTCAATATCTTTTTGATATTATTCCAGAATGACAGTGTCATATAAAGCACATAAAACAAATTTCTCTTCTGATGAAGGGCTGATTTGAGTGACCTAGTACTGCTCTAATAAGTTTATAATGATAAAAATGATTAATGCTATGTAAGAGATGAAGAAGAAAGGAAACATAATTTCGCACAAAAGACACAAGTTTATGAACACATCAATACAAATTGTTAAAGTGGTAAACAGCTCTTAAAAAATCCTCTTTACCATCTAAAAAACCAAAAGATGACTAAAATGCTGGTAAACAGCTTTGATCCAATGATTCAACCACTCTCTACATTCCTAAATTTCGCCATAAGTAGCTCATCAACCCATTATGATCATTACTATGATTTAATGTGATCTTCTATTCATCATCTGATAAGATTTATTACTAATTTGACCAGTAAAACATGACTAATCTCTATTCTTATGATCAAATGCTGTGTATATGCTGTGTATATGCTGTGTTCTGAATGTTCTAGAATGAATATTGATTTGATCTTATGATGATTCAGCATTTCAATGATGTAATTGCTTGTTATTAATGATTTGTGATCTTGTTGATGTGTAATCAAATCCTTTGATTCCTTATAACTTTTGTCATACACCTCTGTTACTAATGATTTAAAGATTGTACATTATGAATTTGATGATTCTGCGTCGAATGAGCTATTACTTATCATGTTCTGACGTCATTTGACACATGTAATCAGCTGAAAACCTTCATTTTCGACTATTTTCACCTATTTTCTTCACTTTTCACACCTTTTACTAAGCCTTTCTTGCCTTCTGTAACATTACACAGTAATCTCCAACCGTGAAAATCCCTAAAAACACCCTTGGCAACTTTATTCATTACTAATACTACTGTTACATATGTAAAACTACCTGTAAACCCTTGTTTACCAATTTCGACTTTTTCCCATTTCCTTAATAACTTCTATTTTCTCTTATCAACCACCAAGATTAAAGTTGTTGCTGACTAAAACAATGCTCCTCTTTCGTATTCCAACCCTACTAAACCCATAAACCTAATATTACTACCCTAAAAACCATTTCCAACCTGTATACCTCTATTTTCGAGTTTTTCTTATGTTTTTTTCTTTCTTTCTTTTTGTAATCTGTTTGTTAATAGTTTATACTTATCTTGATAAGTTTGTTTGAATGATAAAATGATGTAAATATTAAACTATATGTAATATAATTGATGTAATTCAAAATTCGATTTTTTTTGATTTTTTTGATTGGTCTCATATTTTGATTACCACAGCGTCTCAGATAGCTCTAATACCAAAAATGATAATAATCCAGACCCCAACAAAACAGTTGACTCACATTACTCTAGTCCCATGAATCATCCTCACACTCTAGTCCGGTTTTAAACTCCACTGATATTCACTCTGATGCAAAAGATTCAGCTCATAATTCTGGCAGAAAACTCCAACCTTCACAGGGTCCAAATTTTGCACTCACAACGTGTTAGCAGAGCATTTTCCGAGATTGTGTTGAGATTGTTGTATGTTTGGTGCCAGGCTGCACAAAGTGCAGCCTTGGAACACGCTCTTTACACCTGGCTGGAGTTGAGCCAAGTCAATCAACAAATACTCAGTATGAGTAATACCTATCTTGATACCAAACATGTACACCACAAGGACATGCTGATGTCCTAGGGACGTCAGGATTTTTTGCAGGGGAAGGGATATCCTGACGAAACTGATCCAAGGAGCCCGGGTCGGAATCAAAATTTGGGACATCCCACGGGCTTCCAAGGGTGTTCTTATTTAAACGTAGGCCCAGCCTGGCATCCTGAGTGTGTGCTGCGGACGTCCGCACGCACTGACATCCAGAGGACAGCCCAAACGGGGGTGCCGACGGAAGCATACGATCTCGGACAATCCCGACGTCCTTCCGCTCAAAAGCGTCTTCGTGGTGTATGATTCCTTTGCTAATGTGTCATGAGTATAAGATTTGGACCCTGTGCTTCATTTTCAATCTTGAAATTGTCATGGGTACTGATTGTGTCTCTTTTGATCAATGTGCTTGTCATATAACCACTCTTGTCATAAGCTTCTTGGTCCTTTCTCGAAAATATTTGTGTGTTTTGGTGTACATAGAGCATGTTTGTATATAAGAATTTTGTAAAGAAAGTCAGTGACGGGGTTGTAGATTTACTGTCGTTTTTTCAAAATAATAGCAGAAAGATTTACAATGTATAGTGAAGTGAAGTCCAGAAATCTAAGAGCACAGACGGGGATTGACTAGTATAGAGACAAGTAGAAAAATTGAGTGAGCTACTGGCTGAGTTGGGGCTACTTCAATTTTTGAAATCTTGAGAGGTCCCGAGCGTTTTTGCTCAGTAATGGGGGGCCCCCACTATTGAGAAAAACTGGGGGCACTAGGTTTGAGTTACTATTGACGGGAAAGACCATACCATAATTCAACTTTACATTGATCAAAAGGCAACAGATGCAGAGGTAGGTTATCCAACTCGAATTTGATGAGTTTCAAAACGTCAATCTAATGGGCGTCAAGAATTGAGAGGCCAAACAGCCAACTCCATGTAAACAGCTCACATTCCACATGCTTATTTGCACAAATTACGAACAATACTTTCTGTAGTCTATGATGCGGTTCAAACAGCTAATATCATAATCACGGCACTGTGAAATTGATGCCTTGCCTATGATTGAAGATGTTGGAATTGTCGGACAATCCAAAGTCTGCCTCCCACCGTAAGTGGATACTCCTAGTAAGCGCTCGGTGCGAATATGATATACTGCAGCCCTAGAAAATATCACATCGCCAAAGAAATGTTAAGAAAGTATGCAATTCAATATCCGCTGGTATCTCGAATTATGTTTGTCCCATCCGGAACAGGAAAACTACGGCAAGTAGGATGAAACCTCGGATAATTGCAAACTTTTCACACCCTACTATACACTCTAAAATGAAGATGCAGATCAATACATCCGGCAGTTGTAGATACTATGATAACTAGGTCTCAGGACTGAGGACGTATTCACGGGTGCTGCGCCCAAATTCGATCACTGAAATGATGAAGACATAATATCAGTATTAGTAGAGCTTCAGTGTTCAATGAGATCTGATGATAGTGTACTCACCGTCACCCGATCCCAGTCCGAAATATCTGGCTTGTGGAATCTTCTCGCCATTAACCAACGTCGCATTGGCTGACTCAAGGTCGATGATGAACGGTCTAGAATGATGAGCGAAGCCCTTATTGACTAGGATCAGGTTGCATCCGAGTTGTAAGCTTCACCCACTTTACTAAACTCTTTGTATCTCCAAACTCATTGCGGGTCTGCACTAGTCGGAATTGTAGAACGGCATGCTGTTTTGAGCTTGATGGGTGATCGATGGGTATGTCAACTACAAGTCGATCACGTCCGAACAGATACGCCGATTGGCGGTGTACATGTATGATGTAATACATCCAATTGCTTTTTCCCTTTGAAAACGTACAATCGCCAATTTTTACTCGGTTTACGAGCGTCTGGTGGTTCATGATACTTGAGAACTACACCGTTCACTGTTTTTGTCTCAGCCGCAAGTTTTCCTGAGGGTGCAAAGTTTGGTGCTTCGGAGGGTTCAGGTTCAGGTTCTTCGTCTCCTAACGCTGCTCGCAGTGCTGATAAAGAAACGGATTGAGCTGGCGGACTTTGAGAGCGAGGTCGTGAGCGAAGATGGCGTGGCGGAGAGGATCGATGAGGTTTAAGCTCTCGTGGTCGATCTACGCAACCCGGACCATCTCGCCTTTCAGGGGAGCGGCTACGACGATCACCTTTGGATGATCGATGGCGCGCCGGTGCTAAAGATCGTCTTGAAGTACGTCTGTCTGAGTCACGTTCTTCTCTTTCATGATCTTGATACTCTTGCCTTGATCCTGTTCTACCACTTCTAGAGTATCCGTGTTCTTCGGCACCACGACGAGAGGAAGGCGCTCGTTCGTCCAAACTTAATGAAGTCCCTCGCCGATACAGCCACGACTTTGCTTCATAGCTTGAGAATTAACCACGCTATCACAAATATGAGAGTATGGGATGCTATGTACGGTCAAGGCGCATCTTTTTCATTCTTGAGCTGATGGGAGTTGAAAATGTAACCAAAAAGTTTTACATATTAGGACCGAGCAAAATCATGCCAAGATGATATCTTGGGTCCTGGGATCTCCAACTGAGATCAGAATTCGAATTCGGACAAGGCACATTACTTTCACAGGTGAATCACCAGTTTGAAGCATAACACATGACTTTTCACAATATGAGTCGTATATGTCACTTGTTTACTCAACGCTTCCAATTCCAAACACCTGTGACCAAACCTTTTGTCTGATCAAACAGCCAGCACTTTCATAATTCACGATAAGAAATTGATATTTCAATGGTCTCGATGGTTTCCCTTCTACACAATGACCGAAAAATAAATAACATTCGCAGTTTCCTTCCCACTTCGTACCCATACCAGCTTGCATTCTGAAGGCGCATTCTGAAGTTGGAGGATTCCTCATGATGAGTGGAGACATGCTTTATATGAGTCATGCACAGACACCATATTATCAATGATTTCATTTTGGGTGACTTATAAAAGCTTGATATCTTTCGAGGTCAAGTTGACAGCGATGAATGTGAAGTTGGTCGGCTGCTTGCCTACCAGCACGGGTCGATCACTCACTAGTCATTTCGGTCGCAATTTAAACATTTTCTTCATCCGCTTCCGATTCGACTCTAAATTGTGCTCACCAACCATCCTCGGTACGTATGAAGCCAGGTAACTCTGGAAGCCGAAGCAGAAGCTAAATTAAATGTTACTGGATTGCAGTGAAGGGGGTATATTTCCCCGAAGTTACTCGTGGTCAGTCAGACAATCACACTACCGTCATAGTGAGCGAAATGAGCCGTCTTGGCCTTTGTAGTCGATGTTGGGATTGGTTACGGAGGTGGATGCATCGAGAAAGTTAAAACAACATGTCTCAACGAACATCGCCTGCACAAACGTATATAGGCACGTTGATTAACTCTGAACTCAGATGAATAGACAAGTGCGTGCGACTCAAGGATTAATTTTTCACCCTTGCCAAGTTCTCGATTTGCAATGAGGCTGCGAAGATTTTTGAGCTTTTGGCCTCGCTGTATATTTTTTCTACCCTCAAACTCAGGCCATGAGAATTCGATATCATTCGGACAATCTTCTACACCTTCTAGACGATCAGTTCAGCCATCATCCACCACAATTCTGGAAAGTCGGGGAGATCCATCTAGTGAACATGGAGATTCGGAATCACCACTGGTCAATTTTCAAGTGCAGCAGGTACAGAGGGTTTTGCCTACTTTCGTGAAGATGATACCGGAGAGGTCCCACTTGATAGTGTGGAATGTGCTTTCGCCTAACGTCATATTTTCCTTTCATAGCCACCTGTGGTACCCACCGGCGGAAAGTCTTGCGAGGTGACCCTTTTAGAATATGTGAGATGAAACAAATCTTTCACCCTCTAAGTCCATGAGAGAAAAAAGCTATCTTACATTTCTGGACTTCACATCTCTCTTCCTCAAGACATTTGGAAACAGTTATGGTACGCCAGTGAAGACAAAGTACTCACCACCTACGAATTGTGGAACTCCTGGCAGTTGGGCATCAGTGATTCTGAATTTGACGACCAGTGGGTTCACAGGAGATCTCACTACATTCTAGATGGGATATGCGCTCGTTTTCCAAACCGTCATGCTGCTTTCAACTGATCAGCTCGTTATTCTGGTATTTTTGGAAACTGTCACATTTTTCTTCTCATGTAGCTTCTCGAGGAAACCAATATGATCGCCTGAGCGTTAGTAAAGCTCTATTCTTTCAGACTTCATCGTATCCGCATTCATTGATTCGCATTATCTTACTTTACAGAGCATTTTCCTCAACCAGGTAGAGAGTCAGTATCATTGATCGGCATCGTGTTACTGCAGGCTGGCAATCTTGACAAGAGCTGACTTTCTGAGTTCATTCTGGCGATAAGTTATGCGCAGTTCCACTGCAGAGCCAAATCAAGGAGGTATCATATGGACCGTGTAAGATTAGTCCTTGAATATGATCATTTCTGTTAGATTGCACCTAGGATTAATTGATTTATGCACTCTTGATACACAGGCTGAAAGATATCACTAAATACATGCCACTTCTTGCTTCTGAAGCTGATTTGGTTATGGAGCTTTCCAACATTATCGACTTGTCAATCGGTATCGATGGATCGTTCGTAGTGACTCTTTCCGCTACATATTACCGACCTACGGAAGATTTTCCAGCGCCCGAGTCTGCGAATTTGATCCTTCCGATCTCGAAACCTGGTGGAGAGAGGTTCACTGAAAATCCAGCAGTCTCGGCTATCAAGATTCCAGATGTACTTCTGTTTCACTGTGATGATTTGTTTATGAATTTCAACTGACATGTAAATTCTCTTTTTACAAACTCTTTACATTATCCTTGCGCGACGAATTTCATGACTATAGAGTACGGTATCTGCATTTGTTGAGATCTATGCTAGCGGTTCGGGAAAAGAAGAGGTAACACGAACATTCTACATATAAGAAGCCATTTATGCACATATTCATGGTAAAATTGATCCCCGACACTTCTCCTCTGACGAAAAACGTGTCCTACTTGAAAGTTTTGGGTAATCTCGAGTTGTATTCTTACATATAATCGCTTTCAGAATGTTGATATACGTGTGATGATTCCCAGTACACAAATGCACTAGACGAAGCAGTCTCAGCCATAGCATCGAATTCCACCAATGTCAATAGTCTGAACGCCAAGGGACCGTATCGAGAATTGCAACTGTGGATGTAAGTCTTTCAACTGTTTCCATGATGGGGGATCAGTGACACTCATGACGTTTACTTTTCTGTCAATTATCACACAGTGACGATAGGCTGGCGGGTGTCGCAAATCCGTATCCGGTACTTTTTACTGGTGGAATTATATTGACATGGTGGAGGTGAGGGGACTCTAATGAAGCGCACTCATCATATTTTGACTTGAAATTGACTGTTCACCGTGATTCAGACCGATAGCCGCTTATGGCGCATTTGACCAGCCGACTTATATGATAGATATCACACCATTCATTCCAACACTGACGGACGGAAAAGACCATACATTCACCCTATCCGTAGCAGGCCAAGGCGCTAACCACTCGATAAATGAGTCTTTCCAGCTCAGTGGAAACATTGCGATCATCAAAGACCCATCTGGGAAACGTACTACTGGGAATATTGAAAGTTACAAAAATGAACCGAGGATCTCAATAGGTGGAGAGATGTGTAAAGAAGGCGTACGTACGGTAGTAGAAGCAAGAAGAAAACTGTCGATTTCTAGTACCTTGGTCACCGGATCTGGCAAGAAAAAAGTCACTTTCAGTCAAACTTTGTCATTCAAAAACACCCAGTTGTGGGGCCCGAATGGGAGTGGTCAGGTGCGCATCGGGTTACTAAGTTTTACCTTGAATAATTATCCTGAAATCACTTTAAATTGTGTTCAACATCTGTACCGCGTGAGTAGCAAGTCAATCAGGCTTCTGCTGGATCTTCCAAGTCGACTGTCAATTTTAGAACAAGCTTTCGTGATATATTTAGCTACCCTCTAGCTCTTTCACTTGAGACCAAAAAGGACGGATCATTTGGGATTCTTAGTCAAGGCTATAGCCGTACCATAAAGCCGCCAAAGTTTAGTGGGTTTTCCACTCAGATCGATACCAGCCAGATATCGAATGGCAACCTACAGTTCGACGCTTCAGGAACAGTTAGTGGTGGATTTGGTCAAACAGAGCAAAATTTTACATACGCAGACGCTAAAGGATCAACATATACACGGGAGGTAGGTATAGCCAATGTGACCGTTCTTCTTCGTGATGAACAGTCTGGAACATTGGCTCCTCGTACAATACGTAATACACAGTCAGTGAGGTATGCAAATCAAGGAGATGGGCACAGATTCAAGGCCATAGACTTAGCAAATGAACTCGAATCAGAACAGGTGATGCCTGTGGATCACTTTTCGGGACAATCAATCAGATTACCATCGTTCATTCAACTTTCATCATTTAACAATGTGAATTTCAGATAAGTTTAGGACACAACGAGTCCCAATGTAAAAATGGACACAACTTCATGTAGAGCTAATAATCTTTTCAAGTGTATTCCTCTCGTTTGCCTTTCTTTGAACCTTCGTATCATTTGAAGTTTTAACCAATTAGTTCTTGTTTTTCTCTCGACTGTACATTTAGGCTCTTTCAAAATCAAGCAGGGTTTTCGGACTTTTCATCTTGTAGAATATCGTGTAGACGGACCTGGATCTTTCTCTCCTAAAGTGAAGATTTTTAATGAAATTGTGCAAATATGAGGGTTTCAAGGAGAAATTATATTGGCTACTTGTAAACTCTAGTTGATTGTTGAGTCCATGATAAGCACAGGGGGGAAGGAAATAGAGAATCAGAGAGAAAAACTCCGCTTAAACAATCCTGTTCAACATTTCTGCTGCTAGTGTCAGCACTCGTCAGAATAGTATCTTTTCTGTTTTCTGATTCCAAGACCTCATTTTGGACCTTTCACAAAAACTATGAAAAAGTATTGTAGATAATTTTGTTATGCTTGATTCTGGTCAAGAGCTTTTTCAGATTGTTTTATGTTAAGAATTTTCGTTTTGCAGGGATTTCCCATTGGGTTTTTCATCCACCAGAGAATCAATGAATCAATCATGTGTTCCAAGTCTGATACCTTCTCTCACAGGAAGTTTTAAATTCCAGTGATGTGTTTCACACGAGCCAGCGTCACAATCTGGACAATGTTCCAGTGAAAGGGTATTCACTATGTAATTGTTCGAAATGCTGTTGTTCCCAAGTCTGATAAGATTGAAAGAGAAAGTGAGGTGATGGGACTCGGAGAATTCTCTTGAGACTTGAGTCTTGATGATTTCTCCAAGGTTCGATTGTTTTGCTTCGGCGCTGCGGATTCGTCATTGTGATCGAAACTTTCACAGTCCAATACAGATGTAACAGGTTATTGACATGCCATGGTTTTTGTCGAGCCGCGTATTACATACAGAGCAAACGTCATCATTCTTCAATTTAACAACAAACCATTCTCAACGGTCAACAGCAACAACACTTTATCAATCAAGAAATATCAAGATAATAGACTATCATCCAACATCTTCGTCCTTAAACCTTCAATCTACACTACATGTCTTCCGAAGAAGATCAGCGGCGTAATGTTGCCTTAGAGGCATATCGCAAGGTTCGTCATCATTCCCATCTCAGGTCTCAAGTCCTTCGGATTAACTTTCTGATTTGGTTCTATCTCTTTATCAAAAACAGAAATTGAAAGATCACGAGACAAGCGCTGAAACTCTCAAGCGTCTTCGTTTCTCGCTTCGTTCATTGGAGAAAGACTACGATCGATCAGAGGAAGATATCAAAGCATTACAATCTGTGGGTCAAATCATTGGAGAGGTACTGAAAGCTTTAGACGAGGAAAGATGTGAGGATTTTATGTTTCATACGGATTGGTCTCCCCTCAAACTCACATTGTTTTATCTCAACTATCAGTCATTGTCAAGGCTTCAAGTGGTCCGAGATATGTAGTGGGATGCAGAGCCGCTGTACCAAAGGACAAACTGAAGAACGGAGTACGAGTATCACTGGATATGACTACATTGACCATCATGCGAATCTTACCCCGTGAAGTGGACCCAATGGTCTACAACATGTCAACAGAAGATCCCGGTACGGCTTCATTTGCCGGGATCGGTGGACTATCAGATCAGATTCGAGAGCTCCGAGAAGTGATCGAATTACCCTTGATGAACCCTGAACTCTTTCTCAGGGTTGGAATCAAACCACCTAAAGGTGTACTGTTATACGGTCCCCCTGGAACCGGAAAGACTCTCTTGGCTAAAGCTGTCGCAAATACTCTTTCAACAAATTTCCTAAAGGTCGTCAGTTCAGCTATTGTCGATAAGTATATTGGTGAATCAGCCAGGCTGATCCGTGAGGTGTGTCAAAACGTTTAGAAGCTATTCAAATCAAGTGCTGCAGATGACTGGAGATTATCTGATTACTTCATTACATCAAACTAGATGTTCGGCTATGCCAAGGAACACGAGCCTTGTATCATCTTTATGGATGAAATCGACGCCATTGGAGGAAGGAGATTCAGCGAAGGTACTAGTGCAGACAGGGAAATTCAGAGGACTTTGATGGAGGTTGGTCCTTGAGACCTTGCGTAGTCTCAACAATCACTAACTCTAATATCTTTATTAGTTACTGAATCAGATGGACGGGTTCGACTATTTAGGCAAGACTAAGATTATCATGTGAGTCATGATCAATTGGCGCAGATTTGCTGTATCTTTCATTTCATGTAGCCATATCTGATGATGAAATGTATAGGGCAACAAATCGACCGGACACCCTTGTGCGTCACGACCTAACTCACGTTGCAGGAATAGATGTAGTGACCATTTTTGATCGTTCCACAGGATCCTGCTTTGATGAGGCCCGGTAGACTGGATCGAAAGATAGAAATCCCTCTTCCTAACGAAGTTGCGAGGATGGAGATTTTGAAGATCCACGCATTGCCCATCCAGAAGCATGGTGAAATAGGTCAGTACAAATATTTTCTTATATTTGCTTTTCTTTCGAGTTTTCATAATGTCGTGTGGTTTTATGTAGACTACGAAGCTATTGTCAAATTGGCTGAAGGCTTCAACGGAGCCGATCTGAGGAACGTTTGCACAGAAGCAGGTATGTTTGCTATCAGGGACGATCGAGACTACATTGTGCAGGATGATTTGAATAAGGCTGTGAGGAAGATCCAGGAATCGAAAAAGCATGAGACCAGTTAAGTGCTTTTTCTTTGAGTATGATGACAGTTTCTCGTTGCTGATTTCATTGGTTTGTGTCAATATTGGACTTGATCTGATTTCTACTTCTCAATTGTTGTTTGCCTTCATTGTATTTTTTATTTTTGTATCCTCAGAGATGGAGTATGGTGATATTTGATAGGTTGATGTAAAGATTGTGACTAGCTGTAATACATGGCTCCTCTAGAGCGATGCGTATGATTGCCGACATGTGGGTCGCTTGGCTCCATGATATGCTGTGCCTACATCTCAACCGATGGAGGTGACGGCCTCCACCTTCATCGCCTCCAGACCGTGAACGCTGGGGGCAGCGGGCTCAGTCTTGGTGTTAGTGATGCAGTCAGATGCAGTCCCAATCTGTGGTCAAGAAGTCGAATTACATTGTGATCTGACTGGGGGCGATCGATTTATTCTTTCTGGACTGGCTCTTGGCCGGCTTTCAAATCTCGACCGGTTAAAGCCATCCAAACCATAGCCTCCACCCACTACCAGACCCTCCAGTGGCAGTGATGCTCGATGAGATATAAGGAGACTGGTCATGGGGAAACCTATGCCCCATCACAACCACTTACCATCTCATCAACAATATAAATTCACACATCAACATGCAAAGCTTCAATCTCGTCTCCGTAGCATTCTTGGCCGGTGAGTCCTTTCCAACCACTTGACAGTACTCTTCGGCTCATCCCCACTTACATTTTTCTTTCTTCTTTGCCAAAAGTTACCGCCAATGTCATGGGTACACCTACCCCACAACAAGGCATCACTACCGAACCTGTCTCAGCCGTCGCCCAGTGAGTAGACATCCACAGCACCCCAAACGAAAGTACCCCAGAGCTAAACCAATGACTCTTTCTATCTTATTTTCCACCAGATATCTTCCTGTCGACGGACTATTTAGCCTCTTAGATACAGTCGTGACTCATACCTCACCACCCGCACGCGAACTTACTCCTGCTGAAGTTGGTTTACCCAACCAACCTCATGCATGAAACTCTTACTCAATTGTTTACTCTCGTGAATATTTCATTCGACACTTGTTATCCTACAAATTTAACAACCTAAGAATCGAAACGCATCATTCTAGTTACAATTTCGTTTTTTTCCTGTTGTAAATTATGTTGTATTTAACTTGAGGGCTCGCGCCTTTGAACGGCGATTCAATTTCATTGCCTTTCAGACACATTTTTTTTTTACAAAAAAAACACACATTCGACGCTATCTATTTGCCCCAAGCTCGCCTGCACATCACAAATTCAAACTTCACCATCTACAATTGATCTTGCGAGACATCTTGAATTGATCACACGCGCTGAATGACATAATGAGCTTCCCGTATGCTCATCAAATTATGTGGCTCCACAGACAGACACGGCACTAGCTCCCTTCCATGCCCATGCGAACCTGCGGCCATCAGGGTTTGTTGAAGTTGTTAGCGGAAGGCATTGGTTTTGAAAACCACCTCTTCAGACATGCTTGCGCAAAAGCGTCGTTGCAAGGATGCCCCACATTTCAAAAAAAGTGATATGGCAATGTAACTTCGCACAAACCGTTCCAAGTTGTTTGTAATGACTTATCATATCGACGAAACAAAACCAGTCAAATCCAAAGAGATTGCTTGTTCATGTATAATTGAAAAAAAAAACAGAAAAACATAGACCCCAGGATTCAGATAAAACTGGCCCAAGTTTCTCACAGAAGGGGATTTTTGTATGGCCAGTGGGACGATGATTTTTTTCAATCCGTCTGATTTTCGCTCTGATTCTGTGGTGAAGTGTATCCTCATCGAGAATTTCTATCAGCCTTTCGCAGGGAAGAAAGACCAGTCCAGCCCAAGAACAGTTCTCATATCACAAGAAAACTTATGGCCCCATGATGCAACGATAAAAAAATAACATTAAGTTGTGCGGTGGAGTCCAGAATGTTTCAAGTCTGGGGCTGAAGCCGGGTCATTGAGACTGAATTCATAATCATAAATTGTGATCAATCATTCAAATTGCATTGTGATCTGACTGGGAAGGATCAAATCAATTTATGCTGGACCGGCTTTCCAAATCTCGACTGGTTCAAGTCGGCCTAACCATAGCCTCCATCCACAGATATGTACCGGGCCAACCAGAGCCTCCACTGATGCCTTGAACGATGAGATATAAAATGGGACTACTCTTGACCCATTATTTCCACATCAACACAACTTCACATTTTACTTGTTTATCTTCATTGCCAAATATCTCAACATCCCTTCAACTAAATACATTCTTAAGAACACTTTAACACCTTCATTATCAAATATGCAAAGCTTCATTTTCGTCTCTGTAGCATACTTGGCCGGTAAGCCCCTTCTAATCAATGCCGAACCAATGCGCACTATTCAACTTACATTATATCATTCCTTTATTTCCTTTCGACTACCTCAAAGCCATTGTCAACGTCATGGGCATTCCTACCCCTCAAACTGGACTCACTAGCGCCGCACCTGTCTCAGCCTTGACACAGTGAGTCACCATTCAAAATGAGTTTACAACCAGACAAAGCTCCATAAGCTAATCATGAATTCCTTCCACTTTTGTCCCTCCCAGAGCATTACCCGTTGATGGACTAATGGGACTCTTAGGTACAACCGTGAATCATGTGTCATCCCCAACCCAACAACTTAGTCCATCTGCTCTTGGATTACCAGCCACTCAGCAACTTGGTCCATCTGCTCTGGGATTACCAGCAACTCAGCAACTTGGTCCTTCTGCCCTTGGATTACCAGCAACTCAACCACTTTCTGCCCTTGGATTACCAGCAACTCAACCACTCTCTGCTCTTGGATTACCAGCAACTCAGCGACTTGGTCCTTCTGCTCTTGCATTACCAGCAACTCAACAACTTCCTTCTGCTCTTGGATTGCCCAGCTCACCTCTTCTATGAAATCGTTTCACAAACGCTCACTTTGTACAAATTATTCATTCTGAGACTTCTAGCATTGTATAAACTTGCATAAAAGACGTGAGACTGGATACATGTTGTAATTAAAGCATTTCTTGTCACCAAAGAAGCTACAAACGCCTTTGCGCGCGCGTTGTTCCTATTACATTCATTTATCATTGACAAACAATTTTTATGACCTCGTCGAATAACACCATATCCTACTCTGGCAAGATGTTTCCAAGACATTTAAGCGCTGAATTCATGCAGTTGTCCAACACTCATCCATTGAGAGTTATCAGATCTACCAACCGATGTCATTGCCACTCATCAGCTGTGTCCCATTTCCCTAAGTGTGAAAAGTCCTACCAACATTGCAAGATTTTTGACATCTACGGAGAACAATCACAGCCGACGAGCATTGCTATCTGGCTAAAGTTTTCTTGCTTGTATAAAAATCCCTTCCGGCAAAGTTGATCATACGCGTAAGGTTGCAAAGCAATATACTGAAAAATTGCACAGGAGATTAATAAAGTACTACAACTCTGTACAAACTGTTGCATGCTGCTTAAGGTCATACGTAAATACACGCAACGGGTGAAAACATGTCACAAAGATTGCTCATTCTTGTATAATTCTGAAAAAAGAAATACGGTCAATGCACGTTATATGATTCTTGTACTTCATACCACAATGCACATTCAACAGTCGAATCACAGGCAAGGGCCTGAGAGAAAGCTTGCTTATCTTTCTCGCCAAAGGGGTTGATTAAATGGCAAGGGGGGCGATGGCCTTGTTCAATTCATCCGCTTTTTGCTCCGATTCTGGTGCATGATGAAATGCATCCTCGTCTGAAATTGGCATGAAGTGGCAGGCAAAAACATCAGTACTGATCCAGGGAAGGCATTCAGGTCGCAATAAGAAATTCGTGACCTCATCACTCACCGCTAACAAACTTGTACAATATTGGGTTATCTGCTGGGGTCCAAAATGTATGCGTCCGGGCTTCGACACCGTAGGCTGTAGGTCTAACTTCAATGAGTTGCCCTCGCCGAATCTGAACCAAAGGAATATCTTGAGCTGGAAATTTCAGATATTGTACAATGAGTCTCAAGTCTGCTTGTTAATACAAATCATCTACTGCCAATACAACAGGCAAAAAACTGACGTGGTAAGCCTTTAAGATAGGCAAACAAACATCGGATCACACTGGCATGTCCAATGATAAAAAGGTCTGAACGGTCGCGTTCAACTTCCTAATCACCATATACCATTTTACCGAGATGAGTAAGCAGCGAGATGACATGCATAATTGTGATAGATATTATGCTTACAAAAATGATGGGTTCGAGTCGAACAGATAAGTCGTGGTACGACTCAGCTCGCGGATAACGATGGGCGTATGGTTCCTTTAACGACTTTTCGTATTCCTCTGGATACTTTTGCTTGATTTCAGCAACTGACATGCCATCAATCACCCCCGGATTGATCTAGGTCAGATTTGAACGAATTCAGTGTCACATCGAAAAGAGGCATGTAAGGTGGTGGAAGTAGACCTCATTCATCTGGGATCGCATCAAAACTTTGTATCCGGCTTTTCCCATCGGCGCACTGGTTTGTATACACCTTCTGCGCGAGCTAGTCCAGACAGTGAGTCTATTCTTATTTTCAAGTTCGTGACGCATCTGACGGCGCTTATGACGCAGGAAGGAGCATAATCTATATGAAAACAAACTTTGAGCTGCCATTACTGGACTCGCTATATGCGTGAAAGAAGACTTACCGATCTGCGTACTCCAGACCAAGTGGCGATAACTCCGAATCTGCTTTGTAAAGGTGTTCGATACGGGATGGGCCGGACCTTGCAAACCATATGGTTCGGTAACGATTACTAATTCATTCAACAGGAACAGGTCAATCAGCACAGGGTGTATGATGAGAAATAAAGTTGTTTGTGACTAAACTGTATTTGCATGAGATAAAATACGATTCGAGACTGAAGATATCCTGATATGTTGTTGACCTTTTATGAAAAGGATCACATAAAGATAGCAAGATTTGGTCAAATCACATCGACTAAAGAGCTTACTTTCCACGACACTGTCACTACGCACGATAATCTTTTCACCTATGTTGACCACTTTCACAAATGGAAAGCTTGGCTGTTCAATGGGCTCATACGTTTTCTCATGATCTCGAATTCTGCTCCAGTAATCTGCTAAAACTGCATCTGGATCCCAGCCTTGATACTTTATATGGACCATGGTATTTTTTCGAGCATAAAGGTTCAGTATGTCTTTGCTATGAGATGAGGCATACGTCAAACTGACATCTGGAGAAGAAATCTTGACGGCTTTGATGTTCTTTTCAATTATATCGTCTCGATCGCATACATTTTCTATCTCATCCAACCCAGACAATGTAGCGATCAATTCAATCAGCGGTTCCAGATAGACAAGCACTTTTGATTCTCTTGCTAAAATTGGCTGCTACTTACCAATGAACATGCTGTGAACACCCATCGGTTCAAATCGGTGCCTCAATTCTGATCGGGTAGCTCTGGTACCATTCTGAAAAGAATTGGATGATCAGTGGGATGAATTCCTGCCTAGCTATCATATAGTCATTGTTGCTCAGAGTGAAAGACTGACGTTGGCATCATAGATTGCCACTTGTCCACCACTTGAAAACCAGTCATCTACCGCCTGCAACAGACTTGCCTTAATCTCTTGTCTCAGTTTTTCGGTCGACTCACTCCGGGTTCCGTCTGTGGCGAAATAGTCGGGAGGAAGTTTGTGAGGATCACCCAAAAATTTACGACGATGGTCCCCGAGGGAGAACACCTGGCTTTTGACGCCTAGCCATCGTAGATAACGATCAATTGAACGAGCCACATGTGTCTTGCCTCGTGCAGGTAGCCCCACCACACAAATCAATACCAGACCTTTAAAGGTTTCCCGTGAGTAATGCAGCCAATATGAGCCTGATGTTGAGATGATTACAGGGACTCACCGGCATGCCATAGCCGGCCAGAGTCAGTGGTGTACAAAGGTGCTGTGGACATAAGGATGCATTCAAAATCCGACGATCAATTAGCAAGTAGTAATTTGCTCAAGATCAAAACAGGACAGCACGGCTCAGGGAGACAATCAATTTGAGAATCTGAATGAGCAAATGTGAATATGGCACGCAATTATGTAGGTCTTGAGTGTTTTATGAGATTACAAATCTGGCGTGAGTCCCAGATCAAACTATAACTGTCCGGCCTATAGAGCGGCCCCAGTGAGTCTAAGAAGATATTTGTTTGCCAAGAATCGAACGTCATGGCCTGTATCATGCTTATTCGCTATATGGATAAAGCAAAATGATTTGGTGTCTTGAGCTTTGGATAGGTGGCTGTGTCCTGGGAGACTTTGAATCAAAAACAAGTGCAAAGTGAGCGATAGCCAGCCTCCAAGTAGCCCGACTGAAATACGACCCAATGTTCGAGACCAGGTACGATGGATCGATCGACGAACGATGAGAGATACACCGAATGGAATAGATATGGATTGGAAGTGAGGTCAAGAGGGACTAATGAGAATTACATACCAGCCATGAAGGTAAAGAGAAAGATTGGAGGTAAACAGATTGAATTGAATTTCACTCTTGACCTCTTGATCAAAAACTCAACACAATCGGTCAAAGCTCACTGCCCCGACTCAGACTGTGATCAACTATCATATGTAGTGGAATTACGTCACGACCACGTCAAGTGTGATAAGTGTAGTGAACATATAGAAATGAGAAAAACACATAAGCACGAAATAGAGGTTGGATTCCACAATGATGATGTGGAATCTCGAGGCGGCGAGAAAGGGTTTTGTGACTGCTGCACGTGATGTCTGTGCCGCAGTCGTGCCCAGGATCATGTGACTACAACACCCCCCCCACGACAAGTCACAGACATCCATCTAAAAGAAAACAAAGCAGAAGAAAATAAAGAAATAAGAGAATATAAAGATTTTGAAATAAGACACTCGACAACAGTCTAAGATGAAAGAATGTGACTCCTATAATGATCTCAAATTGAAAACAAAAAACATAAAAAACAAAGAAATATAAAAAACATAAACAGAAATATACGGGCCATTGTTATCTGGAATTCGTTCCCCCGAGACAGAGACTACGTTGGCCAGTAAAACTGGAATAGTCAACCCCCGTCTACGGAATTGGTTCCACCAGAAACAAGAATGATAACATTATGCGAGACAGTCTGGAATTCGTTCCCCCGAGACAGAGACTACGTTGGCCAGTAAAGTCTGGAATAGTCAACCCCTGTCTACGGAATTGGTTCCACCAGATCAGTTCTAACATAAGTTCTTTCAATCGAGCAGTAAGTCAACTATGATGATTTTGTTAACGTGTTGCATTTGATGATATTGCATCCCCATGAGGCGTAATCCTGAGATTAGTGATGCCATGTTCATGTAAGTTGGGGCCTAACAGTTTTGTTAGTATATCTGCTTGTTGAGATTTTGTGTTGATCCAGTGCAAGAAGACTCGGCCTTTATAAACTTGCTCATTGATATAGTAGTACTCTCTATCAGTGTGTCGAGTTCGTTTATTAGATGAGTTATTGCTGGCTACATGTATTGCTGATGTATTGTCGCAATGCATGTTTACAGTGTTGCCTTTGCCGGTAATGTCTTCAATCAAGTTTCTTAACCAGATTGCATCTCTACATGCTGTTCCCATAGCCATGTATTCAGCGTGACAAGTGGAAGATGCTACACAGGATTGACGTTTCGATGTCCATGATATCGGACAGTTCAGGAAACAAGTGATGTATCCGTGAGTTGATCTTGCACCTTCACCTCCCCAGTTCGCGTCGACGTACGTATGAAGTGGAGTGTCGACTTTTGTTTTGATCGGTTTGATCATCAACTCTCTAACTCCAGAGGTATTCAAATATCGTATTAGATGTTCGACTGCATTCCAGTGTTGTTTTCTAGGGTCAGCAGAGAACCGCGCTAAGTAGTTCACAGTGTACGTTATATCTGGTCTTGTAGCTACTGATAAGTAGTTGAGGCTGCCGATAGCTGATAGATATTTCTCAGAGTCGTATTTTTCTTCGTTTTCTGTTGGCGACGTAGGGATCTTCTGGCTATTCATAGGTATTTTTGCCGTTCGTTCATCAGGAAGAAATGATTGAATGATCTTCTTGGTGAGTCCCGGTTGTGATAAAGTAAAACTCCCATCTGCGTGTCTCATTACATTAACTCCTACTATTTGATCCAGATTTCTCTCCCATTTGATAAGTAATTTTTCTTTAAGGGCTGCATGAATTTCATCTAGCAATTTCTCAGAGCTTGCGGTAACACCTCCGTTGTCGCTGTGTAACCATATGATGCAAGTTTCTTCATTACGATGATAAATGTACAATGATTGATCGTATTGGCTGCTCTTAAATCCTAATGATGTGAGTATTGCGTCTATATGCTTCCACCAGCATCGGGCTCCTTGTTTCGTTCCATATAATGCTTTGATTGCTTCTAACACCTTATTCTTCTTTTTTGCTTCACACATATAACCCGTTGGGATTGAAAAATACACTAATGAGTCAATTGCGCTATGAAGATCTGCTGAAGTAATGTCGAATGAGTGAGTAGGCCAGTTCTGATGAGCTGCAATTGTAAGCATGATTCGTAGGCCGGCGAATGTTGCGGTGGGTGCAAATGTTTCATTGTAATCAATTCCTTCTTGCTGACGAAAACCTTTTGCGACTAGCCGTGCTTTAAATTTGATTGGATTACCGTCAGCGTCTACTTTCTTGTATGCAAAAACCCACTTCAGATCTATAGGTACTAATCCTTCAGGTTTGTCAACAACTTTCCACACTTTCATTTTGTCCATCATGTTCATTTCTGTGTCACAAGCTTCCTTCCATTTTGTTGATTCTTCTGATCTCAGCGCTTCTGCGTATGATCTCGGTGGTTTGAGTATTTTCAGATAATCTTCTCCACTTAATGCATGATTTGCTGCCATGTCTTGTTTGTCAATTTGTACTTCATCTGTAAAGTCACCTAATTTCAGAGCGTTCAGAATGTGTTGAATGCTTCCTTTGTCCTTCTTGTTCGTGTTCATTTCATTTTCTGAGTTTTGCTGTGCAGAGTTCTGTGGTGGAATGAAATCTTCTTCATACGGGAATTTTGCTATTGCTGAGGGAAAAACTGTTTTTGATTCTTCATTGTAAAATAACCACCCTTTTCCTCCTTCTATGTACCCAATCATCTTACATTTTCTTGCTCTATTCTCTAATTTACCTGGTGATCTTTGTCCTGAATGAATATGCACAAATGCGGTGCTTCCAAAGGTTCGTAGGATGTCAAGCATTGGTTTGCGTTGGTAAAACAATTCATACGGCGTCTTGTTGTCTGTCATTGAGTTTGGTAGTCTGTTGTGAATATAAGCTGCTGTAAGATATGCAAAATTCCAGAATTTAGTGGGTAATTTGCTGGATGCTAAGAGTGTTCTGGCCATTTCTCCAAGTGTTCTATTAAGTCTTTCAGCTGTTCCATTCTGTTCAGGTTCGTACGGGTTAGAGAATTCATGATTTATTCCTGCATCTTTTAACCATTTCTCTAAATTAGCTCCTACATATTCTCCTCCACGGTCTGATCGTATGGTTTTGATTTTGATGCCTGTTTCACGTTCCCACTTCTTGACAGTGTTGATTAGTCTCTGATAAACTTCTGATTTGTGTTTGATAATGCAAATTTCGGAGTACGTCAATCCTACATCTTGAAAAGTAACCATCAGTTGTTCACCTGTAAAACAGGGCGTGAAGGGACCTGCAACGTCAGTCACAAGCACCTCCATAACTTTTGGTTCACGGTTTGTACTGCTCAAAACTCTCCTTCTAATGCTTTTACAAGTCAAGCAATCCTCACATGTGACTGGACAATGTTTCATTTCAGGCAAACCGTACTCTTCATGATTCTTGAAAAGTTTCTCAATCCTCTTCATATACATGTGGCCAAGGCGTTCATGCCACATCTTAGACAAATGATATGAAGACTTCATTGCACAGATATGATGAGATAGTTTTGGAGTATTACAAAAAACAGGACGATTTTTTCTAGCTTGAATGAACCATCTTCTTTTCTTGTGTACTGCATACAGAATCTTTCCGTTTTTGAGTCTAATTTGATAATTGTTGTCTTTTGTCATTGATATCTTAGCTCCGCTCCCTATTAAAGCACCTGGTGAAATGATCGTGGTCGTTGCCTTTGGGCAGTAGTAAACATCCTTGATGATTGCAGTTTCGCCTTCTTCGGTCGTTAATTCAATGTCGCCTTTACCTACTATCACGGCATTAGAATCATTAGCTGCCGTCTTGATAGGTACAGGATGGGGTAGAGGCTGATAGTTCTTCAGAGCTGCTCTGTCATTGCTTACAGCATCAGTTGCTCCTCCGTCGAACAGGTACTCGGTAGGTACTTTGTTTCCATCATCAATCAATCCAAAACCTTCGGATGCCCAGTCAAGGTTCATAACCGATGGTTCCATTGACATTTGATTGGCTCCTTCAGTAACTTCGACAGAACTTGCGTTAGGTCGGACAGATGATGATCGTTGAGTAGATGGAAGACTGAATTTATTTGGGAACAGAGCGTTTAGACTATGGTATTGACCAGTTGTAACTTTCCTCCAGTCCTTCCAATGAGCACCTAATCTATCTCCATTGTTATCGTAAGGTCCACATCCTCCAGCACTATAGGTGTGGCCAAATATACCACAGAAAAAACATTGTAAGAGACCAGCTTTCACTCCGCTCACAGCCGTGTTGGGTATTGGAATCGGTGAATTGACAGAATCTTTTCGTTCAGCGTCGGTCTTAGTCCAAGCAGGTGGTCCTCTCTGCCATCTCATCGGGTCGATCTTAGGTGCAGTTCGATTAGGGGTAAAGCGAGGAGTGAAATTGTACTGAGGAGTTTGGTATTGGCGAGGCGTATTCACGTTTCTAGCTGGAGTGAATTGACGTTGGGGAGTGTGTACAGCAAGTGTTTCGATCTGAGTGCTTAAATTGTTGATCGTAATCGTTTCAGATGCAGTTCGTTCTCTAGTTAGATACATTTGAATCGCAGATTTAATGTCTTTCAATTTGTAATTAGGAGTTGTCTTGTCGTATTTGTTATCTAGCTCCTTATTGATTTCTTTAGTCATTTCAGGAGGCATGACAATTTGGTAAAATAAACCTCGTATTGATTCTGAGTTCCATATAAATCCAGTAGATTCGATTTCAGAAACAAGAGAGTCAACCTTAGACATATGATTTATCATTTTGGTCTCATTTAAGTCTAAGCGTAAATTCATCAAACGATTGAAAAGTGAAAACTGTGCTGTGCGTCCACCTCTTCTAAAATGATTTTGCAGAGCATCCATTGCATCATAAGCTGAATCCGCATCATCCGTTATGTTCTTTAAAGTATTATGGATAGTGTTGTTTATCACACTCATTGCTAAGCCGTCTCGTTTGCGATCAATGTAAGTCAAGACTGGTAATCTTTCCTCCCAGTAGTTTTTGATTCCGAGTAATGCTTTTATTGCTCGTGCGGTGTTCTTCTTCCACTCAATGAAGTTAGAACCGTTCGTGGTGAGTGATTCGAATTTAATCTCATCACCCAGGTTTTCTTTCGCCTCTGTGATGTCTTGCGCAGTGATCGAGCTCTGATCGTGAGGTAAGGTCGTTGATGTTTGTTTCTGCTCGGTAGACATGTTTGATATGAAGTAACGTGCAGGGAAAATAATCGGGTTGGGGTTGTATAATTCCGTAGGGTTTTCAAAAGGTAGCGTAGATAGTGGAGAGGGCTGTGTAAGTTGTCTAGTAACGGTGTAGTAGGGTTTCGTAGGATTATCGGTAAGAGTTAACCGTGAGAGACTGTCTGCGATCTCCGATTCGGGCGTAAACGTAGAAGGTATACTTAAAGCAAATTCGTCTTGTGTATTTGATTCACAAGATTGAATACAATCAGATGGAGGTAATGGAATGTGGGAATGGGTTTGTGATGATTCAGGAAGAAGCGTCGAAGTTAACTCAATCTGATCAGTCGGTGAATCAAGTAAAGGAGGAAGTATTGAAAGATTAAGGTTGAGTGGAGATGGGGGAAGCGGAGGTAGTAAGGATAAATCGTAGGATGGCAGAAGATTACTCGAAGTAGCTAGTTCAGGTAGAGTTTGTTTGTTCCGTGGAGTTCGCTTTCTTCGTTTTGGTGGAGATCTCGGATTCGCTGCATAATCATGTCTTCTAGTCTGCATTCAAGGTTGATCGATTCATCAAATCGAGAGCGCAGGCTCATAACCTGTAGTGAACATATAGAAATGAGAAAAACACATAAGCACGAAATAGAGGTTGGATTCCACAATGATGATAATCTACCTGTAGTGAACATATAGAAATGAGAAAAACACATAAGCACGAAATAGAGGTTGGATTCCACAATGATGATGTGGAATCTCGAGGCGGCGAGAAAGGGTTTTGTGACTGCTGCACGTGATGTCTGTGCCGCAGTCGTGCCCAGGATCATGTGACTACAACAATAAGAACTACACCACAAAGACACTTATTTGCGTCAGGGCGTCGGGCATGTCCGAGATTGGGGACACGACCCGACGTCCACTAACGGGGCGCTGGCTAGACGTCTGAGCGCGTATATATCAGCCGTTCTCAAAGTTGACCCGGTTTTGAAAAACCCGGTTGACCCAGTTGATTTTTTGGCGGTAATCAAGGGTAACTGGGTCTACCGGGTCAGGGATTCAAGTTTCAGACCCAAATACCCCACATCACACTCTTTCCATCTTCAAATGCCAACCTCGACCCTCCGTCGCAACACCTTGGCCTACTTGAAGGCACTTTTTGCTCTTCAGATTGCCTCACTGGCACAGGCACACCACAACCACCAATCACGCACAACTCAGAGTGACTTCATGGCGATCATGGCGGCTGTGATTATCTTAGATCAACTTGATTCACCTGAAGAGACCTTCAGGGATGAACTCCTGATACTCGCATCACAACTACTCCTCTCAAGTATGGTGAATTCGGATTCTTTACGAACATCTCGCAAACGTCAACGATCGGAAGATGAAGGAATGCTAGCCATTCTGGCATACACGATCAATCGTGTTCATACCAAACGGTATTTGGTACCTCGAATTGGACGTTTTTCACGCCGAAGACAAAAGGAGGCGTGCTTCGATGAATGGTTCAACGAGTCTGATCGGACATGGGCTATTGTGGTGAGCATCATCTACTTTATTTTTTCAAGTCCTGAATTGCTGAAAGCGTGTGTATGTTCAACTCCAATAGGCCCGAATGTCCAAGGAGAACTTTACGTTGCTTGTGAACGAGATCTCGGGAGATTGTGTTTTTCATAACAACTCGAACTGCAGTCAAGCTCCTGTTCAATGGCAGCTATTAGTCGCGATGGCAAATTTTGGCCTGTCTGGAAATGGTGGACAAAGTCCGGTGATTGCCAAACTATTCTCGATGGCCGGTGAGTAATTTCAATTGATCATTCTTTGGTGAACACAATTGATCATTCTTTGGTTTGGTGATCACATTCTGAATAATCTTTTAGAGGGAAGTGTGGACAACTATACGAACCGTTGCATCTGGGCTTTACTTAATCTTCAACAAAAGTACATCAAATGGCCGACATCTGAAGATCGCAGGAAAATCAAAAGAGAGATAGGAGAACATTCTTTTTTCAAAGATTGTGTGGGTTTTATTGATGGAACTCTGATTCCACTTGCATTCGCTCCCCGGAAGAACCCGGAAGATTACTACTGTAGAAAGTCTTTTTACGCACTGAATTCCCTCATTATTTGTGATCATCAGAAGCGTATCATTTACGCTCATCATGGTTGGTGTGGTTCAGCACACAATCAACGGGTCTTGAAATCAACAGAGGTGAGTTCTTTTCAAATAAATGGGGTATCAGTTGCTGACTATGTTTTATCATAGTTTTTCAAAAATATAGAGTCTTACTTCAGCGAGGGGGAGTACCTCATTGCTGACTCAGGCTATAGCGCTTCCAAGCGAATAGTTCCTGCCTTTAAAAGTCCGAGGAATGGGGAGCTCGATCGGCCACATAGGAAGTTCAACAATGCCTTAAGTGTCAAACGAATCGTCTCGGAACATACGAATGGAATGCTGAAGGAACGAACTCAGTCGGTGAAGGATTTGCACCTGGTCATTAAGGATAGAAAGTCAGCCAGCCGAGCTGCTGCCTGGATTTCCGCATGCTGTGTCATTCACAACTTTCTGCATGGTAAAGGTGAAAACTTACCCTTGGGACTACAGGAAGCAGATTGGGAGGTGCATCGAGAACCATCTCCAAGTGGTGAAGAAGAGCGTTTGGCATCAATGGGAAATGTACATTTGGAACATCAAAGGAGAGAGCAACTTTTCCAAATCTTTAACTCCACTTTGGATTAGCAAATCTCCCCACAATCTGTATCTTTCAATTCAGTAACTGTTTTGATTCATCTATCATGATCTCAAAACTTGCTCTTTGATTTTAAATAATTTTTCATATCATTTCTCAGTATTATCTTACTTTCCATATCGCACTGTGTGGAACCTTGGAATATCAACTCACTGTATACCACTTTTGAAGTGAAAGAATAGGGGAATGAAACAAAACTTGAGATATTTTTTATTTGAAATCAAATCTTACAAATTGTTACCATTTATAAAAAACTGGTTTTTGTAAATCAAACATCTAAAAACTTAGAAAGAAAAAGTAACAACCTTGATATCATAAAACCAGATATTCATAAGCCCATCGATGATCCACCAAGTACCTGATTAAATAGATAAACCTCTTCAGGAGGAAAGCTTAAAAGAGCAGAACATCGATCTTAAATAAAAGGAATACAAGCGTGATGATTGAAAGATTGTCGCTAAATTGAACTAGTCTTCCTCGGATGAAGATTGTGGATTAGCACTCGAGTCCTCAGGATCCTGATTGAGGCTACTGCCTTGTGTTGGCTGTTGTCGATCTGGATACATCATATGAGCTTTCTTGAATGCCTCATCAAAGGTCATTCCCTGATCCATCAATTTTGTAGCAAGTTCGGCCCTCAGTTGTTTGCGCTTGAGCTGAAGATCGTCCTTGCGATTTGCTGACATCTCAGTGATAGCTTCAGCAATCTTTTGATTCAACTTGAGCTGTTGTTTATCTTTCTCATGTTCTTTTTTTTCGTTCCGGGCTCGTTCGTGTTTTGATGGTAAGATTTCCCCCATGAGGGATTGTAAACCTAAAGGGTCGCGTGAAACATCCTTGATTGGTGACTTAGAAAGTGGTTTGGCCCCTATCAAGGTGAAAGGTGAGAAACAATCAATAAAAGATCAAAAATCGAAAAATCAAAATGCTTACTTTTGCTTGGTCTTTGAGAGGACGGTGATTGTGAACCTTGTTGATTGACATCTTCCACGCTGCCATCATTCTCTATAAACGGATTGCTGATGGCGTTGATGTCTTCTCCATCTTGCAAATCTTCTTCACCAAATGAGTAGTTACTGAGGCGATTGAGATTCAAATCAGAGGCTAGGTTGCTGAACGAACTATTCCCTAAGGAATCTCGAGTCGATTCGGGCACAATGTTAGGTTGTTCCAACATCACAGGTTCCAAGATGCAATACCAAGGGCATAATGATAAAGCTTGCTCTTCAGATGCGAAACAGGATCAGTTCGGTGATCAACTTTAATAAGAAAAACTGTACATACCTATAGGACTATCACCAAGATCACCCTTACGAGTACGTTTCTGACCGCTTTCGTAGATGTTACGCGTTATAGTCTCTTCGCCATCACTATCCATAGACACTGAAACAACTTTCATCTCTTTCAGCTTCTTAACCCAATCCTCGCGGTCCAGAATTCCTTCGCCGGTGTTCTTAAATTTGGATTGAGCGGCTTTGAACTTAGCCTCCAGCATTCGCACCTGCAGTCGTACAATCTATGTCAATATTCAACATTGGAAAGAACAATGAAGAGAAATTTTACCTTCTTTTCAACTTCTTTTGCAGGTCTTTCACGATGATTCATGTCTTTCAGGTGAGCAGCAATGATTCCAGCAACCGCTCTCTTACCAGGGATCCTGTCGCGCCAACGGGTGAAGTTGTCAGAATCAGAACACCATAGTGCAATGAGGTCCATGTCGGAATAGCCGTCAGTTTGCTTTTCGAACCATGAAGCCTGGATTGCCTTATCCTCTGAATCACTTTCAGAATCTTTTGGTCTTGCTTGTGTATCAGATTTTTTTGGTCTTCCTCGTCCTCGTTTGGCAGGTACTGAAACTGAGGTGGTCTTGTTCATTACTGAGCTAGTCTTGTTCATAGAGTTATTTGACGATAGTCCTGAAGTTTGAAGAGACCCCAGATTGAGAGAAGACGAAATTGAGTTTGAGGTAAGGAGAGATGGCGGAGTCAAATTTGAGATGGCCAACAGACTCTGAATAGGGGTTAAAGCGCTGGAGATGGCAGTTGTTGCCAAAACTTGACCCAAACGAAACAAGTCGGTACCTGATAAAGACGCAGAGGGCGAAAGCAATACACCTGGACTTCCAACGGCCGAAATCGGTGTGAAACTTGATAGATTTGCGTTCGGCGATTGGACGGTATTTGGCGAGGTTAAAGTTGAATTCGACAGCAGGTTTGGGTGTATATGGGAATTATTTTGAGGCAATTGAGATTCCGTGACTTTGGTTCTCCGCTTTGCAGGCATGTTTGCTGAGGTGTTGAGTCAAAAGAGTTGCGCAAGAGAAACAAAAAGGGTGTTTTTTTTAATTACACGTACCCAGTTGACCCAGTGTAAAAATCAACTGGGTCAACCGGGTTTTTCAAAACCGGGTCAACTTTGAGAACGGCTATACTTTGCCGCACATAGTTTTTTTTTCTTTTTCACAACTACATACACACGACCAGGAAAAACTATGTTTCTGGCTCAGAAGTACATATTTTTGAGCTTTGAACAAAAGATATACTTTTTCCGGGTTGTGTCTAGCTTCAAAAAAAAAAAAAACTATACACGGCAAAGTATACACAACTTTGAGTACCGTAATTTCCTAAGCAAAAAGAAGTACCACTGTAGCAATAATCTCACTACCTCAGCACAAACCTCACCATCACAAATTCAAATCTCACCACTACACAAAAAACTCACCATCGGATCAGCCCAAACTTACCATCTCACACAAATATAACCATTGGATCAACAAAATTACCATCACCTTACCAATATCACTACCAC